TATAAATTGCATTTCCGGTTTCATATATCTGCCTACTCGGCGCTTTATCTTCTGAAATGATCGACGTAAATTGAGAACTAGACGCTGGTAAAAACGAAATAGGAAATTAAAATCTACGAAATACAAATTCCATTTTCCAATGCCATAAGAAAACAACCTTTGAACTTATTTTGGAATAAATCTGTCACGGTTTTTGATAACTAAATTACGTCACTGTTTCTAGAAAGGCTTTCCTTTAAGTTCAATTTCCTTTGGTTATTCTATCAACAGGACATTTGTTTTGTTTGTGCAACTGAAATGAAATTAAGTTTATATGATGTCTACTCCTATAAAGTGTCTGTCCATAACAAAACGTTCGATCGAGCGTTTAAAATGAAATAGAAAGATATAACTGAAGGCCTTTACAAAGAAAATTTCGATCAACTATTAAATCAATGATCGAAAACTGAGTTACAGGAGTTCACTTTCAATCGGCGATTCGATTGAAAGCCTACAGTCCGTGTTACAAGAGGATCGATGCTAAAATTAAACTCATCTTTAGAATTGTTCTAATTACCTGTCAGGAGCTCACTGCCTTCAATTCTTGCTATTTCCCATGATGTATATAAAAATGTCCGTTCCTTATCATTTATTTTATCCTGATACCACTCGTTTGAGTCGTCATTTTCAAAAGTGAGAACGGTTTTTACCCCGGATCTTTGAAAGGTCTTCTAGGAAATTCAGTGCTTTAATACATTCAGTGCGAGCGTTATCCAATCATATTGCAGCTAAATTTCTCAGAAAGCGAAAGTCGCTTCGGGGAACAGTTTAGAATTATCCCTAAATTTAAGGACAGGGTCAACTGGTCACGCGACACTTTTCAACCAATGAGAAGGCGCGCTTGTGTTTATCAACAAACAAATCAAAACATCGCCCCAGTGATCAAAAATTTTCAAAACAGCGGACGGAGTCGGACAGAATTAAAGATGAGCCCACAGTACTCGTCTAGGTTTCACATTTAATATTTCGAAGAAAACATTTCATGTAAGAGAATAAGAGCATTAATCATTGCAAGGAATCATTGGGGTGTTCGAACTGATTCCGGACCGATCGCAGAGGTCGTGTCTTCACTGGCATGCCTGCAAGATTTTTGATAGAAGCAAACTGGTCCCGTGTAAAAATATGATCTCCGCCAATATTCTGTTTCAAATGCCATTATGAAGAACCTGCAATTTCTGGTTCCATCATCAGAACCGAAATTTGACCAACAGAACAGAAATTACGAAGTTAGAAACAAAATTGAATCAACAGAACCGACATTAACAATTCAGAACCGAAATTGAACTAATAGAACAGAAATTACATAGTCAGAACAGAAATTGAACCAACAGAACAGAAATCAAGATGTTAGAACAGAAATTAACAAGTCAGAACCGACATTGAACAAACAGAACAGAAATTAACATAACATAAATTTGTGTTCTAAATGGGACTTGGGCCGTGACGACAGAGCTGACCGAGTTCTGAAGCCCGGGTAAAACCACTTTAAAATATTTTAATTTATGATTATTAACCTCCGCCGTTTATATAATTCCAACATGGCCGCCAATGAGAGTGTGTTTCTTAGAAGTACTAGAGATGTTGTTGGAGAAGTATTGAGAGATCTGCGGGCTTCGTTTTCTAAAAGAGCATTTATCGCCTTGACCGGCTGTTAGATGGTCATCGTGGCAGACCTAGCTACCAGATTATGAAGCGGTATCGGGGTCAAAAATAACTCGATGTCTATTTTCTGTGTCGTCTTGTCTACTTATTGTGCCGTCTTGCCGATTTGTCATGTCATCTTGTCTATTTGTTCTGTCGTCTTGTATCCCTGTGGCTTTGTCTTGTCTATTTCGGGGATATCCTAAAATATCGACTGGACCCTGGACTGGACTTTGGATTTGGAAAAAAAATTACAGGGTGTCCAGTTCCTATTTTTCGTCCATATTCCTATTTTCTCCCATTTTTAAACTTAACCTCCTATTTTCCTATTTTTTAGCTGGTGAAGCCAAAATTTGTAACAAAATTGGAAATGGAATTATGGTTGTATGTGTTTTAGAGTGAGACATATCATAAGGCGAGTAGTATGTTGACGTTGATGTTCTAATATTAGCAAAAATAAAAGTTAAATTAAATGTTGTTCTTTCCATGACCTCTATTACCTATTAGAGTTCTGTTAACAACTTTTTTATATTTTTACTTTTTGTGTAATTTTCTATTACAACTACATGTATTGTATGTAGCGTTATAGTTTTCATGACTATTGAATAATATTGTGCACAGCCCACTGAGACTGTATTTCAGTATCTGTACAGATGATATTGGAAGTCTTGTTTGCTTTATGTTCATCTTTGAAACTGAAAACAGGATCAAGTTGTCCTCTCGCAAACACAGGTCAGATAAATCATCCAATCAGCTTCTTGTTTAAAGAACCAATCAATAGCTGGATTCTGTATGTTACATGAAAATAACGGACTTTAAGTTTAGTTTACGGCACTACCTCTCTTGGTGAGCTCTTGTTAACAGCTATACCTAAGCAAATGACAAAAGGATCCAATATTTTGGTTCCGAAACCGGTCTTTCAGACATAGGTAAGCAGAATGCTACGTTCTTCTTAGAACTTAACCATGACACACTTACAATCTGGTACTAGATAGATCACTGTCCTTTTTCGTACACCGCAGAAAACCTGGTTCCGTACTTAAAACTATGCGGTCTTTTGACTTCACGAAGCATATTCTCAACCAGCAGCCTATTGTAGATTAATCAAGGAAAGCTTTCCATAGGAATTTTTAGTCCTAGTTCTATATCCTTCAATGACAACGTAATCGCAAGAAACTTCACTCTTCGAAGCTTTTCAAACATTTGCCGCCAACTTGAAACTTTCGTTGTTTTCCTACAAAATTTTAAAAGGTGGCGGGAGGAGGGTGATTCCAGTGTAATTTTTTTTCCCAGAATCCAAAGTCCAGTTCAGGGTCCAGTCGATATTTTAGGATATCCCCGAAATAGACAAGACAAAGCCACAGGGAGAGAAGACGACACAATAAGTAGACAAGACGACATATTAAATAGACATCGAGTTTTGTTTGACCCCGATTCCGCTTCATAATCTGGTAGCTAGGTCTGCCACGATGACCATCTAGCAGCCGGTCAAGGCGATAAATGCTCTTTTAGAAACTGAAGCCCGCAGATCTCTCAATACTTCTCCAACAACATCTCTAATACTTCTAAGAAACACACTCTCGTTGGCAGCCATGTTGGAATTATGTATACGGCGGAGGGTAATAATCATAAATTAAAACATTTTAAAGTGGTTTTCCCAGGGCTTCACTCGGTCAGCGCTGTCGTCACCTCCTCAGTCCCATTAAGAACAGAAATTGACGGTTATGTTAATTTCTGTTCTGTTAGTTCAATTTCGGTTCTGACTTGTTAATTTCTGTTCTGTTGGTTCAATTTCGGTTCTAACTTCGTAATTTCTGTTCTGTTGGTCTAATTTCGGTTCTGATGATGGAACCAGAAATTGCAGGTTCTTCATAATGGAATTTGAAACAGAATATTGGCGGAGATTACCCCTTGTAGAAATTTGCCTTCTTTCTTTGAATGTTTTTTAACGGTGGATGAACATTTAGAGAATCCAACAACATTAAATCTTTCCAGATTTAGTGAATTTCAGAAACAAAGCGGTTACTATCTACCTTGCGCTTATGATCGACTTGTTGGACGTGAATATCCATAAGACTAATAAAGTTGTATTGGCCTTGAAAAGAAAAAAGGCTTCTCCTTCTAATGCGAAAAAAAGTAATAACACGGCTCTGTGAGAAACCTGGGAGTGGAAAACGTACGTGTTTTGGACCTCGGAATTCAAAAATTGTCTACCAAAATTCTAGGTTTTCTACCATCCCCACATTCAACATGATAGAAGTTAATCGATATGACAATCGAGGAAAAATATCTAGAACTTCGTAAAAAATCTGTGAATCGAAAAAATAATAGACCTTGAAAACCGACCAAAATCTCGCCTATACATCGCGTTGTTTAAAAGAAGAAATAAGCCACAAAATGTGCTGAATATTTCACGAGACACTTCCAATATGGCTTCCGATAAACTGTCCACTTAAAAAAAAATTGTGTATGCCTCATGAAAAGTCTTGAAACTATGCCTGAGAGCCTCGAAACGATGAATGATTCTGTCCGACTCCGTCCGCTTTTTTGAAAATTTTTGATCACTGGGGCGATGTTTGATTTGTTTGTTGATAAACACAAGCGCGCCTTCTCATTGGTTGAAAAGTGTCGCGTGACCAGTTGGCCCTGTCCTTAAATTTAGGGATATTCCGGAATGGGGAATACCCTCTACATATTTATGTAAACGTATAATCACTAATACAGTCCCTTCGCCTGCTGCAAGTAATCGGAAGTAAACAATGCAAAGCCAACGAATTATGAAATTCTGAAATTAGGATAGACGTGTTTATAGGTTTTCGCAAGTCCTATTATGGCTCTAGGTTTCCAAGACCATCTTGAATGTGGAGATTTTACACTGTAAATCAGAAAAATCTGTTTTAGGCTTAAAAATGAGACCGCTTCGGTGAGTAAAACACAGCTGTAATTAACTCATAATGTGTCACTGAGATTTTTTTAATGTAGATTTTATTTAGGAGGTTTCCCAGCACAAAGGAAAATATTAAAATTACATTCCATGATAAATACGTGCAAACTGTTATAGCTAGGACGCTAATGACTACGCAGTGACAATAAAAAATAAGGGTGTAACGGGAAATTCTTGAGCCGCCGATCTCTGTCCCATGTGACGTCGGTTGGAGAAGTTTTTATACTCATCAACGATGCACGACAACAATGTCATTGATTATTACATTTTCTATCTCCAGCAGTGGTGAGAAAACCTAGACACAAACTAAGCTTCTCCGTTTTCATGCGATCTTGGAAATTCTTGAGCCGCTGATATCCTAGAAAGCCGTGCCTTGTTACTCAGGAGGTTCGGTGACTGTAATCTGTCCCATGTGACGTCGGTTGGAGAAGTTGTTATTGCGCGTGCTCATATAACAGTACTCCCCAGGCTTCTTGATGCGGAAACACGGTGGATTACAGGAGGCTGGCGCGTTATCAAGCTGAGCCTGCAGTCTTTTAGGATCACCGGTGTAACACCCTGTGTTAAGGTAAAGGTTCAGCTTTTTGGAGTCAAATTCATCCACATAATCAACGACTTCAAGAGGCAAGCTGGAGCAAGCTTTGGGTTGAAGAGAACTACATCCTTCCTTCACCCAACACACGTTGGTGCGATCCGTGCCTGAAACACACATGGAAACATTTGTATGTGTGTGAGCTCCGAACTAATTTATATTGAAGTAAAGTAAAATGAGAAAGATGATTTTTCAGTAATTGATTTTCATGTCCTGGAATGTTCGTCAAACTCTTCTCTTTGATGGAGGCAGTAAATTGAAAACATCTTTCTCATTTATTCACCAGGTTTTTAATTCACCATCGCATTTTAATCAAGAAAAAAGTTATTTTAAAGAAAGAACATTAACCGTTTTTTTATTTTTTTTTCAACTAATGTAGTCACTGAACAGGCTTCAAAAATGAGGCGGGGTTGCTTTTATATGACCGTGTACCTTTCTCTTTCTCTCCCAAACAACAAAATCAAAAAAAAGAAACTTCTTACGTGCTCTTCCTTCCCCGGCATTGTTCGGGTTATTGTTCGAACCTGGAGAATGAAAGAATTAGGAGGGAGATAATAAGCAATTTTAGACGCTTTTCAGGTGTTAAATGCTGCTGACAACACTATAGTAAAGAGTTTAAAAGTGTTTACTGCAGCGTGCTTTTAACAAAAGTGATAAACAATGATTTTTAAGTCTACATTCACGCTATACCGGATAGCTTTTGCGACGCCACGAAAATGATACTGGAAAGGGTTTCTGTTCAAACACAACGGAACGGTGATTTCGGCAAGGTTTCTGTGACTGAGCTGAGCGGAGCTGCGCGGCGCCGATCTCGAGCATAGAGCGTTACATATCGGATAGGTTCTGTGCCATTACTTTGGTGCACTGAGTGTGAACAGGTATTCGGACCGTAGCGGACGTGGATAAGTAGAGGCAAGTATTAAATGGAAACTACTCAAACGGAACTAAATCCCAGTCCTCAGGAGTGAGGACTGGGATTAAGTTCACCAAACCCTCTCGGCCAACCGCTCCGGCACGGTGTTCGATGTGTGTGAACGACTTGCTACAGTCCCGGGCCGTTTCTAGCGCTTTTCACACTTTTCCTGTCGGCACCGGTATAGTGTGAATACAGCCTAAGGTAGTCACGCAGGTCTCGTCACGTAACGCGCGCTTATTGACGAAGACAGTAGCGGCTACATGGGGGACTTGTTTAATAGGGCATTTCCGAGTTCCCCCGGGCCTCTGTATCAAAACGAGTTTAAGTGCTCAGCCTTTGATATGGAAATGATTTTTCATTCTCATGCAAATAAAACTTGGACTCATTTTGAGGGATTTTGGAAATCTAAAGTGGCCTATTAGTCCCGCTAGCTGGGAGTAGTTCTTACCGGACCAAACGAAACAAACTAGATCATCAGTTGTAACAGAAACCCGTTCTGGGAAGAAACGATATTCCATGGCGGGATACGCCTGGACAATGTTCCCCCTCTTTCCCATTCCAAAGATGTATCTAATGTTGGATTGCTGGTACTTTTCGGGAAGAAGATTCCGTGGCTTCAGTAAGAACACGTGACTTCTGTCCTGGAATGTTCGTCCAACCTGAGCTGTGTTCAGGGCGAGCTGAAGATCCGTTTGCCCGTCAGTTGCTTTAGTTTTCGGGTTGTTCTTAACTCTGTGAGAGCAAAGATGATCACTTTAATATAGATCTTCGTAAAAATATGTGTTCCAGAGGTTATTTGGCTATCACGATAGAGGGAGATGGGAAGGAGAGTTTTTTATTGTGGTCATGTAACAGTTTCCACGACTATAGAAGTAAATAGGCTGATTTAGCAACAGAACAGGAACGTCAGTTGACGACGGGAAAGCACGCGAAAAGGACTAAACGCGACTTCCGGTGACCAATTTGCCGCTCTGCTATTGGTCAAGCCAGTTGTTGCCACCCACCGGATAAATCACTATCCAGTGGATAGAGATTTATCCAGTGGATAGCACTATCCAGCCTTTGAACAACCGAGGCCAGTTTGATTTGCGCGTACCCTCGTCATCTGGCGTTCCCGTTCTGTGGCTAAATCAACCTAATGACAACCGAGCCTCTTTCACGGGGCCGTGGTTTGTCACGTCGATCAGAAAAAAAAAGAAAGAAAAACGCGCTTGAACAAGGCAAACAAAGGAAAACAACCCTACAGAGTGTCAGAAATTACTGTTAATGAGGACCATCTGTGGAAAGTTGCCGCCGGATAAATTGCTTTCACTTGTATAATGAGGAAAGGCCGGCTTCAGTGGTTTACACATCAGACTGGGAACTACTAGCATTTGATTGTATGGGCTGTCCACAGAGACAAGAAAGCGGCCCTTGCGTAAAGGTGTTAGTAGAAATTCACCTGTAAACAACCCGTACAATTAGTAATCATTGCTACCATTGAATTTTGATATGTTTGAAATTTTTCGAATATTCTTGGATGTACATAAAACGTAACCTTAGAGGGAACAAAAGTGAAATAGCTTGAAACCCCTTGTCACGAGCGTTATCGAAGGATTCAGTCTAACGATGTTCATGCCGTTTTCCTTAAAAGAGCAATAGGCCTTTCAGACAGGTGGTCAAAAGTACAGAAGTGCCATGCTGTAGCCTGCGAAACCATCCGTTTCTCCTCGCTCTTCGCCGCTGGGGACGTTTCGCGCGTTCCTCCGCGCGAAACGTCCCCAGCAGCGAAGAGCGTGGAGAAACGGATTTTTTCGCAGGCTAGCCATGCTGGGGTGTAAGAATCGCACAGGACAAGGAAAGGAACTCTATTAGTTTCACTTACTTTCCGTTGTCTTTGACATTAAATTCACGTGAAACGTCATCACTGGTAATGTTATACCTACAACAAAGCGTAACTCCATCATTTGGGCAAATGCACTGGTAATATAGACTCTAGATGGTTATTCTATCAAAACAACCTACAATTTGACTAATATTAAAATGACCGTTATTAGTGTGACAAAATATCACGGCTTATAAATGAGAGAAGACCAACAACATCGCGAATTTATTGAGCAACCAGGTCAATAACCAGAGTGAAATACCATTGATTTGATATAACTCACTTTGACTCTCAAAATGAGTACCGAATAGGTTTTCGAAACGTCAGTCAGGACTTACCAGGACTTGATTTCATTCCACCTAGTAATGGTTATAGACACTGTTAGCAGTGCCTTTTAATTATCATAAAAATTTTAAAACGCCCTCGGCGTCGTGTATCCTCGTCTGTGGGTTTTGGTTAGTGATCATATCTCTTAAGCCTATTCAAACCGGGGGAGCTTTTGGGGCCCCCCCCCCCCCCCCCCCCCTTGCGAAAAAGTAAAAAAAGTTCAAAACGTTTTAAGCTATGACCACCAAACTTAGGGGCTCGTCCTATCTGGGAACATTTTTAAGTCGTCGTCAACATTGACGTTGCCATGGCAACCGAGTTTTGACGGCCATGTTTTTATCCCATCCGTCCTTCAGAGCTTGTAAAGATGGCGGGTCTCGTGAATAAGATGGAAGACCTCAGATAACAATGACCTTAACCAGGTTGTGGCGTCCAGCGGTTTTAGTGAAAACAAGGGTTTGGGTGGGTTGCTCAGTCTCGCGGGCTCACAAAACTTGGTCTTGGTTTTGGATTTTCGAATAAGATCACCTCATGTGGAATCCAAGACAGATTCTGGATTCCATATTCCGGATTCCAGGTACTGAATTTCAGTCCTTGTCAATGGGACTTGGACTCTGAATTCCAGTCGTTAGTAGGATTCTGGATTCCTTGAGCTGTATTCCGGATTCCAAAGATCAGGATTCCGGATTCCACAAGCAAAAATTTTCCGGAACTCCCCGCAATCCCGATTTCCTTACATGATGCGAATAAGGTCTGTGGCCGGACACTTCCTACCTGATACGTAGCACGCAGCGCTGTGTTGTGTTGGTAGGAAAGCAGGGTACTTTCCACTTATAAGAAGAAAACTTGCCCTCCATATTTATTCCGTTATGGTTTACGACCGTGGACGGAGCGTAGATTACGTCGGGTGGTTTCTGAACGAGAACATACTGCACCGGTTCATCAGCTCCTTGGGACACTTTGTGAGGCTGATAAGGAATGCCTCTTTTCAACTTCATATCGCCCATAGCGTGACAAGTGCTCAAAATTCCAGAGGTTCTCTCCACAATGTTTGTGATGAATTTTGTCCATCTACCGCCTGCAGCTTTACAAGTGTTAGCAGTGATGTATTTAGCAACGCACTGTTGTGCAATGTGGTTGGTATGTTCTCGTGGACAGTGTAAATTTTCAGGCAGCGTGGATGGCATAATACACATGTCTGCAAAAAGATTAAGCAATACTCGGATTTCTTTATTGTTTACGAAAGATAAATTAACTTCCTCAAAATTGAGACTCTTTGCTCTGTCAGTGAACCACATAACGCTTTAGAAGAACTTAAAGATTTCATGCGTGTGATTTTAGGAAGGGAATCATCATTAAGTGGCAGAGATAGTTTTTCAAGTCCGGGACTTTGTTTGGAAGAAGAAAAAGAGAAAAGAAGACCTCCTGACATCGCTTCCGTCCGAGCACAAAGCGGTTCACAGTGATCCGCACTTAACAACTATTAGGGATGGCAACTTCGTGAAACTTCGTGCAGAAAGCGTTATTTGTATTGAACTGTTTAGACTGAACAGAAGAGCTGGATCAACAGTACTCTAAGCAAGACCAGCATCTTTGAAGTCGGCAAGATGGCGCCGTCTATCGCAGACAACATAACTTCCACTTTTGAAATCCGGTTTAAATTTCCTTTCAGGTCGGGGTTGGGGTCGGCAAAGTCGCCTTGCGTAAGCTTTCCTTATATGATGATCACTACTTTCTCAACGACCGAATACCTGTATAGTGTGTAAGTCATTTTAAAAACTCCGATTTCTAGTCACAGCAACAAAACCAGTTCGATTAAACCAGGTTTAACCATTTAAAGAACTTTCAGACTGGCGTTGGCAAAGAATTATACCAATGCAACGATTCAACTTGTGCTATCACTTGTGCTAAATTTGTAGTAGTCAAAACATAGCAAGCGTCTTTTGTGTAGGATTAAAATTTTTACCCATGTTTAAATAAACAGCTTTTAACATGTTCAAGCATAACACGATTTGGCACATACTCACGTTTGTAGCCGTAATGAGAGTTGTTAAAGTGTTTCTCCATTAATTCCAGAGTCTTTTTATCACTGACTAGGACAGCAATGTCGTTCCACGGGGTGGGACCCCAGTATGGATAGTAATCACGTTCCTCAGGTACTTCCAGGCCCCTCCTTGTTCCTCCCGGATTTTGCCTTGTGTAGATTGGCAAATCACCTTTGAGTTTTTGGTCAGCGGTAAACAAGCCTTTTGAACAAGACAATTTAGGTTAGGTTACATGGAGACAATTCCCTTGCCTCAAATGAATCTCATGTCCACATCGCTTATTCAAGCTCGTATTTTTCTGATGCAGGTGTCAAAATAAGGGCACAAGTGGACGCTAACGCGTTAAAGGTTTCACTACTTCGAAGAAGAGCATGACACTCAGTTTGTGCTGTGAGACCCTTTTGGGGGACAAATTTTGACGCAGTTTCGAAGAAAAAGTTGTCGTCAACAGCTATGCAAGTTTCCTGGAACAACAGAAATTTTTACGAGAGAAACAGCTCATTCTCCACCTGATTTTTTGGTCAATATGGCCGCAGTTCCATCGTTTTGGGTACGCCAATATGGCCTCCTCAACTATAAGGACCCCAATACCGTCCCATAGAGCAACCTGACACAACACCAACCAACTCTTTTTATCAACTCCCTGAAAATGTACACAATTGAAGAGTATGCTTACCTTTGTTTCGCTCTCTGCGGAAGTAAGCTTGATAGTAACTGAGTGGTTCATGAAGGCCACGGTCCTTTCTGATGTAAGCATTTTCCCGAGCTCCGTTTGGTGCAAATGCTTGTTGGGTAAGTGTCTGACCATTACGAACGGTGTGATAATCAAAGGCTATGTTCACATCTGCGGAAGTCATCTTTTCTTCGGAGTACGGCTGACACATGTACTGTAAGATGACTTGTGACTCCACCCTGTCGTCCGTTTTAGGTCCGGTTCCATGTTGATTTGTCCACATGATGTCGACCTCGGTTTTGGCTTTTTCGTGACATCCACCCATGTAGAACTCCTGATAAATAAAGGTTTATGAGGCACTGCTCTCAAACTAATGCAAAAACCCTTGATACTATAGTATGATTTGTAATAAATAATCGATTTAGAGAACTTACAGTCAGTAAGGGTACGTTGCTTAGTCGGATAAAACGGTTACCTCAGAGATTAAATCGACGATCGCATATTATTGAGATCAAGTTTAACAACGTTAACCGTGCGATGATGGCAAAGGAATGCACCAAAAAGTGTGCTGCACGTTTTGCGTTTAGAGTCATTTTGCTTATTAAACTTATGGCTGTTTTCTTTGTCTTTTGTGGTTGCTCGAACTCGTTAGTATCGTTACCAAGAAAAAATAACTCTTGATCTGCGACTATTTCCTTGAAAAACCGACGATTTGATGGAAAACGAAGCTCAACGAGAATTACGTCCTCAAAGGCTTAGTTAAGTCAGTATACTTCAATGCGGTCCCCAGGATTGAAGGCCCCCTCTGAAACGTGAAATTAAGCACTTTCACGTCGTAGTCGTGAAACGACGGCAAAATTAAATGTACAAAAAAGAGCGTTGTTGTTTAATCGCTTTTTGACGAGTCGTCTTTGCTTACGCTCCTTAATATCTAGACACCAGGCTAGCTTTATAACAGTCATATCCAAACACCCATCCACCCGTTCTTATCTCAATCAATCTAGTGTGAGCCTCTATTATTATTACTATTATTATTATTATTATTATTATTATTGTTATTATTATTATCATTTTTATTATTTAATTGCGGGCGACAAGAGGAGCCCGCAATCCTAATCTCCAGGTTGTTATTACGTACGTGTCGCATGTATGTAGCCAGCATTCGTTTGGACTTCCACTATTGAATGTATAGAATGCACAGAACGCAATCTGATCACCCGTGTTTTGACTATCTGTCACGTGAAACTTACGCAAAGCACAGCGCTGGAGCAAAAGCGTTTTGACCTTCGATCGTTGTCGCCCGCACTCCGTAACCTTTGGTTATTACTAGTTCTAGTTATAATTACCATTGGCAGCTGTCTGATTTCAGGTATGTTATCTCCTGGGTTACTATCCAGCTTGTCTCCAACATTGTACCCAGCCTTTCCATTATTCTATAAAAGAGAAAAGAATGCTTTTAATACATCGACCCGCGTTTTTAATCGCCTTAAGATATGGTGTTTATATTGTTTTTACGTACGTGTACAAATATGAGAAACCTCGTACGTTAACGTAAGGACACAGTTGTAATCTTTCACTAAAATGTTTGACCTTCTTGAATTATCTATCGGCAGCAACAGCGAGTCAGGTTTTAAATTAAAAAGGTTCTCTTCCTATGAAAATTATTTGAAATCTATTCTTGGTTCTGTGTCATGTTGTGAGATTACTTTAAGGAGGACAGCTTATTGGTTGTTACAATGTCGTCATGTTATTTTAAGAAAGAAAAATGACCTGGGAAGTCCGGTATCACTTCCGTCGATTAGTCAAAAGATTTCTACATGGAAAAATCTGGCAAGAGTACCCGCCGACGGGGAACATGGTCCTCCTGGCCGGCGTCAATCAGTGAAGAAAGCGGTTGTGAGAAGAGTCTTGTGATGTTGATCCGACGGTCAGGGGAATAACAAACAACAATGGCCTTCGCAGAACTTGGGTCGAACTAATAATAGATCTCAAATAATTATCATGGGCACATGGATTCACTCTCTTTCCTCATTTTCTCTTGCCGAAAGCCAATAAGCGAGGTTGTTCGTAGGACACTTTTGGGGGTAAAATTTGAGGATTGGTACCCTTCACGCTGCTAAATCCTAATATGACCGCCGTTATTCGTGATAACTGTAAGGGACATTTACAGGCATTGAGCCAAAAAGATAAAGGATCTATCATTTGCCCCTACTGAATCAGCTATCTTTTTCTAACAATTTTCATGTGCTAGTATGGTAACTCTTAGCAAAACGCCCCGGGAAAGTTTTGCTTGTGGAATCAGGAATCCTGGTGTTTGGAATCGGGAATCCAGCTAAAGGAATCAGGAATCCGCTAATGGTTGGAATTCAGAATCCAAGTTCCAATGACAAAAAATAAGGAATCCAGTACCTGGAATCCGGAATCCATGGAGTGGAATCCAAAATCCAAGACTGTCATGGATATGTTATAAATTACATTGGGCGAAAGACTAACAAGCAATCTCACAGACTGGCTTGACACAAACACAAACACTTCCTTTAAACTTCTGTCTGCTTTAGACTTTACTTTACGGAGAGAAAACTTAGAGCTCTCACGAAACAACAATAATTAGGAGATTTTGGCAACACCTTGAGCTGAAAAAAGATATACTTTACTTTTCTCTTTCATTTCTTTCCATTTCTCTTTTTCAGTTTTTTTTCTTGCATTAGTGAGTATTGAGAGGCCGTCCGTGCAGCAGTCGGATATGAACATAATGTCCCACTCCGAAATATAACATACTACATGCTTAAAGAAAGAGAGAATGCTTAAAGATATGCAACAAAGATCAGAACAGTCCTACCTGTGAATCAAACAGTCTGGCGTCGTTTCTGACGTTGTCTTGGTTACCATTCAGTCGATTGTTTGAACCGTGTGGAACATGTAGGTATATGTCTGACAAGCAAAGTTCTATAAGAGCAGCCATCAGGCAGCTCCAAACGAAAATGCTCTTCATTTCCTACGCTTATGGAAGGAAAGAAAAACGCAAATTGATTGGACTTACCACTTCATCTATTAAATCAATTACATCGCCAGTGATCGCTATCATTAACCGAGAAAGCTAATTATTTCAAGAGCATTATTTTAGGGGTCAATCTTTTTCATCAGACCATATTTTCCGCCTACTCCTAATAAACCCATGTGGTCCAGCGTGTTTGGATATTTTTCTTGTGACCGTCAGATTTAAAGTTATTTTAAAGTTATTTATAAACACTTTGTGCTCTATTTGTATTTATCGATCCACTGCGTAACAAAAACGCTTTTGTTTTGCATCGATGTATAACAACATGCGCTTTTCGCCAACTGTTCGTGTTCATCCCAATCAAACAAACTCCCTGCGGCTGTTTAATAAACTTCCTATTGACAAATCCCACTCCCGGACAGAAATTTCATAAGCAAAAACAATTTTCCGCAATCCAGAAGTCCATAATAAACGGTTATCCCGCGAGTCTATTATTAAAAATTATTTCTATTTCGGGCTTCGTTGTGCAAAGCGTTTTTCCGCATTCAAAACAATTTTAACACAGCTCTCAGCAAGCACTTACTGAGATGCCTTTAGAGCTAAAGCGGTTATTACAGCTCTTTTATTCTAAACGCAACTAAGCCTGGTTGTGCTACGGTTTTCATACCGTCCACAGTTATAAAAGTCATCTTCAGTTGTTTTCCACCCACACGGATGTATATTTCACAAGGGCCAGAGTTTTGAATACAAAACTAAATATTTAACAAAAACGTCTCATGGCAGCAGTGTCTAAATCTAAACAGTTCAAATTACTATTTCACCATGATCTTTATTAATCGATTATTACCTGTCTTTAAAAACTTTTCAATTGAACGATGACAGAAGGGAAAGAAGCGTTTATTAACTGAAACTATAGTTACATAGCATCAACCTAGCATTTTAAACTTATGTTGAGCGCAGTAATTGAATTTAATTGCATTATCAACAATGAGAGTGTTCAAGTTGACTTGTTAACTGGAGAATTGTGTTAAATAAAAAAACAGGTGAAAAACATGAAAGGAAACTAATTGCACATTTTAAACTGTCTTCAAGCTTCTTGGCCATCAGTCTGAATACATCTTGGCTACCTATACTTAAGTGTCAAACTTAACAGAGCAGGTTAGTCGTTGAATTAAAAATAAAAAAACAAATTAAATAAATAACAAAAAACAAATTTAAAAAACATTTAAAAACTAGGACCAATGATTTACATCATTATATTCATATCTGTTAACAAAAACCAATAAGGGCGTCAAATCTGAAACTAGTATTGTAGCACATTGTGTAGATATAAAAAGGAAGTGACAAATATTAGATGTAAGTACTATATCATAAAATGCAGTTTGCGCAATAAGCATGCATCTGAGTAAGTTAGCATAACATTTGTAAGTCTCCAGATTACGAAGACTGGACAACGCAAGCAAGTCTCTCAAACGCTTTGGCAGTAGATTATATAATTTTGGAGCAAGAACCAAATGAATTGAATGCTTGCAAACTTTGCAACTAGTCGTATCATGATTTAATCTTGGTCTCGGTGAAACGTTCTTTGCTTCACAGGCCGCATTTAATATCTGACTAGTCTTTCACTGAAGTCTGCAATCTACTTAGGGCCAATAGAATTTGTAAAATCAATGGTTTCTGTAATCTAGTGCACAATTTAATTTGTAATCGCCCTTTTTGTGGTATTCGTAATCCTCCGTTTTGAGAAGGCCGTTAAATTAACAACAGCAAAAATACCGACACAGAAGTAAAAATTTCGATAAGAGCATACCTGCACTTAAGCCTTCAGTTGCTCAGAGTCGTCAAGATCTGAAATAGACTACACCAGTCTGCAAGTGCCGGGTGCAGGTCAGTGACTAAACTAAATACTATTAGCCTTACTGACTCTTTTAATTGCAATCTCTCTTGCTAAGTTATACAGAAGTTAATGAATATGTATACCACTTTATTGACACAATAGGAATTAAATATTATAAAAATAGTAGAAATTCCAGCAGAATTTAGAACCAATTTAACCAAACTCGTTTTTGTGTATTTAACTTAACCGCTTCACCAACTCAGCACGTGACAATACTTTAATCAGACAATAACCAAATGATAAGGTTAATAAATATACGTATAAAGACCAATTGTTGTTTCGAACAACCAAAAGGACCCTTTTTTCCACGATTGCCCCCATTGTTTTGATTGAACGTTCTTTGGATTTTTATTATTCTTATCTTTTTTTAAGCCGCAGGCTCTTTACAGCGTACTTTAACTGTTATCAGACTTTACTGGGAAGAACAAAAACTGATCGATCACGTCTGTGGATGCTTACAAAAAATACTAATAGAAAACAGGATTCTTCTGCTGCGATTTTAACTGCAATTTGCAATAAAAGACAAGATCGTTTATAGCCTGAAAAATGTTTTGCAATACTATGTTCATAATATACATTTGCAAGTCATATAGTGATCCCAACGTGAAGTATTGAAATAAGAGCTGCCTTCAACTTATTTTAAGAGGGTTTTCCACTTTCACATACAATTCCTGTTGAAAATATTCTTCAATACTGAAACTGATGAGTTCTTCAAGTTGAGACAAGCTCAGAGTTAAAAGATTATTTCCTAATTTAGCTATTGGGGCTGGTGTTCGCTTTTCAAACAGGAGCAACCAACCATTCGAAGGAGCAAATATTGCCTAAGATTCTCTAAAGCCTAAGAAAGCCCAAAAATCTCTGGATAACCATTTCCATTCTTCGAACTTGTGTTTCTTCACATTTTATTACCAAGGCAGTGCAATTATTGCTCAAAGATAATCTCTCCTGAAAATTTTAACATAAGGACAATACTTCCCCTAGATTTTTCCAATGAAGAAACACTGAGCTACTCCTAGGCTCGATTTCCGCCGTCTCCCGGGTCCGGTCTTTGGGCTCATTTTCCCGAACAGCGACTGGTAATCGAGCCTAAGCTACTCCTTGTCCTCGACCAGACCCGCAATGGTGTAGCTCAAAGTTTCGCCGTTTAGTTGCCAGACGAAAAGATTCCTAAAACATTGGAAACGACCAAAGTTTACCTGAAGTGAGATATCTCAACGGGATATAAATAGTTTTTAGGGGTGCTTCAAATAGACCTTCCGCTGTATTGCATAACGTCATGGTCGGCCAACACATATCCATCTAAAGTAGATGGGGGAAGAGGAAAAACAAAAGAGGGAATTTTTTGTGTCCCGGCTCTTCTCCCTCTCCTGATATTTTGCGCCTGCCACAACGAAGGCTACAAAAAACCCTTGGACTTGTTTCCTTGAATACTTTATTTACTCCCGGAATCATTGAATTGAGTGTTTATTTGTTGCTAATGACCCTAATGAGCAGAATTTTTATAAACATGTTCTTTTGTCAAGACTCCGGTTAATAAAAAACAACAACTCCCTGCAGTTATTTAATAAACATTCTTTTGGACACTCCGTTTACCGGTCAGAAGATTTATAAGCCTGAAAAATTTTCCGCAATCCTGAGACAAGTATCCCGTATTATCACTATTATCACTATTTTTGTTTGTCTATTTTTGGTCAAGACTTTTCCGCATTTGAAAACGCTCCTCCGCAATTTAACACGTCTTATTCAAGTTCAGCGTAATGAGTCAGTTTCACTTACTCGTATGTTAACGTTTACTACAAGAGATCCTTTCTGTGTCAACGAAATTATATTGTATTTGAGCTTTTTTATTGTTGGATGTTGAACTTTATTAAGCTAGGGTACTGATGAGAATGATCGATGCTAGAAAACATTTTGCTCTTTTTAGGACAAACCAAATGAATACTAACACATCATTGCAAAGGCCCTCACAAAAAATTACTTTAACAGCGGTTTTCTTTGCAGTATTCGATGGTTTTCAGTCGGTTATAAATATCATTTTCTTTTGTTATTCAACATCCTTTATTTAACTTACATACTTCATGAATATTTAACTAACTGAAAGTCCGGGGAGGGCTTGATAATGAAGCAGGGAAGAGCGGGGCTGATGAATTGAATAAATTGCTAATTATAAATGCAAGGACAATATCTATATAAATACCCGGGATTTATTTGTATATTGCCCTGCTGCCCTGGGCAATATACAAATAAATCCCTTCCATTTATAATGAGCAATTAAAGTAAATCATACACGTCCTTTGAACCCGCCAAACATTCTGAGAAAATTCCTCCCTTTAACACAAATATAGAAATTTATTCTGCAACTACAGAAAATACAGTAGTATCCCATATATCATACAGGCTATGCCGGTTCACTCTAAGAAAACTTAAGGTCTGATATCTCGGTGGCCCGTACGCTCCATAATCAACTTATCTGAGATTCCTTTTTCCAGTCCACGTGTTGCTGTTGTGGCCCTCAGACTGTGATTACTGAATTGGCCCTGTAGGTCTGCGTCTTTACACATTTTTCTAACAACGTTTCCAAGCTTGTTATGTCCAACAGGAGTCGATGTAAACCAAACTGCAAAAATTAACAGTGAAAATAAAAATATGAAACAAAACTGAAACTTCTAATTACCGTCTCCGGCTTGCGACCATTAAAACTGACTGACATTTTTATCCTCTTGCACCCGAATTGTAAATGATCTATATTTATAGGTATCATACCTTCATCCGTACGTAGACTTGTATTTCTGTCGTGGAGTGAGGTAGAATACATTGTTTTCTAAAGACTCCCACTAACTCTTCCAAATTCAACTCAGGGGAAAAAGGCTCCTGAGAGTATTTTGCGTTAGGAAAATTTCGTCGTCACTATCCATTGCCGCTCTCTCAAGTGTACCGGCCCCCCAAAAAATACCAAGACAAAAATAAGAAAACACAAAAGGTTTGAAATTTGATTGTTGTCGGCTTAGCAGACAAACAATGCGCTATTGTTCTCCGTGAGAACAAGTGGTTTGAACAAACTATGACCCGTGAAACGCCCTTTCTCGATGCTGTGTGAAAACCTTTACAATACTTACAATGAAATACGTCATTGTCTGCGGTCGGATCAAAAAATGACAAACAAACAGATGTCAAAAACAAGTGGCCAATTATTGCCCTGTGAAAGACGACCTTTATGTAACCTATACCTCATGAATAATATCATGAAATAAGTTAGATAAACCCCTCGAACGTCGGTATTAATCCATATACATCCCTCGGGCCGTAGGCCCTCGGGATGTATATGGCTTAATACCTCCGTTCTCGGGCTTTATCTCTTACTTAAATATTCATGACCAACTGTTTTAAAAGATATCGTAAACCTTAAAGTCTCTTTCATTTGTTTATGTTCCCAGCAATATTTATGTTTCCACCACACAGGAAGAGAAAACCAGGAAGGTAACGAACCCTGTTTCTCAGATACATTCAGCTCCTTTCGGGAGACACAGACAACATGATTGGCCCGGGCAAGCTGTCTGAATTGGCACAGGATCATCGGTTGTGGCTGGAGGAAGCTCGTAGTCGCCTGCTCTGCAGCCGACCGATGATGATGAATGTTTTCAGACAGAAACTCTTTTTGAAGAGGGCATAGAGGAATTATGGACCATTTTTAAAAGCTTAAAATTGACGCAACCGCCATAAAAAAACTCGGTAGGATTTGATATATTTTTTGACCTTCTTTCCTCTACTCCTAAAGGTCAACTAGAGCTTAGAGGGATAATTGTGTCACGACTGAATTCTCAGTAAATATATCGTTTGCACAAGTAAGAGCATTAAAGCATTCAATTGCAATTCAGGTACTTTTATTGAATATGCCAGATAGTTATAATCTATAATTCTTACATTATAATCATTCCATTAGATTCGCACGGGACTATTTGTTAAAAAGTGGCGATAGTTAGTCCTTCAGTTATAGCTGTCAGATTCAGCGCTTGTAGCTGAGTTCAAGGCAACAAATTGGACATCTTTTAGTAGTAATCACAACGTTCACAACAAATAAATTCTTCCAAACCATAGTTAATTGAGTGGAATGGTTATGAAACCCGTCAGACTCCTTTGTTATATGTTTTTGTGGACCTGAAAGTGCACAACGTTCAAAAGAATTCCTATCATTTTGATTGTATTGACCAATAAAAACGTTGCATTAATTTATTCCGTAACAATTTGCCAACAGAAAACAAAGGATTGTGCACTTTCACGGTGCTTTGAACATAAACTACAGCACTGTTGTTTTTATCATTGATGTTTGCCGCTTTTCATAACCAGTCTCCTCTAATAACTATGTCCAAACCAAGTTAACTTACACTCATGATATTGTCAATGTTACTAACTATTACAAACCATGTGCATTAAGAGAGCAATAATAAAGTAGAGTTTTGTTACGAAGATAATGCGCCCTGGGTGACTGTAATCTGTCCCATGTGACGTCGGTTGGAGAAGTTGTTATTGCGCGTGCTCATATAACAGTACTCTCCAGGCTTTGTGATGCGAAAACATGGCGGATTACAGGAGGCTGGCGCGTTATCAAGCTGAGCCTGCAGTTTGTCACCAGTGTAACAACCTGTGTTGAGGTGAAGGTTCAACTCTTTGGCGTCAAACTGGCGGTCCACGTGATCAACGACATCAAGAGGCAAGCTGGAGCAAGCTTTGGGTTTGAGAGAACTGCATCCTTCCTTTACCCAACATACGTTAGTGCGATCTGTGCCTGAAGTGCAAACAAAACTGTTCGTCAAATTTGGAGACGAAGCCAAATGAAGTACATAACAATATAACGTCTTCATTCTCGTTGTCAGCAGCTCCATGTGGAAACAAAAGTTTTGGCATTATTCATCATTTTTATGAGCATAATTATCGTCGTTTTCAGAAATAGCTCTGTTGGTGTAATTTAAATTTTCAGTTTGGTTTTGGCACTAGCACTAGGCCAGTGCTGCAGGTCATTTTTTAAATCATCCTGCTTTGTACCACATACATGGGACCCACCGGATGCGACCCATGAATGTATAGAGCGTTTTCACTCACGTGGCCAGCATCTATGCTAATTTATTATGTAAGAAAAGAGTTCAACTCCCACAGGATTGTCTTGGTACACCAACATGGTCGCCGTGACGTCAGGTGTAAACACTCTATAGTTTCTGGTTCTATTAAGGAGAATATACTATTTTGATGTTTGTTGTTTGGTGTCATATATCATTTACTTACAGAGTATCTGACCCAAGTGTTGCACAGTTATGGTGGCATTCTCATCAGATTTAAGAAAAATAATAGCTGGCACATTTTCTGTATTATGTGAGTTGGCATATTAACAAAGAAAGAAATTCAGTGCTTCTTTTACGAGGCCCAATAAATCAAAGCCTGATCCAAATATCTGGGGGAAAAATGCTTTGCATGAGGAAAAGGTTTATTCCATACGGGCCTCTTTTTGGGCACCAACATGGCTGACGTTTGTCAACACGGCCTCCGTAACTTCATTTGAAAGAGATCTATGGCCTGATTCTCATTCGAGGTCCGAAGCCACTGGCTAGAACTCTAATTTCTACTGTGTAACCACGTCAAATACTTCAGCAAATCCGAAGTCGCAAAATTAGCAAGAATTGATTTTTAATAGAAACATTTAACTTACGTGCTCTTCCTTGTCCATCACGATTGTTTGGATTGTTGTTTGAACCTATACAAAGAAATATAATGAAAATGAGAGATTGGATGCTGTTTGTGTAATTTAAGAACGTGTTTGTTTGCTTCATGTGATTTCTGGACTGAACGATCTTGCAATTGTGGCAATATATAAGGCTACTGACTCTTAAAGCATCTTCGATTGATGTTCAGAAAAATAGGGTCGAACGCTGTACCGTCTATTGAAAGACCTTCGTCAACTCAGGCTCTGTAAGAAAGACTAAATTCTCATGAATGCACACCTTTGTCTTAAGAGATCAGATACGGCTGACCCCAAAAACCTAACACTAAAAGAATCTCTTGAATATCTCCAAACTCACCCGACCATACGAAGCAGATAACATCTTTGGTAGTTACTGAAATGCGTTCAGGAGTGAAGCGATATTCCATGGCGGGGTAAACCTGTACAATGTTTCCTCTTTTACCCATCCCTCCAATGTAATATATATTGGAATGTTGGTATTTGGCAGGAAGAAGACTGCGTGGTTTAAGAATGATCACGTGACTTCTGTCCTGGAATGTTCGTCCAACCTGGGCGGTATTTAAGGCAAGCTGAAGATCCGTTTTACCATCAACAGCCTTGGTTTTCGGGTTATTCTTAACTCTACAAAAGCACAAAAACAAAAGACAATCTTAATGTTTCCGAAAGAGTTGTTCGGTAAAGAGTAGCGAGCAAATTTCGGTTGGGGGAGATAGTGGACAAATTTAGTTTCCGCGAGATTTACCACTAGTCTCTACGAGAGGACTCCCAAAGGCTTTACTTAGACTGGGCTTAGGGAACTGTATGGCAACTGATCGGCCCCAGGTGTTCTACAAGTGGATAGTGCTATCTATATATTAAATAAATCACTATTTAGTGGATAACGCAATTGGTTTCCCTAAGAATGAATAGTGATTTATCCGGTGGATAGTATTATCCAATAAAAACTGAAAAAGTGAAGTCAGGACCAAAGGCTGAAATGGTAAATACCAAACTCATGGTCAAAATTCGCCATTAATAAAACTTCCTGTTTTTTTGCACAGTTGTCTATCAACAGCAATAGTGAGCTTTGCTGTTCAATACTTAAATTCAGTGCTAACGTTCCGATAGCTTTGTGCGCTTTATATTTTTATTGAAGCTTATTAGCTATGACAAAATCTGCGCTTACTAACCTTGCATTATCACTGGCGTTGAACTCGCGGGGAACATCATCACTGGTTATGTTGTATCTATCAAGTTACATAATAAAGTTCAAAATTGTATTAAACGGCTAGATCAAATCCTATTCTGGTTAAATATCTCTCTCATTGTTTGCGCGCATTATAGGTATATTTCAATCCATTATATATTTGGTCTCAGTGCATGCGCAAAGTTGTCAGTATACGTCAGTATTGAAACCTACTAACATACCACTTACCTAATACGTAAAACGCAGCGTTGTGTTGTGTTGGTTGGAAAACAAGGAACTTTCCACTTGTAAGAAGAAAACTTGCCCTCCATATTTATTCCGTTATGATTAACGACAGTGGAAGGCGCATAGATAACATCCGGGCGTTTTTGAAGGAGGACAAACTGTTTCTTTTGATCAGCTCCTTGTGAAAGCTTATGAGGTTCATATGGAACACCTCTTGCCAGCTTCATGTCTCCCTGGTCATGACAGGTGCTCAAAATTCCTGCTGTTTTTTCCACGTAGTTGGTGATGAACTTTTTCCAGATGCCACCAGCTGCTTTACACAATTTCGCTGTGATGTACTTGGCAACACATTTTTCAGCCAACTTGTTGTCATGATTTCTGGGGCAGGTCTGTTTCCCCAGTGTGGATGGCATAATACACAAATCTAAAGAAAAGAAGGCCAGGTAAGGGTTGGTTTTCAGGTACTGTGCCAGCAGAGGTCTTTTTACGTAGGAAGATCGAAGGGCCGGGCCATTCTCGAAAGGTAATGAGGGCGGAGTCAGTATTCAGCCTTGCAGCTTTGAAGCGTAGGAAAGATATAGGCATAAACACTCTAAGCTAAAGTATGATAAGAACTGAAAATTCTTCAATTATCATCATTTTTTAATTGACTGATTTCTTTTTTTAACGGTGAGTCAAATAAGGTGACAAGTTAAGCGTTGAAGAATAATTAGACCGAAGTCAAAACGCGTCGTTTCAATGTAGTGAAAAAGTATATATTTCGTAACCGAAATGGGTAACGTTTTGTTTTGTTCTCCACAAAAGAAACTCTTGAATCTAGGCCTCTTTCAGCTTTTGTTTTGTCTAGTAATCAGAATGTTATTTTAGATGGTTTATGTAAGAAGAATAAAGGCCTGCACACCTATGGAAATGTTGCGGTAAATAAACTCACTACCATTTACAGCGCCAGTTAACGCCATAGAGCAATTACCAACAAAAAGTAAGGTGAAAACTTACATTTTTGGCCATATTGAGGACTATTAACATGGTTCTTCATTAAATTCAATGTTTTATTATCGCTGACCATGATGGCAATGTCATTCCACGGGGTGGGGCCCCAGTATGGATAGTAATCACGCTCCTCAGGTACTTCCAGGCCCCTCCTCGTTCCTGCTGGATTTTGCCTCGTGTAGATTGGCAAATCACCTTTGAGTTTTTGATCAGCGGTAAACAAACCTGTAGTCAGTTAAAACAAGTTTCAGTTAATGGAGATTTCAATTACAGAAGCGCACGAGTTGAGACACAAAGATCCAACACAAAGAGTTAAATTTCGATGCGAAATTTCATGATTGATGCATGTTGAAAGGTATGTCACATTACCGCTCTCAGTGCTTAAGAATTACGAGAATCAGTTTTGGGGTTAATAAAAGTTGAATTTAGCAACTGCAAGTAATTTTACATGCTGCAGGTTGTCCCTGGGTCCTAAATCAGATAACATCCTAGTCTTCAAGGCTCAAAAGTATATATGAGAAGCTTTTGATTCAAGTTAATTGTAGTGTTTGAAGTGAACCCCACAGCTGTCTGAGCTACCTATCCTTAGCATCACTCAAACTACCTCAAATGTGAGATGCTATAAAATGGCAGGATGTTTAGACCAGTCTCTCTTCCGGCCCCTCTTTTTTCCATTTCTAACTGCTGGACATATAAATGTCAGGCAAATTGCCGCAGCTCATGATCCAGGATGCTACAGATACATTATGGCGCAAAAGACGTGCATAAACTTCTCACCTTTGTTTCGTTCTCTGCGGAAATATGCTTGGTAATAATTGAGAGGCTCGTGGAGTCCAAAATCTCTTCTGATGAAGGAATTCTCTCTCGCTCCATTTACAAAACGTTGGGTGTTTATAGTCTGGCCATTGCGGATAGTGTGATATTCGAATTCTCTGTTGACATCATTTGTAGTCATCTTTCCCTTAGGGTACGGTTGACACATGTACTGTAAGATGACTTGTGACTCCACCCTGTCGTCGGGTTTTGGTCCGGTTCCATGTTGATTTGTCCACATGATTTCCATTTCGGTTTTGGCTTTCTTGTCACATCCACCCATGTAGAACTCCTGGTGTATCGTTTGAAAAAGGATGAAATTAAAAGAAAGGGCATTTTTGAGTTTTTGTTAGTAAGCGCACTTTGGGGCGTTTTGCGAAACGTCATCGTTTGGGACATTTTCCGAAACGTCTCCAGCGATTAAGAACGACAAGCAACAACTGACACGCGAAAGCAATTATGAATACGAAGACCTAACTGCAGGGACTGGAGTGTTTGTATTTCAGTTCCCAAGTGCATATAATTGACTTTACTCTGATGACGGATAAAGTCGTCTGATCAAAAAGGAATTCAACGTCGTCTTTTGTTCACTATGCTACCCTGTTCTAACAGCAGGCTATCAAAACGAACCAAGAGGTTATTAATTACCATTGGCAGCTGTCTGAATTCCTGAATGTTATCTCCTGGGTTACTGTTCAGCTTGTCTCCAACATTGTACCCGGCCTTTCCATTATTCTAGAAAAGAAGGTTAAACCAAATCAAAGAAAACAAGACTTTTCCGGCACCTAAGATGATACTCAGTTTTATTATGAAGAATAAGGCATAATTATGTCTAGATCTTAATCGGTGATGAGTTGAATCCTTTTTAAAATATTTCAACTTTTAGATATTAAGTCTTAAGGCTGATTTGCCCATTTCGAAGCGCAAAAGTCAATACAGTAAATTTATTATCTTCGCTTTCGCAGGCAGATGGTATTTACGCTGTAGAATCGTGAGGAGTGACCCGGGTTTTGGCCAAGAGTTTTAATTATGGCGGAGTATTTCTCTTATTTTGAATGCCTCGGAAGCTAACGAGACACTGAATTTTGCAAAAAGTGTGTAACTGCCGTCTTACCTGCGAATCGAATAGTCTGTTGGCGTTTCTGACGTTGTCTTGGTTACCGTTTAGTCGATTATTGGATCCTGGGGGAAAATGCAAGTATATGTCTGACGAACAAGGCGCGAAAATAGCTGCCATCAGACAGCCCCAAATGAAAATGGTCTTCATCGTCTGTTGAAATACAAACACGCAGTAAAACAGCTGAGAACTCGACAGAACTAACATTTAACATTTACCATTTACCACGATGGCTGAAATTTGGTAACACTGATAATGTGACAACAACGGCCTTTTTTGGTCGCCCAGACTTAAAATCCAAATGTTATGAAGGAGGGTTTGCCAGGAATGCAATCTCTACCTAACTCGCCTCGCTCGACTTTTAGTCCTAAGGTTGGTTCTTGGTCAAAAGATATTTTTCAAAAAATTATTCTATCAGTGGCGAGAAGGTTTAAAAACGAAAACCTGACTTTTATCTGGGCTTATTTCACGGTTTAATTTTAATGAACTTTGTTGTGTTTCAATAACAATGATAACAGACCAAGCAACAGAATCTTAACCTGGGAAGCAACTAAGATAAACTCTGGTATTAACTGAGCTCTATGTCTTGAAATCATTCCGGTTTGGAAACTTTTGTTAAGTTTACTCACCACCACCTTAAGTTCTGTATCTTCCACTGGAATGCTCTGAGCCTTTTCAATAAGCTGCAAGTCAGACCTTCTTGAACTCGACACAAACTGATGTCCTCAAGAGCTTCTTCTGTCTTTTCTGTGAACAAAGTTTTTATAGCTTGCAACTTTGTTTGAATATTTATATAATGTAACCACACTGGGAATCAGTGGCAAACAATTGCTGATCAATTTAATTGTTCTTGGCAAGTTCCTGGGCTTGATGAAACAACTGATTAATTAGGTCATTTGTGACTGCGACATACATCTTTCCGTCATGAATGCGAAGAAGAAAAAGCAGGCATCATAGGGAATTCAAGAGAAAATAATGAAATGGTCTAAACAAGAAGTCAGCATAATGGCTTTAGTTATTTACAGCATTGGAAAACAAGTAACACTAAAGTAAGCATTAAATAAGGTAACACTTATGAATACGCTAGCATGTAATCATGTCGGTGATAAAGCGATAACAGCACAATAAAAAAACCAGTTGACTGATTTTTTTTTCATTCAAACGCAAAACAAATTAAGTACAACAACAAAACAAACAAAAATGAAGACAAAAAACATTCGTCTATTGTGACTGGCTGACTTCAAAAACAGCAGTCGTAAGTTGCTACCGGTAACACCCACAAAAAGGTGATGTTTCACATCAAAACAAAAAGAGGAAAGCAAAATTATAAAATGAAAGGAAGAAAGGCATAGATGAAGAAATAATAGTTAGAGTGAAAAAACAAAAAAATAAAACAAAACACAAACAAGTTTTTTACGGTTTACGGTTGAGTTCAAGTTGTAAAAAGTGACTTCACTTCAAGAGGACGCAAATAACATTAAAATTACTATGTCGTACTTGATTGTCAATCTAGATTACATCAGCCCCAGTGAATAAGGTGCAATAGTTATGACGCCCGTGACACTTCTTTGTTATATTTTTTTATTCCCTGAGGGTTATTTGTGTTGCACTTGATCCTGAACGATGTTTATTAGCATTCCTATCATTTATAACTTGACCAATGAGAAACTTCGCCTTAATTTGTTCAAACGCCGGTTGTGAACAAAACACAAAGAATTTTAAGCGGCCACCTATATCCCAACCTAAAATTGGACACCGCTGTTGTCGCCCTTTTTTCATCCTGCGGCTTTTATAACCAGTCTCCCTTACTAACATTAAAAAGATTTAGAATCTCGTTTTGGGTTAATGGCAAAGGGCATGAAAATTTCAACTTGCAACTCGTAATCAAGATTTCCCTTAACTTTTCGTTTGTTGTTCATTTTTTTAAGGTTGGGAAATTTAGAGAATGTTCACCTGGAAAATAGAGAACAACAGTGTTTGATCAAGGTTAATTTGAATTTCTAGCACGAAGCAAGATTGTTTTTCAGACTTGACAAAACAAGTGCTGTAATTGTTTTGGACAGTTTCAAAAACGTCCGCGGAGTATTCATTTCTATAGCACTGCTAAATAATGAATTCCTCTTTACTAAACTTGTTAATAAAGAAATGTAAAACAAAAGCAGCTAAAATAAAAGCAGTTGTCAACAAAAGCAACAGTGGACAGTTGTACAAATACATGGTTAAACCGAAGTACACAGATCCTTGAGCGTTTGCATGCCTTCACGATGCCGGCCTCTTTCCTTTAATAACAGTACACGAGTAACGAAACTGCTCGTGGAGAGTGTCACTTAATCTAAATGCAAACGAGAAAATGGGTAATTTTTATGGAATTGCAAACTGAGTCTTTGTTTGGTAACAATTTCGTGTCGTGAAATGGATTGTTGCCGATGTTTTCTAAGTTAAAAACCTTGTATTTCATTTTAACAAAGTTCTGCACGGTCGATTTTTGTTCGTCTTTTTGCGAAAATTCATGTTCATTAGAATTTTTTACGATATATAGATTTAGCCAAGGCTAAAAGCGGAGTTCTTTTAAAAAACTAAACCAATTACTCAAAACAACAGAAAATTAAAACAATAAACAAGAAAGAAATGAACAAATCTTCGACCTGTTACTTTCCTAGTAATCTCTGAAGCAAGACTATTGTTTTTTTCTATAAAAACACTACTAGGAAGCTAAATAAATCATCATTTTTATTCCTGGAATTTTAGAAGTACAGGAGACGATGAATTAACTACGTCAGTCATTCAAAAGCCGCTGCACTCTACAAAACCTAAGATTCTTCTTCACATCATCATTTAGCATTGCTTTTGTTTGAGGCGACATTCAAATCAATTCCCTTCTTCTTATATTACCTTGAGGATTGAGAGAATGGCTACTGGGTATTTATGAATTTTTTTTATATCAAATTTGCTCTTTCTTGTACGAGTGCGATCCGTAACCGTAGCATCGATCAGTTTCCCATCCATTGCTACGGCGTGATGCCGTCTCTCACGCCGGAGAAACGGGGAAGCTCAGTCAAATACAGCCGACAGTTTCGTTTGTGCAATCAAATGGTGACGAGTGAAATTAGGGAATAATTTCACGCGCGTTTTGTCCAAATCCTTATAATTTCCCGAGCCTTTAGGTGAGGGAAATTATTAGGATTTGGACAAAACGCAAGTGAAATAGGCCATTTTACAGTTGTGGGCTTGGTGTCTTAGCCTTTGAGTGAACGTGAGGCTGAGGTTGACCTTGTTTTGATATAAACGTCCTTCCTTTTCTAATGGAAATTTTGCTTAAAAAATACTAGTTAGCATAACAAGAACAAGTTTTGCATAATAAAGCAAGAAGGATTGTATCAAAACAAGGTCAACTCCAGCCTCGTTTGCAACTGTAACTGTAAAAAAGGCTATTATTCCCTAATTTCACGAGTATACCATTCGATTACCTGTTACCATCATGGGTGACGAATTACGCTAGCAATCTTGGATTTTTGACATGTTTATCCTGGATCGCATCGATCGAGAAGTCCACTCTCTCGAACGTTTAGAGCTTAAATATGACTCAAGTTTAGAATTTTTCGACAAAATACCTGTTAGAATCCTTCTTGATGTGCTCTTTGGTGTGTTCAGGTTTTCTAAAGCGTCTTTATATGCCCTGGCATCTTCATTCATGACATTTTAAAACTTCTTCGCCATCTTGACACTGAGATGTACGGAAGGTTGCCATGGCAATTTTGTAATTACAAATTAACTGAGAAAATTTCGCACCAAAATTAAGGAGTAATTCGTCACCTATGATATTACTGGAGAAATAACTTACTTAGCGTAAAAAATGTCAAAGAATCGAAACAACAACAACAGCAGCAAACTTTATTTGTATGACCATATATGTACATACAGTATTGCAAAAGCTATTTTAAGAAGGAGGACTCGAATTTCATCATTGGGTATGTAAGTTACTTTGTTTAAAAATTTTCCCAAAAATCACACGAGCTGAAATATTTTTAATAAATTGTATACTGATATAATTCTAAATAGAGGGGTTCATCAGTTCATTGAACAAATTCTTTAGGTGTTAATGCGCGCGTAATATATATTTGGAATCACCTTGTCTTCTATTTGATTGGACCCACCAAGAACTTTCTCTCGATGGTCTGTTTGGTTTTTGGTCGTTCATATGTTTCTTTGCTTTCTCTGCGAAGTTTATCCCGCTTAGTAAAAACAGATCAGCCATACAAAGTAGACCACTGATCCCTCCCTTCCACGGGATTTCATCCGATCGAATAGCTATAGCGAACTAGACCAGCTCCTGACTATACAGGGGATCTGAATCCGAAAGGAGTATGTTTCTAAAGTTACTGGAAGCATGAAAGTTAGGGATTTCACGAGCTAAAGCGCCGGGGAAGAAGGGGGTGGGGGAGGTGGGGGTCGTGAGGCTCGGCAAGTAAGGAAACCGCAGTTAAATGTAGATATTTGAATAAAAGAGTCTTTCTAAGTTTATTAAAAATGCCAACCAGGGGGGTTAGAGTGACCGCAAGTATATCAATTTCTTACGACTGGACTATGCTGAAATGGATTTACTGCCAGACCACATTTTAGTAACTTATCTCGGTGTGCAGTTTGAATATGGTTATTTTTACACGTACTCCCTACAATCTTGCCAATGACACAAATCATCAACGGGAGTTTCTATCTTCTCGACGCCATCATGGAGTAAAAGAACAGCCAGAAAATACGAATGGAATCAGGCAGAGACAGCCTGAGTCACAGTGATCTGTCCCATGTGACGTCGGTTGGAGAAGTTGTTATTGCGCGTGCTCATATAACAGTACTCCCCAGGCTTCGTGATGCGGAAACACGGTGGATTACAGGAGGCTGGCGCGTTGTCAAGCTGAGCCTGTAAATTGTCACCGGTGTAACACCCTTTGTTGAGGTGTAGATTCAACTTGTTAGCATCAAATTCGTCTACGTGATCAACGACTTCAAGAGGCAAGCTGGAACAATTTTCGGGTTTGAGAGAACTACATCCTTCCTTTACCCAACATACGTTGGTGCGATCTGTGCCTGAAATGAGAGGAGTCGCTGACATTAGTCTTACACAAACGTTGCATGCAGGTTTAAGTTACTTCTCTTGGAAAAATAAGTGTTAAATAAACCACGCCGACGCGAGACATTTAAAAACCTTGGTGTAACAACTTTGGGTGGGAAGGAGGAGATCTGTGTTATGCATGTAGCAGATTGCATTTAACAGTAGCACTTTGAGGATCGAAAGGCTATTATTTTCGTCAATTTGTCTTACTGACATAAATATGTTGAAAGAGGAGATTCCATTGATCTCTTTTGGAAAATTTTTATTAATTTAGTAACCCTGCCAAAGATGGACCGATGTCTAAAGAGAAATATTATACTCACGATCTTTCCCTTCACCAGCTTGGTTCCTTCTATTGTTGTTTGAACCTTAGGGAGACAACAAAAATCCATCTTAGCTGTTTATTGGCCACATTGCGTATGGGCGCATTGTTTCAAGTTAACTCACCTGACCAAACAAAACAAAGTACATCGTCGGTTGTCACTGAAATTCTCTCGGGAGTGAAGCGATATTCCATCGCAGGGTAGGTTTGCACAATGTTACCTCTCTTCCCCATTCCCCCGATGTAGACAATTTTAGAATTCTGGTACTTCGCAGGAAGAAGTGTTCGTGGCTTTAGTAAGATCACATGAGTTCTGTCTTGGAATGTTCTGCCGACCTGGGCTGTGTTTAAGGCGAGTTGGAGGGTCGTGTTACCATCCACAGCCAGTGTTGTTGGATCATTCTTTAATCTGCAGTGATAAAAAAGTACCCGGTATTTTTTTTTCATGCCATGTACATGGGATGGGGAGAAATTTGAATTCCTCAAGTTATCCAGTGAAGTTTAAAACATCAAATGAAGTCTACACGGTAAAGAGGAAAACCCCTTAGCCTTAAGGGTATGTAGAAGCCTTGACGAAGTACTTACTTTTGATTGTCTTTGGCACTAAACTCACGTGGAACGTCAGCACTGGTAATATTGTATCTGAGTCAAAATTGAGTAAAAGATCCCTGTTAGTCTAAAAATAATCGAAAGCGAACGCAAAACAACTTAAGAAACTTAAGGAAAGTGATCATAACATGCGAAGAAGTGAGGAACTACCTTGATTAGAAGTGGGGATGAGAACACAAGACACTGACCTATCTGATGAACCTGTTCACGTACATAAATTTTGCCCGAGTGTCAGTAAAACGCGGGGTCGGGGTCGATCTTTTTTCATAAAATGCTGTTTTAGGGTTAGGGTTAGCCTTGACACTAATCCTAACCCTAACGTTACCCTAACCCTAAAACAGCATTCTCTAAAAAAAAGATAGACCCCGACCCCGCGTTTACTGACACTCATTTTGCCCTGGAATTTTGACGTGATGTTTTATTATGAGAGCTTAAAAAGCTTGCATAACTGGTCAAAAAAGAAAAACGTAACAAACTACAGGGATGTTTGAATCTTCTATTTGGCATCTGGATGTGATCTTGACAGAGGCTGCCCCTGTTATTTTACAACCCACTATTTGGTGGTTGGATTGAGCGTATTGAAAACATCCGTCTCTCATGTCTAACATATCGCTTAATTTTATAATACTAGTCAGTTCTTCAAAACTGGGTTAGTGTTTAATGGAAAACTTTGAAACAGATGGGTGTATAATTAAAGTTCATTGCCTTACCTTATACGTAACACGCATCTTTGCTTTACGTTAGAAGGAAAGAAAGGCACCTTCCATTTAAATGATGAAAACTTGCCTTCCATGTTCATTCCGTTCTGGTTCACAACAGTGGAAGGAGCAAAGATCACCTCTGGTCTTTTCTGGAGCAGAACAAACTGTTCCTCTTGATCAGAGCCTTGTGAAAGTTTGTGTGGTTCATACGGTACGCCTTTTACCAGCCTCATGTCTCCCTGGCCAAGACACCTGGTTAAATTTTCGGCGTTTTTCTCAATAAAGTTTGTGATGAACTTTTTCCATTCCCGGCCACGGACAGCTTCACATGATTCTGCCGTAATGTGCTTAGCAACGCACTTTTTAGCAGGAGCATTACTGAGGTCGTTGGGACAAATTTGATTCCCTCGTGATCTGGTTGGCATAATGCACATATCTGAAAACGGAATAAGAACAAAATGGTACAATACTAATTATGCGGATGGTCTCTCGAGCGCGCGATGAAATGAAGCGAATGCTCCAATCTGATTGGCTAGCTGAGAGGGAAAGATGGGTATGTCGTGCCCGCTTTCTGTCCCGCAAGAACAAATGTCTTTTGGGCCACTTAAAGAATTCTCTGTTGACCAGGATGGCTTTGATATCGATATTGATTTTTGACTTTTTTTCTCGGTTTTAAAAGCGCCAAAAAAGAACTTGGCCAATAACCGTCCTTTTAATTCTGCTGAATCCGCGAGCGGGCAAGATGAAGCGAATCCTGCGTTCTGATTGGCTACCAACGTTGGTGCCGCAAGAAAATTTCACTTTTTGACCATGTGAAACATCCTTTATTGACCAAGCTCGTTCAGTCTTTTTTTGGTTCATACTGACCTCGACTTCTTCTCGGCCAATAAAATCGCAAAAAAAAACTTGTCCAATATCGAGCGATCTTTACCGTCTTTGCTTTGTTTTACTTTGTATTTGAGAGCAATTTCCAAGTACAAGCCCCCTGGGACTTATATTTGAAGAGGCGATTTAACGGAGGGTTTTTTGCGTTACGAGTTTGGGGGGTGGTGGGGGCTTATACTTGGAGGGGCATATACATGAAAGAGCTTGTTTTCGGAGTTTTACGGTATTTTGCACTATGAATGAAGAACGTTCTACCTTATGGTATTTAACACTGATTAAAGGAATATGATCAGTTGCGTTTAAACTCACATTTCTGCCAATATTCAGAACTTTCTATATATCTCTTCATTAAATCCAGTGTTTTATTATTGCTGACCATGATGGCAATGTCGTTCCACGGGGTGGGGCCCCAGTATGGATAGTAATCACGCTCCTCAGGTACCTCCAGGCCCCTCCTTGTTCCTCGTGAATTTTGTCGTGTGCGAGTTGCTTGATCACGCCTCAGTCTTCTGTCAGCAGTAAACAAACCTGTAAAATTAGGTTCCAAATATTAAGTAGTCTTGTTTAAAAATTTGACATGCTTCAGTTTACAAAAGTTTACAAGTTTGGAAACAGCGACAGGAGGCTAACAAAGGACTTCATACTCATGCAGGGCTATTTCTCACCTTTATTTCGTTCTCTGCGGAAGTATGCTTGGTAGTAATTTAGAGGCTCATGGAGTCCGAGGTCTTTTCGGATAAATGAATTCTCGCTCTTTCGGTTCCTAAAATTTTGAGTGTTTCTTTCTTGGCCATTCCGAATAGTGTGATATTCAAACTCTGTGTTCACATCATCTGAAGCCATCTTTCCCTTAGGGTACGGTTGACACATGTACTGTAAGATGACTTGTGACTCCACCCTGTCGTCGGTTTTTGGCCCTGTCCCGTGTTGATTTGTCCACATGATTTCCACCTCGGTTTTGGCTTTTTCGTCGCATCCACTCATGTAGAACTCCTGGTAATATAAAAAGGTTTAGTTTTGAAATCACAAAACTCTGTAAAGCTATAAACATTAAGTTAATAACACTTTTGCGCTTATCTAAGTCTAGTATAGGCACACCTGTTTGTCTTTCTCAATAGACTTTATTAGTTAAAATCAAGCAACTATTTTGCTTTTAATTTCTACTGTTATGATTGGTTGTATTGTGCTATTAGATGAAGTAATTTGTCTCGGCACGTGTTGTGTACATCAGAATAAACTCTGTTCTTTTTCGAAGTAGATATTATTATTATTATTATTATTAATCTACTAATTTAATGACGGAGACAAGCTCTTTTATCACAATTCAATTGACTACATTTATTAATTCTTTGTTTTCTCATAAAGATATGTTATACATTGTCCTAAACTCATTCTTACCATTGGTAGTTGCCGGAATTCTGAAATATTGTCTCCACGGTTACCATCATAATGGTCCATGCTGTCCCCAACATTATACCCTGCCTTGCCGTTATTCTAAAAGCAAATCGTTGATAGTAATTAAGCCTGACTCAATGCCACAAAATTTATCAAAATCCAGTCAGTGGGAACTACCACCAAATTAAGTGAAACTTTAAAATAACAGCTCGAAAAGTTAGAAGAACGCACAGCTGATAAAAAGGAAGCACGGATGGATGAACTTAAAGAAGATTGAAACAGACTGCAATTGTGGCTTTATTAGCCTAGCTGTTTTCCAAAGCTCATTTTTGTTGTTTGTAACCATTGATATAAAGTTTAGGAGACATGTTTTGCTTTGACAAAAAGCTGTGATTTTGTCATTCATCGACCGTTATGGTTATTTCTCAAATTTCAAAGCGAAGAAGGGCTCATAAATGGCATTATAAACAAAATGAACTAAACAACCGTGACACGGCCCCCTTAATAGAAGAATTTCTAGTTTTAAAAACGTGTCTGCAACTTTTTAACTCAATCTAACTTTCGATAAAGTCCTTCGTTATGGTCCTATTATGGCCCACCTGCCCTGAAACTCATCAGTTTCAAGAAAAAGTAACGTATTACACAGAAAACGAAAAATAGGTATACATGAGATATATGTCAATCACAGCGAATATTCTTCATTATATTGCATGCTTTATTCTGTTATGTCAAACAATTTTCTTTCGGCCAGGGTAGCCATTATGAAAACTAAGCTCTGTCTTCTTCTCTTTTACTCGACCTTCCTTCGTTAATGTGATCTTCGAGCTTCTCGGGAGCAAAAAACCTCAGCCTTTTGTGACCCATTTTCACTCAAATGACTGCAAATTTCGTAAGGATGGTTTTCAATAAATCGGCTAGATATATGTTGCAGTTAATTTTTGTTTTTCCTTTTGTTTTAAATTCATTAGCATACATTACCATACCCAAAACAATGGAAAAATAAAAATTAACTGAAATAAAAAGTCAACTACAACCTATGCAATAAGACGAACAGACTCGAGGCTCCAATATGAACTGGACTTTGTTATTACCTGTGAGTCGAAAAGTCTGCGGGCGTTTCTACGATTGACGCCATTGCCGTTCAATCGGTTGTTTGATCCCGGTGGAAAGTGGAAATAGATGTCTGACGTGCAAGGCTCGAAAAGGACGGACAGTAAACAACTACATAAGACAACGATCTTCATGGTCTGTATGAAACAAAAAGAAAAACAAATATTATCTTCTTTTTTAAAAAAATACAGTAAAATAATAAATAAATAAATAAATAAATAAATAAATAATAATAATAATAATAATCATGATTAGTAACATTAAAAGACAAGACTCGAGAATGATTTTAAGTTGGGTGTTTGTTTCCATAATTTCAAATTAAAGCATAACGGCGTTCAACTATTAAAATTGGGTTATTATTTATTCTCTTCCAAAACAATTTTCATACATCTAATGATCCTTTAATTTTGTTGGACGAAAGGCTTTAGTTATCCAGCGCATTCAATGAAAGTCAAGAAAATGGTAAAAGCGTTAGTCGCAATTACGCTGGTGTTTCATATTATTCAACTTTACCTTCAATTATTTCTTGAACTACTTCGTGGCTTTTCCTTTGCTTTTTTGATATAACTTTCAAATGTCTCCTACGATTGCTCATCACTCGGTTCTCTTCTTTGATGTCCCTCGTGAAGGGTTCTTATAGCAATATTCTTGAATAAATTATTTACACCCACCTAGGAAATCGGCAGTCACAAAGAGATGACTTGCGGCAGCACATAGCTAGACTCGACTACGCCTGTCCACTGCAGAAGCAGTACTTGCTTTTTAGCTTCCTTAATTCGTGAGCGCCAATATAATTCATCGATTTAGCAAATTCCCGAACAGTAAAGAGAAAACTTTTCAAAGCTTTTATTCTCAGAGAAATTAAAAACTAATTAAGTGAAAGAGTCGGTAAAGTACAGGAAAGTACTGAGTCCAGTTACTGACATTAGAGACATTTGCGGGGTTTTTGTTCTTAACTTGCGCTTTATACGGGCTTACATCTCAAATATTTTAGTAATGTTATATATTTCAAATTAATCTCTAGTTGTGCAAACCAGACTCTAATCTCCCTTAAAGACCTCTACCTACGAAACACAGAGCAAAAGAAACTCTTTTGACTATAACTGTTTAACTAACCCAAAAAATTCATTAAGACTTTCACTTTGGAGTTGGATTGAACTTAGTAAACATTGTGCGCAATTGCCATAATACAATATAGAGCGGATGTCTGTATGCAAACAATATATCACGTTTTCGATTCGTAAAACTAAAATATACTTGAACAAAGAAATTATACTCTCAGAGATGCTTTGCGTATGAGATTCATGGAAATGACTTCTCATTCGTAAGCTCATACCATGCAATATTTATTTATTTGTTTGTTTATTTTTGTGTATGTGTTAGTAAATGGTGAAGTTAAAAAGGTCAACGAGAGAAATTGGTTGCCAATCTCATTTCTGGATGGATTGTGCTTCGTTGTTACGTTAAAGGACTTTTCTAGCATCCCCCGCCGGCACGAGCTTCATGTTTTGACGTATAAAGTTTAGGCTTCGTACGTGTTGAATTAATATGATCAGTGATTAAAAAGGGCGAGTCGGATCTTAATGGCGGGTTTTAGAAAGTAGTGCGTTGGGTTGCAACAATTAAGCTTTCAGAAATTTCTCACGCCCGGCGAGCGTTGACTTCATGCTTTTTTGATATATCGGACCCATCGGCGTTTCTTCAATTGGTGGAATCCTGGGCTGCGTAAAGTGAAGGGCCTGATTTTGACATTTACTTTCTGTGCAAGGTTTAAAAATAAACAAATACATATCATACATCTTAAGTGCTTAGAGGCATATTCGCCATCGCCAGCTTCGTACTTACATCAATAAATCTCAGCTTAAATTTTCAGCAAATATAGAACCAATCATTCGCCTATTACAGATATATGGTTTTATTGGTTGCGCTTGAAAAAAAAATTATAGAGGAGTATTGAAGAAAGTGAAAAAGAAAGAAGCAAACAAACAAACAAAAATAAAAAACAGAGAAATAAAGAAAAAAAAGAGGTAAGGAAAGAAAAAAGAATTCTCCATTTGCATGCAACGCCCTCTGGGTTACTGGGATAATAATTGAAAGCGTTCATTCTTCTACGTAGGAAAAAAAATCATGCCAAAACCCATTTATGAACTGGGCGTGCCTTGAGGCAGGCCTCGTTGCGTAACTTTTCCCTCAGTACCTCAGGTAAAATAGCATCCCGTCAGAGCAAAAACCCCTCTCCACCCCCCTTAAATAATAAATTTGTCAAGCCGAAAATTTAACGATTAGGCACAGGCTGTTCGGAGTGGTTTCCGCAGCAAGACCCTACACATGTAGATCAAAAGGTTTCCCTATTGTTTTTACGAATAATAGACTATTTCTTGTTACGGAAATATGGACGAACGAAAGAAAATGACGGAAGGGAGGGCGGAAAGGGAGAAAGCCATGATCCTTATTTCAGTACGGTATTTCATCGCCTTTCTGTGAACAATAAATTGCCATCAGTATTTCTAAGCACATATTTCACCGATAACGATGGTCGCTAAATCTAGTTTTATCCTGGTAATGCAATGCTTTCTATACAGGCAAGAGAGAATCTTGATACACAGCCCACGGGATACAGGCCTATTAGCTTTAGAAACTCGAAAAGAGTTCTTCCTGCAGGTGAACGGCTGGCACAGTGGAATTTGAAAAATAATAATGGATCTTCTGTACAGTACAGGAATGAGATGTTATTTCAGCATAGTGATCTGAAGAAAAATTTATTCCTGAATCGATTGTATTATTTAGAGCATGGATAGATCATTACCACCAGAATAGTTATCATTATCATTAATAATAATCGACTGTATTTTCACGGGTCGTGCCAGAAGTGTAGAAATGGCAATTGATCGGACTGTGAAGTCATGAACAGAAGAAGTACGTGGCCTAAGCAATAAAGAATAATTTATCACCTGCTGTCAACCTCAAAAGCAAAACGGACAGTTTTGTTCTTCATCCTTTTTGCCGGTTTGAAAACACATAAAGGAGAATTCTGTGGTCACTGAGTATATGTCAGGGGCACCCAATAACGGTTTCCTCCTAAACACATTGAAAACTCTTTTTAGACTATCCAGAGTACTTTTAGATCTCTGGAAACGCATTCTCTGCGGCGTTATTGTATCTGTTCGGTCATCCTAGGGGAACTTGGGAGTTTTTGAAATTACAAAAGGATCAGTATTATTTCCCCGAAAATTTTAGATGCAATTTATCTTCTTACGAAAGTGAGAATTTCCTTATCCCGGCTCTCTCCATCACATTTTTGAATTTGAAGCCTAACATGGGGAGTACTGAAATGTGAGAAATTAAACTTTAGAAAATCGTAGATAGGCTCCGAAAATTGTGCCTAAATGGAAAGTCATCGAGAAATTTTTAGCCGTCCTGAAGCAATAGAAAATTCTATGCAATATTTGCTTCCCCGAACAGATAATATACAGAAACCTGTCGCTGTGTGCCCCTGATATGTGTTCTATCAATTATCTTTTCTTCAGCAATCAGGGATAAACGTTTGTAAGCACGTACAGTTACAGTTCAACCTTTATTTCAGACATGAAACTCATCTCAAGCTAAACTTAAGATGTTTATAAATAACAGAAATTTAACAACACTTGATTCTCTGCCTCTCACACTACTGAGCGTTTGGGGCGGTGACTGTAATCTGTCCCATGTGACGTCGGTTGGAGAAGTTGTTATTGCGCGTGCTCATATAACAGTACTCTCCAGGCTTCGTGATGCGGAAACATGGCGGATTACAGGAGGCTGGCGCGTTATCAAGCTGAGCCTGTAGTTTTTTAGGATCACCGGTGTAGCACCCTGTATTGAAGTGAAAGTTCAACTTATCGGCGTTGAATTTTTCCACGTGATCAACGACTTCGAGAGGCAGGCTGGAGCAAGCTTTGGGTTTGAGAGAACTGCATCCTTCCTTTACCCAACACACGTTAGTGCGATCCGTTCCTGCCGAAGAAGAGGCCACAAATGATTGAGGTTGCCTTCTACTCAATAGTCTTTGTTTGCATGTCACGCTCCTCTCCTATTGGGCAAGACTGTCGACCTCGTTCCCAGGGCATTTCCCAATTTAAAAAGAAAACGTCCTGGGGACGAGGTTGAGAGGACTGTATTATTAGCCCCAAAGGTAGAGGGCCGCCAACCTGATTATGGCAGCTGAATTGTTTATCTATAAGTGTAGAATTCAATAATACACATCCTTCTATACAAGTCTTTAAAGCCAAGTTTATGGCTCTTTATCAAGTTGAAAAAACCAATAGCGAACAGGCGGAAAAAAACTAATTACACGTTTGAAGATCTAGATATGGAATACATTTTTGCCCTTCGATAAATATCGTTAAACTATTAAATGTCTCTATAGAAGGCGCGTCACACATATGCGTCACCCTTTAATTTCGTTGATGTTTCAAATAATTAATGAAAATCAGATTTACATGTAACACTGTCTCTATATTGTTGTATTTTTTCCTTTTCTTATCTATTTATTTTATTTTATTTTTTTACGGCATTGTCAAGGTTTGTATAATAATTTGTATTTTTAGTGGCTGCAAAATGAGTGGTGTATAATGAAATTTGTTTGGATGTTTTGTAATTTGTAGGCTTTCGTATTCATTATTAAGCGCCAAAAAAATTTATAAAAGTTGTTAAATTACAACTTTCCCGGTATCATTGCCTACTGACACCATCCGCAGCGTTGAGGACATTGATTGATTAAATCGAGTGAAAAACAGTATTTTCTTACGTGCTCTGCCTTCTCCATCGTTGTTTTGGTTGTTGTTTGAGCCTGTAAAATCCCAAAAATAAGGAAAATTTCGTAGTCAAGCTGAACATAATTACTGGGCAACTAATTTTATCACATAGTGGGCTTCATGAACTAAGAATAAATTGAAGAGGTATATATGTTGTGATTTAAGTTTGGTTTTTCTGTCACTGCGCCACTCTCCCCTTTCTCAGATCAAGCGAGGGCTGTTTCCTTTGACCTTAGTTTTGCCAAGCCCCTAATATCTGAGTCGAGAGCTTGGTTTAGGAAACAACAAACACCAGCAAAATTTGAATGGGCAAGGGAAAGGGTGGGGTTTTTTGTTCTTCTAATAACCCATTTGAAGAAAGTGTCACGAAAATGTTTTCCCTGATTGAAATGAGGAAACATGGTGATAAGCCCTTTCCACCCCCTCCCCCTTCACCCTCGTTAACCCCCCCGTCTGTTTCCGATTTTGCTTTCTGTTTCCCTGGTACCCCACTAGTCAAAGTACGCTCACAGCCTGCTACCCACCGGACCATACAAAACACACCAAATCCTCTGTCGTTACTGAAATGCGCTCAGGAGTGAAGCGATATTCCATAGCAGGGTAGGTCTGCACAATGTTTCCTCTCTTCCCCATTCCTCCAATGTAGTAAATGTTGCGATTCTGGAATTTTAGTGGCAGGCTGTGTCGTGGTTTAAGCAAGATCACGTGACTTCTGTCCTGGAATGTTCGTCCAACTTGAGCTGTGTTCAAGGCGAGCTGAAGATCCGTTTTGCCGTCAGTTGCTTTGGTTTTCGGGTCGTTCGTTACGCTACAAGATCAAAGTTTATGAATTAAAACTACATGTCACATTTTTAAGGGAGGTGCTTTCTAACACGCCATAGGAAGGAGATTGTAGAAGTTACCACGGCAGCTAATCTTGACCTTCGGAGATAGAATTTGAAAATTGCTCATCAGAGGATAATTAAGTGAGGTTGTCATTCTCGAACGCCGGTCATATATCATGAGTGTCGTTTGTTGTGCATATGTGAAGGTTCCTTAGGAAGAGTAAATTGAACTGATAGAGATAAATCTCCGCCATTGCACTCATATCGAAAATATCGAAAAGAATACGAGGACATCAACAAAGCAGCCAATAAAAACAACAACAATGCGTAATAAAATTAAACTACATGTATTTTTTCCTCGCGGCTTCACCGCTTTCGTCCGCCGCTCATCACCTAACTGCGATGCAGGCTACACCGTAAAATGCTAGTATAACTACAAAAGCGCAACTTACTTTCCGTTATTACTGGCATCAAATTCGCGTGGAACATCGTCAGTGGTGATGTTATATCTAAAACAACAAAGGGAGTTCTTTTCCAGCTGTTTAAGACAAATAACATAACTACCAGCAGATCTAATGGAGGGGTTTGAGGGGCCCAGGCACCCATCTTACTTTAAAGCGAAAAAAAAACCGTACAAACCACAGGAGATAGGATTTCCTTTTGACGGAAGTGGATAAATGTTGTATCCTCCTCTCTTTTAAACTCTTTTTGATCTGAATCCTGTACTATAGATAACTTAACTCTATTTAACTCTTGGTAATGAGTCCCATTAAAATATAATTGAAAATATTCTAGTGAGAGTTAATTAATACTTTTATGATTTCAACATATTCACTATGAAACGCCAAGACATTTTGTGCGGAATGCAAAACACCAATGAAATCTTTGTTACTGAGGATACATTCTTATTTTTAAGGAATGTGAAGGAAGAAAGAGTCTTTTTTGAAGAAAATGGGGCTTTTGCATGCTGTTTTGGCCAAGGTAATATACGCTTAATCACAGATGGGACGCTTGTTAGAGTGACGGCGCTCATTTGAAGAAAAGCGTTTATGGGTGTGGCATCTCCGCTCAGTCAGATTCGAGGCACTTACATGCAATTTATCTCACCTTATACGTATTACGCAGCGTTGGGTTGTGTTAGAGGGAAAGCAAGGAACTTTCCACTTGTAAGAAGAAAACTTTCCTTCCATGTTAATTCCGTTATGATTAACAACAGTGGAAGGAGCATAGATGACATCAGGTGGTTTGTGAAGGAGGACATACTGTTGCTTTTGGTCTGCCCCCTGCGACAGCTTGTGTGGCTCATACGGAATGCCCCTTGCTATCTTCATGTCACCTTCGCCACGACAAGTGCTTAAGACTCCAGCGGTTTTCTCGGCAATGTTTGTGATGAATTTTGTCCACTGGCCTCCACCTGCTTTACAAGCTTCCGCTGTGATGTACTTAGCAACGCATTTTTTCGCAGGACGGTTTTCATTTGTCAGTGGACAGTTGGCGTTTCCCGTTAGCGTGGTTGGCATGATACACATGTCTAAGAAATTTAAAAGTTTTAATACATAAAGCATCTCAGGATCTACATTCACAAATGATATAAGTACCACGATTTATCATGAGAAGTCCATAAAAGAAGTCCGGCAGGTGAGCACACACCTTTCGTCACGCGCGTGTTTCATTCAATTGCAACGAGGTACAATGCACAAAGCCTACCTCACTGATGACTTACTACGACCGGGCAAGTCTTAGCCCACTTAAGAAAGAAATAGAAAATTGTTCCTCGTGATATGTTAAGTATGATAAGCGTTTGAGAACTTTCGAGTCACAGCACTCGAAAACTTTGGGATGATCACTTCTCGACACCAAGAGATGGCTTTTAGACAATATCTGAACATGCTAAAGCAAAATACACTCACACTTGTGGCCATAATGAGGACTGCTGACATAATCCTTCATTAACTGCTCTGTCTTCTTATCGCTAACCATAATGGCAATGTCCTTCCACGGGGTGGGGCCCCAGTAGGGATAGTAATCACGCTCCTCAGGTACCTCCAGGCCCCTCCTTGTCCCTGCTGCATTTTGCCGCGTGTAGATTGGCAGAACACCTTTGAGCTTTTGGTCAGCGGTAAACAAACCTGTAGAATGAACAAAAAGTTCACGTAAAGTGATCAACTGCGCCATTTAATGTCTCCTTTACCATCCTTACACCTTGAATAGGATAGCAAGAAAAGCAAACCTTCGTGTCTCTTCGAATTTTTATGGTTCTTGTACTAAACAAAAATTGAGACAACTTCCGCCTTCACATATTAGTGTTCAAGTGATCTGTGATTAGAGGTGAAATATGGGCTCAGAAGGTAGCCAAACGCGCATTTTACGCCATCCTCCGGCAAGCATTGCCTTTCTTCGTACTTGCTCGATTTTACTGTGCTCCAGAAAGACTATACATGAATCGAGTAAGATATATGCTTGGCATGATTTGGATGTTGCTTGCATACGGTTTCAACTTTCGAACCCGGGCAGTTTTCACTTGTACAGCGGGCTCAGTTATAACTATCCAAGTCAAGCAATATGCTCGCACTCGCAAAACTAGTTTAAGAGGAGAATACAAGATTGGTCCGGAATTTCTAGCTGCGGTGACTTTAAAGGTTTGACGCGATTTAAACGAAGTCCTCTTTTCTCAAAGACAAGACAAATGGAGGCTTTTCTTACAGGGTGATTCTATATTAACGTGTGACACAAGTGGACAAGTAAACTCCTCCATCCGCCACCGCGTTTACATGTGTTTGTCCATTTTGAAGCTTACGCGATACAGTTGATTGCTGGTAATGTTGCCTCGAACTGCCCTATGAGACTGTGTTGGAGGTCAAGTTTTGATCCATTTTCCTACACAGTCTCTAAACAGGTGATGAAAGAAGCGTTAGTGTCTCCCATTACCGATTTAGCCTCTCGTCCCTTGACTCGTGGAATTCAGGAATTCAGCTCAATTTATACGGAATCCTGCTAACGATTGGAATCCGGAATCCAAGTTCCACTGACATAGAATTTGGAATCAAGAATGTCTTCACTTGGGTTTCTTTACATGAGGCAATAGTCTCATTCGCAATCTCAGAATAGACTAATGTATACCCACCTTTGTTTCGTTCTCTACGGAAGTAAGCTTGATAGTAATTGGCTGGCTCATGAAGTCCACGGTCCTTTCTGATGTAAGCATTTTCCCGAGCTCCATTTGCAAATCCTTGCGTGGTGAGAGTCTGCCCATTACGTATTGTGTGATATTGGAACTCTCTGTTGACGTCATTGGTAGTCATCTTTCCCTCGGGGTATGCCTGACACATGTATTGTAGGATAACTTGTGTTTCCACCCTGTCGTCCGTTTTTGGTCCGGTTCCGTGTTGGTTTGTCCACATGATTTCGACTTCGCTTTTTGCTTTTGCATCGCATCCACTCATATAGAATTCCTGCAAAGAAAAAAAAAGAGGTCATTCTAATACTCTTGGCCGAAGGTAGGGATTTTAAGATCATGGATAAAGAAAACAAAAATACCAAAAACTGCTATCTAAGGAGTTAAACTAGTCTTTTAAAGTTAAAACTCGAAGAAACGCATCTAACGGTTGATTCATTTAGGCATTCATGGCAGGTCGCGTAAGAAAGGTACGAATTAAAGGCTCGTTCAGTTAGTTGTTATTAGGCCCCTGTAAATATACAAACTGAAAAACCGCAAGTAAGAAAATGCATTTTTTTGTTTTCCCGCCAAGTTAGCGTCAACAGGTTCTTACATCAGTAAAAGTGAATTAGCACTAATTTTAAAAGGCTATTTAATTTGTTTCTAAAAAAGTTTCTTATTATCTGAAGATAAGGATCACATTATAGCTTTGAGAGTTTAGGGGTATTTAGTCTGGTCCTGATATAAAATCTGCCTAAAAAATAAGTGTTCAGGTCAATTTGACTGTAATAAGAAAAATTGAGGCTCAACCTGCCCCGGGGGATTTTCCATACAATGCCCTAAACAGGGAAGCTCCGCCCAAATGGGGGGCATTTTTCAGGCCTCAGGTTCTGACAGTATCTGAAAGGGTAGGGATTTCACTGGTTGAGGCATATGAAAGGGGTGGTAAATCTGCCATTTGGGTCTGTAAAAGGCCCAACAGGGCTAAGAGATGCCTTTTACGGCTGTGAAAAAGTCGAAACAACGTTCCGGTTTTGTGATTTATTCACATTTATAAAATGGCTAAGATAGTACGCTCTTTGTGATTGGTTAAAAACCTATGGTTTATTGTGCCGGTAAACTCATAGAAAACTGACACATTTTCCGTTCTACTTAAAGCTATTTTATAAAAGCAGTAGACCACACTTTCTATGGGTTTACCAGCGTGATAACCCCCTAGAGATGTTGGGAGAACACTCGAAAAGCTTGTAAATCACGAGCCGAAGGCGAGTGATTTACAATCTTTTCTCGCCGGTAAACCCTTAGAAAATGTGGTCTATTGCTTAATTAAGGACAGTGTTATTACAGTAGTTAAAGGGGCGAGTGCAAATTTCTAAACTAGGTATGTGAAAGGGGTACCATTTTGTCACAAAATAGGTTAAACCGATCATGATTTATTCTAAGTGATTGATGTTAAACAAGAAAGTTGAAAATTCTACCTATTTGTCCGATCCAGCCTTTGCGCATACGGCCCAAATCGCGCGTTTTTCTTTACAATATTTGTTCCAGTCTTGATCTAACAACGGTACTTCCACCTTATTTAGTAATTGAGTCTGAGTTTATAATTACCATTGGGAGCTGTCTGAATTCTTGAATGTTGTCGCCTGGGTTACTGTCCAGCTTGTCTCCAACATTATAGCCACATTTGCCATTATTCTGAGATAGAAAAAACATTTACAATTTTTCCAAAATCTAATAATTAAAAGTAAAATAACCATTATAAAATCGGCACTCTGTTGTTTGGCTTTATAGATGCATAGACTAGCAAAGTGGCAGCCATTTATAGATGACGTTACAGTGCTGAATCACCGCAGCATTAGTATCATAAAGTCTTTCCTTTTATCGCGGGTTCAGATAGACAACTCATTGAGGTGACGTATTTTTTTTTAAGTTATCCGCTTACGAGTACTTGGTTTTCAATTGATCGCCGACTAAGTTTCATTTTTTAAAGGTGGAATTCAGTTCGCTTTCTGCTTACGGCAACAGTTGAATTACTTGAGAAAAACATTTTTTAAAAGATCACTTGACTGAGAGGTTCTCTTTTGGCCTTGGCTAAATCTATATACATTACATTTGTGGCCAAGAAGCCAGTTTCTTACTGGCATCATTATCTAGCTGCCCTATAGGCATGACTTTACCTGTGAATCATACAATCTGTTGGCGTTTCTGACGTTGTCTTGATTACCGTTTAGTCGATTGTTTGACCCTGGAGGAAAATGCAGGTACATATCGGACGTGCAAGGCTCCAAAAGAACAGCTACGAGACAGCTCCAAACGATAATTATCTTCATGGTCTAAGCAAATAGAAAACAAAACTTTTTCTAAATGTGAGTCATTGTAATTTTGTAAGAGTATATATATCTGCGTGGTGTTCACCTGTGTACCAGGCATAATAAAACTTGAAATATATATGGAACGTAATATAATAACGATAGCTAGCTTCGCCTCGCGCATATGACGGTTTCCTACTAAATAGATAGAACACCCTTTTTAGGCTATCCAGAGTTATGTGTACTTTTAGATCTCTGGAAAAGCATCAGTCTAAGCGGCGCTATAAAATTTCCACCTGTCCGGTCATCCTAAGAGAACTTGAGTCTTTTTGAATTACAAGGGCTTCGGAAGTATCATGAGTATTTTCTCGAAACCATTACTGAGTTGGAATTTAACGTATTGCGAAATTGAAAAATTTTCAAATTCCTCTCTCCATCACACGTTTGAAACCGAAAATTTTAACTTTCCTTTTTTTCTTCGAAAAATAGCCTAACCAGGGCAGTGAAGTGTGAAAAAATTAAACTTCAGAAAATGGTAGGGAATTTATTAGATAAGCTTCGAAAATTGTCCATGCACGAACTGGAATGGAACAGTCCTCAAGAAATTTTTAGCCGTCCTCAAAAAACAATAGACAATTCTTGGCAATGTTTGCTTCTCCGAACAGATATTTTACAGAAAACAGTCGTTGGGTGCCTCCGATCCATCATGCAAGACTTCTTAACATGTCATTGCATGGGTGATGTGTTTGAATATGAGACTGAGAATATTACTTGTTTTCCGTGGCATTCTGACAGAGAGGTTTTTCACTGCAGCAGGAGTCATTTGGATTAGCATGGGAAACCTCTACAGCCTAATAAAATTTCAAAGAAACGAAGAGTTTTTTTATTTTTATTTTCTTTTTATGCTGGGCTAAGCCTTACTGAGCTTGTGAAAAAACAATGTTGAAACTTGGAGGTCATTTCATGTTCCTAGCTGATAAGTTGTGCGTTTTTGAACTGAGCTGAAGGAAATACTGTCATTTCTACTTTCCATATCAAGCATTGAAAAACAAATAAGACAAAGTTAATTATTGTAAATAAATGAAAGGGACGGAGAGATCTTAAAGGAATTTCTGTAGTTTGCGTGTAGCCGGGAGTTACAAAAAAAGAAAACAAATAAATAAAAAATATATAGGTACATTGCCATAAGTAATACTTTCTCGTTTTAGGCATTCCAGATAAAAAAATAGGGTCGGATTTTATGTTAAAGGCCTATATTGTGTATACTAGCGCAGCAAACTGTCTTCAATACGTTTCCGGTGATGAATAGCTATTTGATAAATTCTCGAATTTTGGCAAAGCTCCCTGACCTTTTAAATTCTTCCTAATTCTTAGGTAGTTGTCCTAAGTTTTTGTCTAAGGCTGTGTCGTAGCTGATATTAAAGTACATTCCCTGATGCCCAAAACGTGGCTCAAGGATAACATTATGTACACGGGGGCCTATGACCCTGATGTACATCAGTGGTGGTTAAACTAGCCAGTCACAAAGTGAAGGAAAAAAACTTCAAAACTTTAGCTCTCTGACATTTTAAGTTGCAGGTTATTACCTTTTCCACTACCCAACTTTATTAAAAGTACGACGCTTTTGTACAGTTTACATATAGAGTATTTAGAAATTACAGTAACTCTTTTTGGCAAGAACAGGCTGCATTTGAATTTCCGTTATCTCTGGTTAAAACACTTACATGTATAGCCCCGGTTTGTTCAAAGGGTGGTAACTCACTTTCCGGAAGACGACGCCTTCATGGTTTACCTGACACACTTATCCACTGGATAGTGATTTATCGGGTGGATGGCGCTTTTCATCCAACTAATTTTGAACAAGTGGCCGAGGCCAGTGGTTTTCTCTCTCGCTTAGCTTTTTTTTATTGGTAAAACTGCCCGTTCAATGTAATTTTCGAAACGGGGGGTAAATAACAACATCAATTCTTTTCTTTGGCTTTTCTTGAAAACAAACATTGGCTTACTCAATTCGCGGGTGATCCGACTTTTGATTTCCATATCCAAGTTTGAGAGTAATATTTTGAAACTCCGCAAAGTCGTGAAATGTTACAAACGCGGTATGGTGAGGGCTTCCCACCAAACTTTGCCAGGTTATGCATAACATATTCTGTTGACTATTTTTAAGGCGCCCTATTAAGCAGTGTAGTTATAAATTTCGGCTCAAACTGTTCCTCGCGTGAAACGTTTTAAGAAAAAATTGAATCGGTCTCTATTCATTAGATTTTATGGCAAGTAAAAGAAGATTTTACTGTTAGTTATGATTTGATGAAAAATGAAATTCACGTTACACTGCCCCTATAAGTCTTAAACATGAGAAACACTTTTTATTACTTACTTGTGTGGACAACAACAGTCCCTCCGTCGGCTTAGAACACTATTTTACACTGTGCCGAAAACCCTTGAGATTTTAATATACGATACTGGACCATGTACTACTATTGAGTACTTGATGATGTTTGCTTTTCAGTACAAAGAAACAGATCATTTTTTATGTGTCATTCTGAGAAGCGGGCAGCTGTTTAAAGATACGTACAAATGACGACCCAGAGCATAAAACCAAACTCCAAACAGTTAAGCAAATATCATTCTTGTTCCTGACGTCAGTTGAAAGAATTGTTTTCTTTTAATCTGAATCGCAATTATCAGGCATTCAAAGTACAGTTTAACAGTCTCTGTTAGTAGTTAATGATTTGACCTAATCAGATGTTGGGATCTTTTCTGAGTCATATCCAGTCGATCCTCGTTTAAGTCAACAACTTTTTTTTTTTGTTTTTTTTTTGTTGGCAACAACAAGACGGATAACTTCTCCCTGTTCCCGTTTTTTTTAACAGTTGTTTCCAAGAATTTTATTATTCTTCAAGTAAAATTGTATGACCCGCGCACTAGAAGTAAAATGCAAGTGCTCCTCGCAACGATTTGCATTCACTTATAAGTTTTTATCACACTTAGACCCATCTTGTGTTGGATTGGTGAAAGATCTTCCCATAGGACACGGAATCGCAAACTTTGAACCCGTTTTTAAACAGAAAACAAGCCGGAGTATTAGCTGAATCCCGGAATCCGTGGTGAGAGCAAATCTAGTTTTCCCCATCAAAAATGTCAAGAAGCAAGAAATCACTGGAAATTAACTTGTGATAAAAAATTAACACGTGCATTGAGTGCTAGGATACGTTTTTATTGTTGTAGAATTTGATCTAAAACCAGCAATGCTTAGGTCGTTAAGGTCCATTATTGAGCGGGTGCTAACTTCCTCAAGTAACTAAAACGTTTGCTTGAAATCAAGAGAGATAAAAGATAAAAAGCAATTTAATTCCAGCCCTCTGTATTCTTTTTCAATTGTATCTCTTTTCTATTATTTTTTCTTTAGCTGCAGAATATTCTTTTTGTAAGTATATTTATAACATTCAATTTTTAACTATAAAATACAGCTACTGAGTAAACAACTTGTCTTTGAACCAAGTTAACATATATATGTGCATGCTATACAATGTTTTCTATTGTTGTTTCTGTCATCACAGTTTTACAAAAAATGTTTATACAGAAAATAAATATATATTTTTCAGCGCAGCTGGCTTTGACAAATTTCAAAACTCGCCACAAGAGGAGTCAATAACCAACAAAGGAGATTTGGATTAATTGGTACTGAAAGTAACTTAATTTTAACATTTCCCGCCTTTTTTTAGCTCTTAAATATTTTGGACTGTGGCCAGGATTTTTAAGCAAATGGAAGGTGAAAGAAACTGAGTGTGACCCGGCCTCAACGAATCTTCGGCCATTCCAGACTGAAGAAATGGTTTCATTGTTGTTACTTTTTCTCGTTGTTCTTTGCGTTAGACGGTTTTGCAATTATCTTCTGTTAAGATCAGTTCAGGCCAACCACTGCCCTTTTTTGACAAAGAAAAAATAGACATGACGGTTTACATGACGTTGACACCAATATATTATTAAATAGCAGTGTTTTTCAGAAAAGGTAGCCTTGAATAAAGAAATACAACAGAAAAGACCCGAGATAAAATGTACTTGTAAAAGGTAAATAAAGACTTTGGTATGTGAGGGCGTGTTGATTGAAGGTCAACAACAGGGGTGTGGGTGAGAAAGCAAACAGAGTCAACACGAAATCTCAACTAGGTATATTGCTCACTAAGTTAGAATAAATCAAGCCCTGACTTGCTTATAAACGCTTTCAAACCTTCATGAAGTCATGTTATGTCTAAGTGCAGATAGAGCTGAACTTTATCCTCAGAAGCAGAGGATTTTCGTTTTTCTCAAAAATTTGACTGCCAACGTTTCCTCAGGATTGACACGAGGGCTGGACATTCTACGTGCGAGCGAGCGAGCCGGCGAGGCAGATGCGCGGATTTCTCCCTCGCGCGTTTTCCCCGCTCGCACGAACGTGAAATGCTCGCCCACGCAACACTCGGGTTGTTCTAAAATTTAAGTCATGGAACGGAGACTAGGAACCTGCAACACCGATAATCCCACCAAATGAGGGGGAGGAAGTTAGAGAAAAAGAAAGGAGATTTGAATATTAAAACATATTATTTTTGTAGTTTTTTTTCCTGTTGTCAAAAGCAAGAGGATTGCGTTATACCATAGTACTTGTGCTAAATGGCAACTTCTACAACGATAACTCTCTTTAGCTGGAGAAAATTCAATTTAATGACTATCAGGACTTGAGAAGGACTGATGACGATGAGAACAAGGATGTCTCAAAGGCAGACGTAACTGTGTGCATTGTTTTAGTTAATGTTTTGGAGTTCTGCACTCAACACTGAGGAGAAATATTCGACTCGTCTCGTCTTGTTGAACGCCTTTCTCACTAACTAAGCTCAAATCGGGCATAATCGGGAATAATCGCGCTTAGTGATAGGTGATCCTGAAACCACTTACTTTTTCATCTCATGGTTACCCAGTAAGCGTAATCCGTTTGTATAGGCTGCGCCCCCGCTTAGCGCGCCTACGCAAGCACCCATGTCACCCATGACAACTCCAGCACCTTCACTTCTGTGCATCGCGGATAATAAACTGATATAAGTAAATTCGGATTAGTATTTTAGTACTAAGGGACCAGTCCTCCACCCCCCTCAAACTTAAATTATGACTAGTCCCTGAGGCCAAATCGAACATGTTTTGCGTTTGAGCACAGAGCACCCACAGAAACTGTGTGAGCGTGACTTCCTTATTCGTAACGTCATCATCATCTTTTAACAGCCGGAAATGAAGCTTCATAACCATATATGGTTATAACAACATTCGCAGCTCCTTGTGCCTGGTGCAAAGGAATTAGAGGTCATTAGAGTGAAAGTGCTGCCGAGTGCTCTAACCTCTTTCGAAATAGAGCACTCAAACTGTTTCTGCCAGATTTGCAAGCCGTACGAAGCTCTAACGCAATGAAACCTTTCACCTGTATTTTGTTCAGCCTTTTGTGGTCTTGCTGTGCCGCAGATGTCTACTTGCACAATCCTCGAGGAACGAACAATCGTTTAAACGAGAGGTCCGCAGAAAGAAGGAATGCTAACAGGCTGTTTGATTCACAGGTAATCAGTTTATATTCATAGTGTTTTCGCTCTCCTTACGTTTAAAGGACCGTAATCTTGTAAATTATGTTTTTCATGGTTCATCATGTGGACATGAATTATGGAAATATCCGAGGCGATGCTGTTGTTGATCGATCGTTGCTCCGTTTCCAAAACATCTCGTAAGAGTTTGCATTTCGTTTTCCCACTAGCGCCCCCCAAAAAGTTCATTTGGCTGATCAGAGTGCTTTCTGTAAACTTGAATCTTTTGACAGTTTTTGTATCTCATTTCCTAAATTATGTGTCTATTCATAGTCAATTTACCGTCGAAACGAATGATGCATAAATTAAAACAAACTTTTCAGAATAAAGGAAAGTTTCACCAAAGTTTTTAACAAAAATAAAATGAAATATAATAAAATAAAAAATAACTAAATAACTAAATAATAATAATAATAATAATAATAATAATAATAATAACAACAACAACAACACCATCATGTGGGACATGCCAGTCAGTACTGATAGAACTATAACAGCGAACAGACCAGATATCATCGTTAAAGATTCAGTGAATTCCACCTGCAAACTTATTGATATGACTGTTCCATCAGATAGAAACATCGCACTGAAGGAAACTGAAAAAAATGCAAGTGCAGAGACCTAGAACTAGAAATACAGAGAATGTGGCATATGAAAACCGTAGTGATCCCTGTGGTTGGTGGTGCTTGGTACAGTGATGAAGGGTATGGTAGAAAACATCAAGAAAGTATCAGAGAGAGCTGCTATGACAGAGATTCAAAAGATCTGCATGCTGGGATCTGCACGAATCCTCAGAAAGTTGCTCAGTGTATGAACAGAGTGATTGACTTGAGTGACTGACGCTCTAGGTGCATGGTTTGTGCCCGGCTGATGCACAAAAAGAACACCAGCACAGACTGTGATAATAGAGACAATAATAATAATAATAATAATAATAATAATAATAATAATAATAATAATAATAATAATAGTAATCTACTTACATTTTGGGCAAGATTTGGCCTCACAGTGTATGTTGAGGTCAGGAGAGGGGGCCACATCAAGGAAATGACTCAGGGACATCAGAGGGAATACCTGCGTAGATGAAGTAAGCTGCCTTTAGCCATGACAAAAACAGCCTGCATTTTCACGCAATGTTACCAACCCTGTCATCCTTCATGAACTTTCCAGAGGATACTGCACTCCGCTTAGCATGTTAACAGACAAAAACAGTGGGCAAACAATGCATTTTGGCAATTATTGCACTAACATCTAGTAGCTGGTTTTGCTGCCATGTTTCAGTGCTGTTGTTATGCTGCCAAAGACAGTTAATTTGAATAAATGTTATGTCAAACCAACGCCACCCCACCAAGGTAGGTGGGTTAACCCACCATGAAATGTTTAAATGTCAATTCAAAATGTGACTCTGGCTCAGAGGGTTACCCGTATGATATGGCAGACCAGGTAACCAAGATGCCAGGAAACCTATACGTGTGACCAAGATTAAAATGAAAGATTGTGAACAGTGGGCTTCCCGGCTTTACCCATGGTCCTCCACCACAGAATTTAATATATGTAAACAGGCCAATCGTGCGCACATTTTTGCAAATTCCCATGACATGTTGCTCTTAAAGTTTGACTTGTTGAATAGTTTAACTGGTACCTTATGGGCCTGGCATGGGACACAATGTTGCAGGATGCCATGTACATGTACTTTGTACCTTCAAGTGTATTGTTGTGCAGTTTGTATCTGCTATGGAATCAACAGCAGAGCCAATCAGAGACATGCAACAGCAACAGTTCGTTGCATTTGAGCATTAAGGGAGACAATTAACAAAAACAATGTACCTCAAATGCACTGACATTGCGATTTTGTCCCCAAACAACAGGTGGGGATCCACACCGGTTCCCACCATTTTATGAAATTCAGTCAGATTTTTAATAAGTAAATATATTTTAATAAAAATAAAACTTTCCAAGTTGAAATCTGGCCAATATCCTTTCTGAATGACTCATAAACCCAGGGAAGGACTTTGGGGAGTTAAAATCCAGCATGCGGTTTGCCCTGGATCAAACCTCCCTAGAAGCTTGCGCCTTCAATGCTCATTTAAGAAATTGGTCCGTATTCATCCTGGATCCTTGCCTGTGTTTTTCTTGTTGCTGCATTTCCCTGCTAGACATTCCAGTGACTGTTTTCCCTTTCCCCAAGGGGGAAACATAACACTTACTCACTGATTTATGATGTAGATATGTTGGTCAGACGTGTTTGTCCATATTAATTTTATTACATATATATGTAAGTTGTTATCTACTGGAACTCTTCCAGGGTATGTGGTAATAAACCAATGCTGGAGATTAAGGCAATGTGCTTTAATAATTGTGATAATACATGTCTATCATTATGACTTATTCATGTTAATTGTCATGTCATATCTTAGCTCATCAGGGATGAATTCTTCAAGGTCAGGGAAAAGTAAGGGAATTTCCCTTCAAGTTAGGGATAGCCTGTTCCGAGACAGTGGTGAAAAGTCGTTCAGTAAAAAGAAATGCAAAAAACACGCGGGGGCTCTCTCACTTTTCTCGCTGCCACCGCCCCCTTTCCCAGGTCGTGCGCGTCTTATTTTCGCTTTGCTTGTTTTAATACGTCCGCACTGTACTATCTGAGAGCCTGGCACAGGCTAAGTTAGGGAAAATTGAAGTCTTTGGAAGGATTAGTCAGGGAGAAATGAAATTTTAAGAGTACATATATTTATTCTTTTCCCTCTTCCTTAAATTGTTCCTAACATTTAAAAGTCTCTTTTGCCTTTTACAGACATGAATCATGTTGTATTGGTAGAATATATAATTGTTCATGAAATTGAACAAGTTGTTAATGAACTACATTTGTATCAATTTTTGCAAACTGCACCTGAATTGCTGAAAGCATAATGAATGGGTGGATAGAATGGCTTTGAAGGGGAGCATTGTCTCCATTACCAGGAGTAGTTTTTTAAATTTGTTTATTCCATTGGTCAGGGAAATTTTACATTTGTCAGGAAAAGGTCGGGGAAAAGTCAAGGAGTTTCAGAAACCTCTGGCTGTGGCAACCAAATGCATGTTAACATTGCACACAAGCGGGACATTGTTGTAGTCAGCCATGTTGAATTTTGTTGAATTTGAGTAAACAAGGAAGATTGGTATCTAGACTCTTCAACATCATAATACTCATCCTCATCATCATTATCAGTGCCTACAAAATGGATTTACATGTATTACCCAATTATTATTAGTAGTATACCTATTATCTATTTAGATGAGGCTAGTTTGTCTTTATTTTCTCATTCTCTTTCATTTTCTTTTTCAGAATAACAACCGTGGTGGGTACAATGTTGGAGACAAAACTGACAAACCAGCCACCACTGCTGCTAATCAATTTAATATGGTACGTGCATGTAGTACAGTGTTGCCTATAATATGTAATTTTATTGTTTTATTCTTCATTTACAAAGTTGGTTCTTATTTCCATGCAGCTCCTGCATGTACAATCATTAACTTTAGAAAGAAACTTTTTTGTGGCAATAAATTTCTTGCAAGAATGCAACTCCTTGCCTTTTTCCATGCTTCGATCATGTAAGCTGTACCTCAAGCATTAAAATAAATCATTAAATAAATAAATAGATAAATAAATAAAAACTAAAACAAACAAACGATAGGAAAGCAATACATGTACCTGTAAACGGCAATAGATAGGCAGTTTCCCTCAAAAGGATTTGAGGAAAGACTATAATTTTGTGATTAGTAGGATAGGAAAAGCAGGAGCAGGACTATGCATGTCAACATTTGGAATAAAATGAATGAAATAATTTTTTGTAATTTAATTTTACTAGACATGTACTTCTGAGCCTGCCTGTGTTGCTGTTGATCTGTTTAGTATGTCCATTACATAAGAGCAAGCATACAGGTAGCTAGCCCTTCTTGTATAAAAAAATGGATTATACAGTATCCAGTATAGCTCAATTTGGCTTTTTTAACTCTTCTGAACCGTAAATACTTTGCAGAAATTTTTCCAAAGTGGATTCAAAGGAGGCAAATCATTCCTTACGTTCGAGTGGACCAATCAGCACGGATCTGGTGGAGTTGATGACACGAACCCTCATAAGATGAACAGTAACATTGTTTTACAGTTCAAGTGTCAGTCAGATCCTGGAAAGGTCCAGACTCTCGAAACGTTGCGCAATGGTATAAATACAAACACGCCCAAGTTCACTGCGTCCAGGAAGGCAGATGAGACAGAAAATGAGTACAAAGCACGCAAGGCTAAAGATATGGACCAGAATAGAGGCATGCATGAATCTTGGGAGTGGTATGATAAGTGCAGACGGAGGGAGAGGAATCAGGGTGAGAATCTCGAACTTAACTCTTGCGGTAGCCTACGCTACAGACGGAACTTAACTTCTGGTTAAACCCGTCTACGAGCTGGTGTTGAAATCTTCTTTCTGGGCCCCCAGCTGTGTACAATGTACCAGGATTAGAGTACTTGCTATGATTGGCCGGTTAAAACTACCACTGTCGATTTGCCAAGCAGGTTGAAGGGAAATTTGAAAGGCATTTCCGGTAATTTATAACTCGTTGGGTCCGTTGTTTACTATGTACCAGAAGAAGAGTTAGATTACGTTACTCTCCGACGCCTGCTATTCTTGGGGTAGCTTAGGGGAAAATTCGTTTATACCACAGCATGCGTTCAGTGCTCATGTATCCAGCAATAGGTTATTAGCCTTTTCTATGCTATAAGATAGTAAAAACACCTTCGCCCTATTTTCGCACGACCTTGTTTTCGCGACTTTCCGACCTTCTAAGAGCCTGACACAGACTACCAACTAAATGCCCCCCAAGTAGGCTGCGTAGCACGCGCTTGGAAGTAACGGCATAGGAAAGAACGGGGCGCGAGAGAGATACACGCGTGTTTCCCTCGCGCGCCCGTTCTTTCTTGCGCCCATTACTTCCAAGCTACCGCTACGCAGGCTACCCCGCAAGCAAGCTAAGGTCAGTCTATTTGGGTTGAGTTACTGAGGGTCCCTGCTCCATCCATTTTCATTGTGGCCCCTCCCTCCTAGCCTGGCCTGCGGACACTGACAAACGTATTTCAAGTCGGTCGCTTCTCTCCACTCTTTTTGGGTCGAGAGAAGCGACGACCGGAAATACGTCTGTGTCCGCAGGCTACTCCCCTCCTGGAGGTCTAAACGTACGTAGTGTGACGAGGAAAATGGTACAACTTGTTGTCGGTTATTCTTCTAAAAGTGAGAAAAATTGAATACCTTGTCAGAATTTTTTCATTTTTCAAGAAAATTCTTGCTGAAAAGAGCCGTTCCGGCGGTTTTTCCCTACAAATGAAAATGCTCGGGATCTAATCTGTTTTAATCTTGCTTATTTTCGTTACTAAGTTAAGTGTAATCTTGACTTCGAATAGGTCTGTTTACTGCTGATCAAAAGCTTGCTGGGAAAGAGAGTATCTTCACACGTCAGAATCCCACAGGAACGCGGCGGGGATATGAGTGTCCAGAGGAGAGAGATTATTACCCATACTGGCATCCTACAGATTGGAAGGATATTGCAGTGTTGACAAGTGATGTTTCACGGTGTGAATATTACAAGAAACACAGCTTTAATGTTGAGCCTAAAGGTTGGTCCTATCTTGTATCTTGTTGTATGTAATTTTTGGCGGGATCTAATTATTACGAACTCCGCGGTTTTTTTGATGTTCCGAAAAAGAAAAGGTGCAGTGATTAAACCCGCGAAAAATTGGCGCACGAAAATTCACTCCCTTCCTGCACGTACATGTACTTGTATATTTCTGGAATATAATTTAACTTACAAGCTGCATCTGTTAATGCTTCGGACTCTCTAATGGATGTCACGGGTAATGAGTTGCTCAGGGAAAATTAAAGTTTTCAAAGCCAGGGAAAAATCAGGGAATCAGTGTTTTCAATCAGGTTGAATTTTTCTTAAAGGGAAAGTCAACTTGGGAACATGGGAAACCAAAATTAATAAAGCACCTCCGATTTAATGTCAATGAAGGCTGGAGGAAGCATTTTAGGTCACAGCGCATCGGCGGATCCAAGCCTTCAGGTAACCGGGAGGTCTGCTTGTAAGAGTGACGTCCCCGCTCTTGGAAATCATTTGGGGCCATTTATACGAGGGATAACAATGGATTGCTCTTCCTCAACGCTAACATAATGTACAAAATGCAGTCTTAATTACTTGCGGCAACCTCCTCTAACGGCCTGACCTCTAGACAACGGAGCCAGTTAGTCCAGGCGTTCCCTCCTCTCTCCCTCTTCCTGTCTTCCTCCTTATTGTTTTTCCTCCCTCTGATTTCTGAGCGCGCGTAAAAATCGTCCCACGCGAGAAAGGCGAGACGGGGCGGGGAGAGAGAAAAACACGCGCTCGCGTTTCGCTCGCTCTACTACACCCGAGGAAAAATGGGGACTATTCGTTGTCTATTAATAAATTGAATTAATTACATGAAAATGTCGGCGTCTGAATCAATTAGGAACGCCTGTTTCAATTTGGAACGGCTCAGCCATTCTTCCCACCTAGCTTAGCCCGGCCGGGAATTTTGACTTTGGATCGACTTTAGGAACGGCTTTGATTCAGATGCCGAACTTCTTATGTATCGAGCCTAATTCATAAATTGTTATAACGTTTTTTGTTAGCAGTTTATCCGAAAAGAGCTTTTTTCTCCTTTTGTATTTTGTTCGGCTGAAACTAAGATCGGTGTGGGAATCAATTCAGCCGATCTAAATCATTTGGGTTGGCCTCAATTCCAACAAGGTTCGGCTCATGAAAACTTCGGCGTCTGAACCGGGCCTTAGAGTGTTTTGCAATAGTCAGAACTAGCTGACCAGTTCGTCATTTTGAAAATGACATTTAGTATTTTCTCGAATTTTTACTGAAACCCATCACTGCCGTGCTCACTATTTAAGAATAAACTGAGCTAGCTGGATAGTCCTGGTTAATAGTGGAATTCTCCTTTGTAACCAAGAAATTGCTTAAAATACATTCTCCCCAAACAGGAGATGTGTCCCCACTTCTCCTCGTAAAAGACCTCCTGCAGCAGTTCGACTCTCGCAAGCGACCGTCTCCTGTAAGCGACCAGTAACTCTTTGCATTTTGGGTTGTCGCTTACTCTCCGGGATTTTCGATTGTATTTAAATTGAGGAGGATTCCTGACTAGAAATTTTCTTTTGACCAACAGGGGAGTGTGTAGAGTATTATCCAAGCGGCGCGCGCAAGCACTGGTCGAGGCATAATAATGCAAAAGATTGCACAGAAAATGGCGGGAAATGGACGACATTTACAAATTTCCTGGACAAAGTAAAGCAATACAATACCAAACAAAACTGTCTCTCGCAAGGGGATCGCTTTGTTTGGGCTATTCCTCATGGTGATGAAAAGCCAATGTGTTTAGCTAAATTGGATGAACCTTATTGTGGCCAAGGTCCGTGGACAAGAGACAATCACCTTGGTAACACACCCGAAGGTGTGGCACCAAACTTTACCTGGACGATACCTTTGTTTCCTTCTGGTGAAGCTCAAATATGTATCTTTAGAATAAGGTTAGCACCCAAAACGGCTTCTTAAGCTGTAGGGGATTAAAACGAAACAAAAGCAAAAACAGAATCAATGATGCTTAATAGTGTTCATCGTTTTCAAACGCCTGGTTTTGTTGCAAGTCTAAGAAAAATTCCAAAGATCGCCCTTAATTCCATGTTGTGAGACAATAAAAAATTGGCTTGCTGTATTCCCTCTCTTAAATCCCGCCAGCTGCTGAAAAAACACACAGAAACTTTTAAAAGTCCTGCTGATGATGTTTCACTAAACCATAGTTGGTAAAGGAGACTGGTTTATGAAAGCCGGTAAACAATAAAGTTGAAATCAACGGTGCTGTAGTATATGTTGGAAGCTCCCTGACCTTGCACAATCCTTTGTTTGTTGTTCCCAAATTGTGACTGAATAAATTAATGCGATATGAATGCTATTTATTATTGTCAGGTCCCAAAAAGCTAACAAAAACCTATAACAAAGGAGTCTAACGGGTTTCATAACCATTCCACTTAAATAACCATGAATAAACTGAATGATCACATCACAGGATTTCGTCTATAGATTCTGAATTAGGTCATCTTATTATCTAATTAAGGTTTGTGTTACTCAAGATTTTTACAATGCGTATTGCATACGTGTACATGCATAATTTCAATGACTGTTACCCTTATTTTATAGATATAACATATCCACGGATGACTATGATGGTTGGAAAACTAATTCTTCTTATAACAATGAGTAAGTTAATCGTTATCATAAAATGTTAATTTGTGCGCATTTTACTGACTGGAAGGTGCTGCGTTCTTTTGTGTGGCGCTTGTAAGGCTAAATTTATATGGAGAAAGTTGCCCCGGGAAACAGGGTCAGATTCCCATCCTAGTCAACTTAAGCGAGCGTTTATATGAGGAAAAAGATTATCACTTTAACCGAGCCAAGAGCTGAAAACAGCGCTCGTGCATGCTCTGATTGTCTTACCTTGACCGAATTGACCCGGCTGGGTGTGCCGAAGTGTTTACAAGGAGAAAAGTTGGCCCGGCCAGGAGGGTGACCCGTCTAGTCCAGCAGCCACACCCAGATTTTTAGCATAACCTTGCAGGCACTTTCATACAAAGTTTTTTCACAAATAACTATAGTACTATGAAGGGTCTTTCAAAATCCACCTGATGATACCTCGTTACCTTAGGGCATCACGAGATATTAAGGGGTAATTTCACTGAGGCATGAACTGGATGTAGGCTTCCTTTCTTAGGGTGCCCAAACATAGTACGTTCGAATATACTCTAAAGGACCATGTTGTCTGTTTAGAATCCACTAAAAAAACATTTTATAGGAAATCTTATTTGAAAAGTTGTTAAAGCCGTGCAAAATTAAGTACGGCTAACAACTACGTTCTTTGTGTGATTCTTTTCAGGCTGATTCAGCAGAATCCTGCTGTTGACATTGGTGGTTCATCGCCTTTAAAACTAGCGATAAATACTGCACAGTTTGGCAGAACATTTCAGGACAGATCACACATTATAAGGCTCAGTTCGCGGCTAACAGAATCTGTTCCTCAGGAGAAGAACATCTTCAATCTGAATGTTCGTGGAAAGAGGGGAAACATTGTGCAGGTCAGTTGCTGTTTATCTGAAGGCTTTTATTTTTTCTAAACCTTTAGATGACAAATTACAAAAATAAACGTACATTCAGCAATTCTTTGATGAGGCTGAGTATTATAAGGAGAATTTGCAGTTCGAGGAGGTTTTTATCCGCCGACAGCAAAGGTACTATAGTGCCTCATGTCATATCTTTTTCGAATCCAGCACAGTGCAGTTGTAACTGTTTAGTATTCTTTAAAAATATTTTGTTCTTCAAAATATACTTATCTCGATCCGTGTATACCTCTCGTCTTTATGCGCAGTTTTAGAATGTGAATGGGTGTTAAGCTTAGCAGATATTCCTCATCCCCTACATCCAGCGAGCGGAATTGTTTTTACAGGTTTAGCTATGAATTTAAGGCAGTACTTCTTTCTCTCTTCTCTAGCTCTACACTGTCAAAAACTAAGAAACTGCGTCTTGCGTCCCCTTTTCTGTCGATAACAATTCGATTGACGTTTATGGATTTTTTCTAAAAAATAATTTCCAAACGTTTTTACTTGAAAAAGTACCGCACTACCCTGGTGGTTTTGTACGCTGTATGGGATGGGCAATGCAAGGAAGCGCTAGTGGGCGTAACAGCCGTGGGAAGAATGGGGTGGAAACTCGCAGCTTCGCTTTTCATTTACCCACTCGCGAAACAAAACCCCCAGCTACGCTGGCTGGCTAGCAGCGGACAACTTCTGTACAAGACAAGATAAAAAAAGACAGTGTTTCTTTGGAGACTTCCACGTACGTAGTACATCAACTTCATTCAAAAAATAGAAAAGCTCATCTATTGAAGGGGCAAACCTTCTTAGTTTAAATCAAATGAATGCTGGTTTTTTCCCCTCATCTGAAGCTCTATATGAGCGCTAGCATGTGAAGAGGCTCTCTAGGACGAGTTGAAAGCTAGAAAGGCGAGCTTGTTGGAAAGGGAAATCCCCGAATCCTCCCTTTTTTCTGAAAGTTAGCTAGCTACATGTAGTAGGTGTCAATGAGATTCCGGGGAGCCTATTCACTAACTAGATGAGCGCCCCTCTCCAGTCCCCTTACCTTCAGATCTGGGTCCGCCACTGTGATATGGCTGAAGTGATAAGAAAGAAAAAGGGTGTGTTGTTGACCCCTAACATTGCCCCCTTGTCACGTGGTTGCAAAGAAAAAATAAGAGCAAAACTGACAACGACAGAATGACTGCACAGCTAACAATTTGATTAACAATAAACGACTGTTTCACTGGCTAGATGAGTGTCCCACCGCAATCACCTTACCCACTGTGATGGCTGAAGTGATAAGAAGCCCGTTATAAGACTTCAGCTGAACAATCATCTCATGCTCAAAGCTGAGCAGTTTGCCTGGAGGACACTACAAGTCAATTGTTAATTATTATTGTACAATCAATTTTACGTTTGTTTTTAGGTTTATCCTGCTGTGGAGTACGACTTTGTTCCCAACAAACTAACCTTGAATAAAGAAACGGATGTGCTACATATTCAGTGGGCAGGTACGATATTTAACCCCTAGAGTGTTCCAAACATATACTAAACGAACTGTCATGTTGTTGCGTCGTCTTTGCTCATTCTGCCATGTAAATAAATAACAACTCTTAAACAGAACAACAGGAATACATGCATAAACAACTAACAAGGGATAACAGAAAACTTGCATTAAATTATCGAGAGTCCTAAAATCATTACATTAGCCTGAGAAAACAGCCGACATTTGGCGACGCTACCACTGGTTTCCCCGCCAAATGACGTCTTAGAAACGAGCGCTGAAGCGCTGAAATTCCATACTGATGACGCGTCACTAACCCAGATCTCGGTAGTGCTTCTGATTGGTCGTGCTGTGTGTGAAATTCGATTCAACAAATCAGAGGCACTACCGAGATCTGGGTAGTGACGCGTCATCAGTATGGAATTTCTGCGCTCGTTTCTCAGACGTCATTTGGGGGGGAAACCAGTGGTAGCGTCGCCAAATGTCGGCTGTTTTCTCAAGCTATCATTACATTTACGTTGAGTTGTCGACTGGACATGGACTGGAAACTTCATCTTAAAGTCATTGTCTGTTTGAAAGTCTTTTCGTTTGAAGTGACTGAATTATGATCCTGTTGTTTGTTTGTTTGTTTGTTGTCATAGGCTCTAACACTCATAATAACAACAGTCCCGCAGGTGATGGGCAGGCTGGGGATGCCGGCGAAGGGAAAGGTGGTAAGAAGGAAAGCTAAACTTGCTTTCAGAATCAAAACTACAAAATTTTCCTTCTTCTTCCGAATAATTCTTAATTCATTACCTTAATTGTGTAGCTGCTGGTAGGACGAAACTTTTCATTTTGCAAAACTGAAAAGAAATGCTCAGGAGTGAATCCAATTCTGTACGTTTTAGAATCCGCCGTTCGAATATACGTGGAGTTCAAGCACCCAGTGTGCCATTTACGCCGGAAAAAAAAAAAAAAACAGAAAGAAAGAACAACAACAACGACCGTGTGGACGGGTCACCCATTCCTAGGTATTTCGAGAACGGACCTCTGGAGCCAGGTTAATTTCAAGTCTCTAATAACAAAAAAAATGTGTTTCTCAGGAACTGATAGGAACAACATGGTGGAAACACGCAATCCGTTAGATAACTACCCGCTGCCATGGGAGATGTCTAAACTTTTTCGGGGAGCTAAGATTAGTTGGACAAGCCTGGAATTCAAGTCTCCCAAAGCTGAAGACATTGCTGTTAGCTTGGCGACTGCAGGTATGCATTATTTGTTATTGTATTTTGACCCCAAATCAAGACAATTTAGCAACGCTGTCGGCTTATTTTGGCCTGGTTTTGTATTGTTGGTCTGCAAGTTATACGTCAGGAACAAGTGAAACATTCCTCTGCGCTGGGAACTAAACTCCATATTGGAGCAATTTTCGTATGATCTTGAAATGAAAACGCGCGAACAAAACAACAAACGAAAGGAAACAGAGTGATTTGATTGGTTTATCGAACTGATACAAACGCGCGTGGCGTTTGGTTGGTTAAGCGAACGCACGGGTGAGAAAACTTCATGCCCGAAGAACTTTCTAGAAATCAATAGGTGCTTCGCTTTGACGTCATACTGCAACACGGTTGGCCAATCGAACAATGCCTTCTCCATATTAGGGTTTTCTTTGGCGGGAAAACCAAGAGTCCATGTTTTGATCTTTTCATCCGTGACTGATAAAACAAATAACGAACACTCACCGAAAACATTTTTGAAGGTCATACGAAAATCGCTGTACGCCTTGTCCGCGAAAACATGTTTTATGTTGTTGACCTCTAACATGGTCCCCTTGTCACGTGGTTGCAAACCAAGAATAAGCAGGTTGCATGTGTGTTTCTTAGTCATCTTTTAAAGTGGCTCCGTCACACTGTTTTCTATCTCTTTCAAAAGCTAAAACTTTTTTCGCATCATTTCAATTAAAAAAGAATGGTCCAGTTTTGTCATTTAAGACTTGATAGTTTGGCTTTGAAACTGTTCGCGGTCGTCTGTTGCAACGGATGGCAAGGATGGAAGTAGACTGAGACTTGAAAAAGTTGGGCCAACTCACCAAAAAGTTATGATGGCTATTGTTCCCTGGTGAAATTTGTTTGATATTTTCTCCATACCTCTACAGGAGCATGGGTATAGGGGATCAATTAAGGTTTCTGGGAAACTACCTACCTACCCCTCCCCTAAGCCAACATTTTGCCCGAAGTGAGAAGTATGTGATAATGTTGACTTAGGGGAGGGGTGGGTGGTCAGTTTCCCAGAAACCTAAATTGATCCATAGGGGAAGACATTAAGCAATGACTTCAGCACAGATTTGACCTCAAACAGCAATATCCACGTGACATAACCCCTTCAACCTCCCCTCCCCTAACTCAACGTTAACACCAGGGAGCTTGAGCAACAATGACGGCTACGGCTACAAAAACGTCATTTAAAAGGTATATTCACGCTGCTTCAAACTTTATCGCGTTAATTCCATCTTGTTTAATTCGGCAAATATTGGCGAATTTTTCTGGGGTTGAATTCTAAAGGAGTGTATCGGAGTTCAGAAAAAGAAAAAAGAAAATTGTTGTCTTGTGTTGACGTCCTCCACAAAACGTGAAAATAGGAAGTTTCACTTAGTAGTCGTGCAGTGACGGAAAAGAAATGTACGAAAAAGCGTTATTAGAGTCGTTGTTTTGCCAATCTCAACCTATTGCTTTTTTGCCGTTCTTGATGCCGTGGCCGTTGTCGCTGCTTAAGATCCCTACTAACTTCTCAACTAAGGCAAAAGGTGAGGTTAGGTGAGGGGAAAAGTAGGAATAGTTTCCCAGAATATTAAGCCTCCGTTGCGGACTTCGAAAAGGAAAAAAAAGGAGAAAGATTGGAGAGGGAAATGGATCCCTCCCTCTTTTCGGTTTCGCCCTTTTCTTCCCTTCCTCCTCCTTTTAGGCTACCACCAGGCGAGCGGAGCAGAGCCTCCTTCTGTCTTCTTGACAACCTCGTTCCCAGCGTCCTTTCTCTCTCGCCACGGGGGCCGAGTAGGAGAGGACCCTGGGAACGAGGTTGTCTTCTTGAGTGACAAGGAGAAAAAGAGGCTCTGCCTGAATCGCATCAAGACTTTCAAGTTGCCGCAGCCCAAACTTCTGGACTAGTCAATCTTCTTTTCTCTTGTCAAACTTTGTTTTCCCGAGCGCGAGCATCCGTTTATGGATAGAACAATGGTCTTAACGGAGCCTTGCACCAAGCGCACTGCTATTACGCCTGGATTCGAAACTGTATCCTAGCAACAGACAGCGCATGCTCAACAAAGATCTTACTCGATTCATGCATAGTCTTTCTTAAGCAACGACGATTTTGAGCGATGCACGTCAACCGGAAGTGGCCTTACAAAAGTGGCAATACAAATTTTATATCCTCAAGGCGTATTAACAGGAAAAAAGCATTACTTCCGGTTGACGTCCGTCGCTCAAAAACGCCTTTGCTTAAGCTCCCTAATAATCAAGCAAGCGAAAGAAAGGCTCTGTTGGCAGGTTGATAGGTTACAGAATCTTGTACTAATCCCAGTTCCTTTTTTTCTTCATTTTCAAGGATATTACAGCTGTTTGCGCAAGAGCACTTGTAATAAAGATTCTGTGGAAGCAAAGACAACAAAAATGGACTCACTTTTGAACAATGCACCAGCATCATTTGGTGGCATGATTCTAGAGTTCAGTAATACAGGATGTTTTTACTACATATGCTCAAGAAATAACAATTTTTCAAATAGAAGTCAAAAGGGAGTAATTTGTATTAAGTAATTGAGATGTCCGAATGCTTTGTAACTAAGTGAGATTGAATTTAAAAGAAAAAAATTTTAATTTAACGCTTTTTGGTAATGTTACATATGAAAATGCAGAAATTCATTTTTTTTAAAAATAGAAAATTATTATCAATGTAGAGATGCACTTTTAGAACGATTTTGTACTTAATTCAGTTGAACCCCTCCACAACGGCGTTCACCTTGACAGAAAAAAGTGGCCGTTGAAGAGAGGTTTAAACAAGAGTCAATCAATGGGTTGCCTGCGTTGCAGACGCTCTAAACCTTCTGTATATTATATTAAGACGAGTGAGTGGGCCGAGTGCAAAGCAGGCTATGAATGGACTGTCCGCCAAAAATAGTGGCCGTTGCGGAAAGGTGGCCGTTAGTGGAGGGTCGACTGTGGTAAAATGAGTATAATATGTGACTGAAAAAAAAAAAAAGGATTTTATAATCGGTACACCTCGTGCGAATTATGGAAAAAGGTTTTCTATTTTTGGGACTGGTTCAAGTGGTGATCGAATGTGTTACGTTTTCAGTAAAATTAAAATACAGTATTGAAGTCTACTTTCTATTTAAACTACTTCTCGTTAGGGAAATTCAGAAATTAAATGGTTAGCCGTATAAACGGCCCTATTCCATGACGTGCCACTGGTGACATCCCATCTCATTTGGAGGGGCCGGTTCGGGGGGGAGGGTGCTATTCAATGGTACTGCTCGTACAAGTTGTGCAACTAGTGTAGTTGAGTCTCATTTGAGGTTTTAAGAATGAAAGAAAATAAAAAGGAAAAAAACTGATTAAATAAACAACTCAATAAAAGACCGTTGCTGAGATACGAACACAACTTTATGTGGCTGTCAGTTTTTTCTCTCGATTGCAATGCGGCACCAAGGAAGAGGAACCTTTGTAATGGCCTCTACAGGAAAGCTTCCCCCAAAACGGGTACCTTTATCACGCTTCAGGTGTATGAAAGGGTAGGTAGTTACACATTATTTTTAGGGAGGAATTGTCGTATATGCTTACCCAATATTTTGTTTCCTGTGTTCATGTTCGCTTTTATTTTTCACTGCCGCTCATTTTTACCTTGCTGGCCACTAGCATTTCTCATTTTCTCACCGCAGCATTGAATTTGGATGTTTTTCTTCCTACAGAATTCGTCTCCTTTGTTTTTAGTAACTTGCTCTAGCTCTTTCTCTGTTTTCCACGTTAGTGTAAACGTAAAAAATAACGCCGAAACAGAGGCGACTTTGTTGTTGTTTTTTCTTTCTAAAAGTCTGGGCGGCCATGTGATTTCCTTCCATATAAAACCTGAGTTGCGTTTGGGTTGCCATACCTGTTGATTGAGTTATTTTACATTGGTATACCTGTGGTCCGGACGGACGGACGGGCGGCGGGCGGGTGGGTGGTCGGTCGGTCGGTCGGTCGGTGTACGGTCACGTGATCACCAAATTTTCTCGGATGGTTAGATTACCGCATTTCCTTAGCTATGGGGCTCCGACGAAGCGCCGTGCGTGGAGCTCGGCTATATATAAATTTGGGTAAAACATTTCTTAGGATATCTCGTATACGGAATATTTTTTTGACCTGAATCTTGGCGAGGGTCTTTGTATATTTACCTCCTTTCATTCCCCAGATTCCGGACTTTATCTATTGAACGGTTTTGATTTTGAATTTGATCTATTTTGAATGGCGTGACGCTGAAAACCAGCAATACAATGAAAGATCAGCAAACTTGCCACCTTGTCAGCGGCCCTGTTATTCCTAATGATCCGGATTTTTGATCGGGTCTTGGATTTTAGTAGAGAAACGCACCCCAAATTAACATCACCATCATCATCACTATCATAGTCATTACCATCATCATCATCATCAACAACAATATCATCGTCTTCGTCATCATCATCATTATCATCACTACTAGTGCCAAATTAACACCACCATCAACGTCATCATCATCATCATCATCGTCGTGTTAGCCCCGGGTAGTATTGAGAACAGCGCGTAGTGTTTGTTTTACATTTTTCAAAATAAATCTGTTTTTGTTAAATGGGCAAAAATTGATAAAAACTGTTCCAAACTATTTTAAACTCTCATGGTCATGAAACTGCTCAGGGCCGGGTTGTTCAAAGCAGGGTTAACATAGCCCAGGGTTAGTACAAAATTTGGATTCAGATATGAAAGCTTAAAATTCAAATTCAGTTTAATTCTTTTTTCTACAATTTGATGATTAAATACTCTAAATAAAATAGAAGAAAAACGCTTTTGATAAAAACAAAAAGAAACCCGGGTTAAAATTTAACCCTGGGTTAGCGCTAACCGGCCTTCGAACAACGCGGCCCAGGAGAACAGATTGGTCACGTGGTATAATTTCTAAATCTCTCTAATGAGTGAGACGGCGGGTAACCCAGACTCACTATTTGTGTCACGTATGGGTTTCATTATAACATAAGTAAATATAGAGAACATATGGGGCGACGTTTAGGTCTGGAAATTTGTTAGAACATGTATCATGTGGCGAGTTGTTGTTGTTGTATGCATACGCACTGAGTTTCGGGAACAATAGTCTCCTTCATCTTTCCTACATAGTAGAGACTATTTTTCCGAAACTTCGTGTGCATATTAAGGACAATGACAACTCGCCATATGAAAGTCTTATCGATTTTTATTTCCAGTTAAGTTTCTGGCAAACTTCGCCCCATTCCGCCCCATATACGTGGCAGAAATAGTGAGCCTGGGTTGCCTGTGGTTAGAGCTGGGACTGAGATGGCGCCTAAAAAACGTGCTTGTTCCAAACCTGAACTTTACAGTGATTTCACCGTTTGTATTGAACTTCAACACTGTGGCTTAAACGCTTAACCATTTCGTGGCTTATTCGTCGTCGTTTAGCTCTTTTACGTGTATAGAAATGTGCTGCCAAATTTCATGCTTCACCTTAATTTGTACCAGATCTCCTGGATTTACTTTTTTCAATTACTATCACCAATATTATATGCTTATGAGACCATCTTTTTCTGTGAAATAGTCTTAAATTTAAGCTTAACGTAAGCTGTTTAAAGATGGTCTTAAGCTTACCTCACAAGACCCGTGCCAGATTTTTCACGACTTCTGCTATGCCACGTGCGAGAATTTCTAGATCATGAATGAAGCCAAGTGTTGACGAGTAAGTAAAAGAACTGTTGAAGCTCAAATCCGAGTTCCAGAAGTCTAATTATGTTACTTTAGATCCAATTTACTACACACGTGCTCTGTGTGGTCAATAATCCGTCGCCATATTGGTTTCGTTTAGAACCCAGTCTCTCGATTGGCGCGTGCGTCTCGCGCGCGGGCTTTCGCAGTACTCGTTTCGCGTTTTTCGAGTACATGTTCTCGTAAAACGAGCTCAATGGAGGCAGGAAAATAAACAATTTTCATTCCCTTTTACTTGTTCCTGAACGTTGGTGATCTAAGCGTGAGAGAGATAAATAGTAAATATTACTTCTAACAGTGACGAGCACTTCAACCGGAGTAATGAAACCTGCACAGTGAGGAATGTGACTGCTGAAACCCATCGGCTTATGTGAAAGCAAAATATGGTTCGCGCATGCCCAGGAATCGAAGCACGATCTTAAATGTGAAAGTAATCAATTACCACTGAAATTGCGGGCCTTTAAGTAAAATAGGCAGGTTTTTTCTCATTAACATCGAACTGAACCTATTCCAGGAGCTAGAGTCCGCGGTTCATCGGTCAGACGGCAATACCATGCTGATTGGTTTGTCCGTAATAAGGACGTCCCTATAGGTCGAGACAGCTGTCTGCCAACAACCGGGTGATATGGCTTTGCGCATGCGTTACTCGGTGCTACAACCTCCAGAGCCAGGGAAAAGCGCCCTGGGGACGAGGTTTAAACCCTTTTGTTAAGTACTGGCCAGGCCGTGGGTTGGTCAGACGTGTGTCAATGGCTGGTAAGTTTGCTATAATCGGGGTAAAAGAACGCAGCTAGATACGCGGACCTTTCCAGTAATGGGGTGGCTCCATCGAAATAATTGCGCCATCGCGTGTGACACTCGCGCGCAATTTCGATGAGAGCGCTGCGCAAAGAATAAACAAACAAAATGGTCTTGGAGATTACCTTCATGGGAGTTGAATAAACTCCATTTACTGTCATAATTTTCAGGAGAACCTTAAGAGGCGACGTTTTTGAGCGAATCTCGTCAAGGCAACATTTAAACGACTCGTAGTAAAAACTGACGTTTCATATAAGAAAACGGTTTTTTAGGGAGGAGGGAGCAGACTAAACAGCAGGTTCCTAGATTTCTTTGTTTTAACATGCCGTATTAGGGACTGTAAGTTATGGAGCCACCAGAGTAAAACTGATTAATTTCATCGACTTCATCGGGGTAGCCTATTCAGCTAAAGGCTGAGTGGTGTTAATGGCTGCCCTGTTATCTTAAAAACAATTTTACATTTAGACTTCAAAATAACATTTCATCATCATCATCACAATCATCATCATCATCATCATCATCATCATCATTCATCGTTGACGTCATCATCATCATCATCATAATCATCATCACCGTCGTCATCACTAACATTAAGCCTGGCAACCTCGACGCATGCTCTGTTGCCAATATTCCCAGAGGAGTCCTGGGTACAAGAGTGAATCCTGATACCTGTGCACGGGGAAATTTTTGAATCCGGAAAGAAAAAGTTGCGGATTCAAAAATATCCGTATACGTGTGAACAGGGCCTTGACGTGAAGCAATCCGCAAATGTTCAAACGTACAACATATTTGGCGCCATGTTAGGGAATCGCGTGCGACGGGATGCATCGGTGCCGACCGAAGTCTTGACCGAAACCGGAAACCACGTATGAAAAGTCTCTGGCGCCGAGGATAGGGAATCCAAGACAGTTTTCGATTCTGGATACAATAACATGTATTCCGAATCCCAGGTACTGGATTCCAATCTCTGTCAGTGGAACTTGATTTTGGATCCAATCGTAAGTGGGATTCCAGATTCCAAAGCCCAGGACTCCGGGCTCCACTAGCAAAATTTTCCACGATTTCGGATACCAAAAGCAAAAATTTCCAGATTTCAGAATCACTTAAATGGGGCGACATGTTCTTGTTTGCTAATACTATTTGATTGAACAAACGTACTTAAATATAGTTCTCTGTAAATCTAAAACTAATATATGGTGATAGAAAGGTGAACAGCGATCAAATATTAACTCTTTAAACCCTAATGGTGATCATGAAGTCGAATATTGACAGCCGTTTATTCAGATCTTAAAACATCTCTGTCTACTCTGAACTGATTTATTTACCTGTATATTTAATCAATTATTACTGTCGATTAGCGTTAGCGCGTAAATATATATATAAAAAATTTTCGCTTAACCGCTTCGCTCAAGATGACAATAAAACTCGAAACATTTATCAAATGGCTGTAAGATATTTATTATTCATTCAAAATATTCCTCTGCTTCTGATTGGCTCAAATCCCGTGGCTTATAGTCCAGTTTCGAATTCGTCGTGGCGTTGAACAAAGTGTAAAAGACTTATTTGTACAGGGTTAGCCTCGACCTAGTAAAGTAAGATCGTCACAAATACCGGCGAGAAAGTGCCTGCATTTGAGTTTAAAACAATAGACACATACAGTTATACACTGGTCTTTTTCTGACTGGAATTTGTGAATACATATTAACTTAGGTCGAGGCTAACCCCGTATAAATGAGTCTTCAGTGCTCCTATTTAGAGGCCGAGACGAATTCGAAAGTGGACTATTCTTCATAACCAGTTAGCGTTGACCATTAATTTGGAAGACGTTCGCGATATTTGGAAAATGACGTCAATAGTACAGCACAAATGCCCGAGAAATGAACGGCAACCGAGAAGCCCTGGGGACAATGTTGCGTGTAGCCTGCAAGCGCAAACATATTTAGAAGCGACGACCGGAAATACGTCTGCGCTTCGCAAGCTATGTTGCGTGGGACATTTCACACGTTTCACGAAGAAGAAATAGCCCATCTACTGCCTCAAAACACAGCAGGAACAGCAAGAGGACAACGCGACCGATGACGTCTGTTGTTTGAAGATTATCGGCTGGACTACACATCTCTTTACATCCTGAACTACGGTTCGTACTCTTCTGAGCTCTTCAAATTCCATGACCTTCCATGACTTTTTCAATGACCTTTTAAAGTTTTCCAAGACCTTAAGTTTAGTTGTCACTTTCGAAAATTGTCAAAATTTTCCTTGTTTGAGTGTATGTTTTGACCTTAAACAGTTCAACAGAAACAAACTCTGGTGTCCACCAAAACGCGTGCCGTTTGCGCTGTTTAATTACTCCTCTCTATCTTACATCGTCCTTTTTTGTCATCTGCAGTAACTAAACTACCAAACAAAACTTTAATTTTCCATGACTTTTAAGGACTGATAATTAAATTCCATGACTTTCCAGGCCTGGATAATGAAATTCTTAAATTCCATGACTTTCCAGGTTTTCCATGACCTGTACGAACCCTGTGAACTTGCAGAAAAACAGGCAAATAAAGATGGGAACTTAATGTCGATGGAGGTAAGCATGTTTTAGCTTGTTTTTAAACTAGAATTATTTTGAATCAATAATATGACAATTATTTTTGGATTCGGCTAGCCTTATCCAATAATTGCTAAATATTTTCATCTGAAACAAATTTGAAATTCACGTAGAAAGTTTAAAACCTCATATTCATATTTTAAACTAGAATTATTTTGAATGAATAATAACACAATTATTATTGTATTCGGCTAGCCTTATCCAATAATCGCTAAATATTTTCATCTGAAACAAATTTAAAATTCCCGTGGGAAGTTTAAAACCTCATACTCATATTTGAAATACCTAAAAGCAAAGGTACCCTTTACCTAGAACGCCATCTGTCCAACATTAAATATTTTAAAAGCAATTACCAAATGACTACGGAATAACTATTTTCATCTTCACCAAATTCAAAATTCACGAAGACTGTCAAAAGTTAATGTTATAGAAAGCAAGAAACTGAAGCAATCCTGGTGTACTTTAACTGGACCACCACGTCTCCAAAATGTAAAGGTTGAAACCTGCATGTCAAGTTATACGAGACAGTGTCGGATGCAGACCTTGAGATAAGGGGGGAGGGGGGGGCGGTCATGCAGACCCATAGATAAGTGGGAGGGGGCGTGGTCTCAAAACGATTTTTTTCGGCCCTTCACCGGGTCTCAGTTTGGTCTTAAAATAAGGTGGGGGGGGGGGGGGGGGGTGCGGGTGGACGGGCTCCCCTGGATCCGCCACTGCGAGATAATAGAGACCTTCAGATTCGGGGACGAAAACGACTTCGAGTACGAGGTTTGATCTAAAGATTTTCTGATTATTGTCCAAAAAAAAGAAAAAAGGATTGCTTCATTGCACTTTTTTCGCCATAAAAGTTGGCAGTGTTATCTTTATTGGAGGAGGTAAAGACCTTTCCTGATCGCAAAATGGTCAAACGTCTAACATTTGATATAGAGAATACTTCATGGAAAGTGCTGGCGTACGGTATTTACGCACGAGTTGTTGACGTGTCAGAAATCGAACGAGTGAGCGCAGCGAACGAGTAAGATTTTTGATACAAAAACAACGAGTGCATAAATACTGTACAAAGCACTTTCCATGTGCTATTGTGTTTATTATATACATACTGAGACGTTCATCATTTTCGCGGCCTTTTTATTTTAAATCTTTCAAAAATGCTAAATTTTGCCGCTACACACTTACCGCAAAATGACAACGAAAACGAAGTATCAGCTTTTGAGTAAAAACGTTTGTTAAAAACCTAAATGATGGTAAGGATATGAGGTAATCCAAGAACTGTAAGTAATCTTAACTGTTTGTTCTCAATGCACAATTGAAAATGAGTGAATTCAAGTAAAATGACCGGTTTCAATATAAGCTTAAGCTTAAATGAAAGGCAAAGTAGCTCCGACAAAAAGCACAACAAAAGCTTACGTCTCGTTCTGTTTTTCCCTTTCCGCTGTTGTTTCGCCGGCTCTCTACCGTTTTCTTTATCGACGGTGAAACAAACGAAACTATTCCACTCCATTTCCGAAATGTTTTTCACTTTTTTAGCGAGAAAAACTCTTTGAGTAAAACTTTTCTCGTTGAATGTGTGCGAAGCGGCGCTGCAAGCTGCAATAAAAGGCGGGAATTTTGGCGCGAAACTCATACACCTCTGTGGCTTCTGATTGGACGTATCATTTTTCTCACACGTGAAAAAACATCGTTCGCGATTCTGATTGGACGTATCATTTTTTTCACGTGTGAAAACCATCGTTCGCTCCTCTGATTGGCTAGAACTAATTTGCGTACGAAAAATTACGACATAGCTTTTTAGTGAGTATTTCTCAGTATGTATATAATAAAACCTGTTTCCGCACGACATTCTCGCTAAGCCTCGCAGTGGAATGACGACTACTGTAACGTTTTTCCACCAAAATGACGCTGGTTCACGCGCGTGCACTACTTAGTATTGAGAAAATATCGCGTTCGCAGTCGTCCTTGTCTTAGAATCTAAAGGTCTCTAAAGAAGATGGGGTTAGTTTCAAAAGAAACAGAACTTGTGCTGTATTGGTGGCAATTTGTTAGAATGACTCTAGCACTAACGAAAGAGAGCTGCAAGTGCCTGTTCAGACTTAAAACGGCGGCTGGGACGCTCTACGTTCGCACGCACAACACTGAGTCTTCTCCAAGCAGGGAGCACAACTCCTTCAATCTCTGTTGCATCTTGGGTACTCCAGCCAGCTGTGACTCAAGCTTCTGTTTTTCTTCATGAAGTGTGAGCCTCGTTGCTGTGTTCAGCTCCTCCCAGCGCCAGCCCCCTTCTCCGTCAAACTGAAGCAAGTGGGTGTGGAATTTCCTACAGAGAAAATGAAGGCCAAACATACATGAAGACGCGCGACGCGGTGCATCATGGCAAGGGCGGTTACACCGCCAGCAACAATACTCCAAATTCCAGTTACTGTAGGAGGTAAAGATAATACCAAATAGAAGTCTGGAAGATATGCAGACCACCCCTGATAGTACAACGCAACAACTGAATCGCGCTCAACTTGTACGTTTACGCACGGCTTTCATACATTGCTTCTTTTTCATTTACGGGCGCAAAATTTACGTGTGTACGCACGTAAAGAAACCCGACAGTGGAAGTCCATTCTAAATGGCAAACAGTACTCGTGAGGCGGGGGGAAGAGGGATAGGGAGAGATGAAAGTTTCTCGCCTTTCCCGAAGACAGCTTCATAGCTTCGCGAGGTGTTGCGATAAATGTATTTCTTGTAATACACGCCTACAAGCTAAAGAAGCTATTGACCAGCACCCTTCCAAACCTCATTTCATTGGTCCCTATAACCTGCACTACCTTTTGTTGTCAGGGTTAGGGGGCTTCTTTTATAAGCGGAAAGCCGAAGAACCTAACTTTAATCTCTGTCACAGCCTGGAATACAGCTGCCCCTCATCGCTCTCTGCCTGTGGGGCGCAGAAAGCTTACAACGGCGGAGATCGATAACAGAGAGGCGACCGTATTTGCAGGATATGTGTCACATCTCTTCTGGAATGGACGCCGGTCTATCCCATCCCTGGATTATCCCCAGCGCTGCATCAAATGCTCACAGCCGACATTTCGCCACGCCATCACTGGTTTCTTCGCCAAATGGCACCCGAGAAACGAGCGTAGAAATTCCATTTTGATGACTCGTCACTACCCAACTACTATCCTACTACCCTACCATCTGGGTAGTGCTCTGATTAATCGAGCCGCGTGGGAAATTTACTTCAGCTTATCAGAAGCACTACCTAGATGTGGGTAGTGACACGTCATCAGTATGGAATTTCTGAGTTTGTTTCTCAGACGTTATTTCGCGGCTGTTTTCTCAGGCTATTTAGAGCTTCCCCCAAGGGTCGCGGGCGAATGTGAATACAACAAGGTCGGCCTAAATGATAATTTTCTCTTTTTCTTAATACCTTTCTGGATAAAAAGGGAGTGATACTCTTAAAAAGTATATAGAGAAATTTTCAATCGAGTGTTGAAAGTAATCCAGGATTGAATTGGTTTTGCTTTACTGTGCTGTTTGATTGGTCTAGAAAACTCGCGCCACCCTCTCAGCCAATCAGATGTAAACTAAAACCAATCGCTCCTTGGTCACTCGCGTTTTCCCGCGCTACACGCGTTTACTTCGAGTTGCCATTGGCTCCCTCTGATAATTTCCTTTACTCTGATTGGCCGTTGTGATTACTTTGGTTTTGGTTTTCGACACTCAATTGAAAAGCGCTCTATAAACGCGAGTACAAACCAGAGAGAAGATCTGTGGGAGATGCTTAACAGACTGATACCAGCATCTTTAGCAGCTTGGAAGATGCTTCCTTCGACATCAATACTCACAGCACTGGTGCACTCGTCCAGCAGAGCAAACTGCGGTCTGTAGGACAAATAAGATCATTTTGATATCTGATGTTATTAAGAAAAGGGGCAGTGATCTTTTCAACAGAATCACAAGTGACACTGGTCATGCATGTATTGTATGACTTGCTTCCACCCAAACGTAATGGGGTTCTTAGAGAAAGGGGTCATGACGATTTAAACGGGCTTTTTTAAATAGGTGTCTTTTAAAATTTATTTCTTAATATCTTTTAGTAACTTAAGGTGATTCCCTAGTAAAAGAACCTAACATAGATTGTAGATGAAACTGGGTACACTGATGTAACAAGTCAAGAAGATGATAAAACAGTAATAAAAAGTGGGGGTCATCATGCTCGTTTTGACGTCACAATGCTGACAAATACGGCTATTTTGGACCCTTTGAAAAAAACCGCGCGCAGCCCAAAACTAGACAAAACGGAGAGATTTTTTCGATGATGCATGTGGTATCGCTCAGAATTTGACTTTATTGTATTGTTTATCCACTTACATACCAGAAAAATGCCTTTTAATTCTCCTGTTTTTACTTTACGCTCTAAAGTAGAATTGAATTGGACACGCGCTATTCGACCCGTGACAGCTCAATCCGTACAATTTAGTAAAATTGCCAAAAAACTGAACATCTCATCGAAAGGAAACACTGTCCTTACTAAAATCATGAATAAAAAATGAGGGTCACCGTACTCATTTTTGCGGTAGAGCTGCAGAAAGTGCGCACCAAATGCATTTTCTCCGATTTTTGAGAGAGGACTGGGGCGAGTTTCAAAATAGAATGTATGTGAAAGCGGGAAGAAAGTATTAAAAAAGCTGAATAACGAGGACGCTCGCTTGTAAACACAAAATCTGGGGGGAAAATTGGCTATATTTGAGCCCTATTTAAAAGTCTTTCCTGTTTTCAATGTTCTTAAAACTTGCAGGGAATATTTCTTGACGATTGATCTCGGGATTGTCGAATTTATAAAAAAAATTATCGAGCAGTTTTTGGAAAAATGCGAAATTTTTAGGCATGGACCAAATTACCTCCAAAAACTGTATCAAAAGCAGCTGAACGAAAGTTAATAAAATTCTTCTTACTCGCCATCGCCCAGAGCAATTCCCCTCTTTTTTCGTATGCAGTTTTGAAGGGAATCAAACCACTATGAGATGAAGCCGCGTTCCCAAAGCTTATCATTTTCTTAAAATATTAGCGAATTGTGTGGCTAGCATGCTATTTCACTGTTTTTATGATTCTTAAAACTGCATTTCAGAATATTTCGAAAACGCTCTCATAGAATTTCTTCAAACTTTGCCATAATGGAGGCAATTATGGCAGGTACACACTCCCTTAAGCGATTTCCTCAAAAAACTCCTGGTACAGAGAAACACAACGATAAATGAAAGACGTAATGGCGTCATTACGTTGCCATGGCGACTCCAATTGCAATAAAACCCAGATCATAAGAAATTTTCATCTTTATATAATACAGTTGTGGTAGCCTTTTTTCCATATCTTTACCCATGCCGACGTAGTTAATGCTCAAACTTGGGCGGTAGCCCCCTCAAAAAATCCAGTCGAGCCACCTTAAATTGCATTGCCTATGCCAGTATTTTATTTAAGTATTTAAGTCATATATTTTTATATTCCTTTTCATAAGCCTTATTGGCTTCCATGGGCTCCCTTACCCCATCTTTTGTAAATTCTGTGTGTATATTTATAAATATTATCAAAAGTATTTTAGCGATTGCTTCATCTTTGCACGCCTATTCGCCGTTTCCACATTTCCCACAACACACTTTGTTTGCGTGTTTCACGCAAGTAGTTTTGCATACGCTTTGTTTACATTTCTCTCGGGACGATTGAAAGTCCCAAGAGAAATTGAAGACAATGCTTATGCAAAACTGTTTGCGTCTTTTGGGGTGCAAGAAACAAGCAAACAAAGTGTATTACGGGAAATGTGGAATGGCAACTGCATTACATCGCCCCATATAAGTGAATCCTAGACATCCCAACGTAGTCTTGGATTCTGGATTGGAAGCCGTGGAAGCCGAGCTTCAGGTACTGAACTCCAGTCTTTGTCAGTGAAACGTGGATTCTGGATTCCAATCATAAGTGGGATTCCGGATTCCTTGAGCTGTATTCCAAAGCCCAGGATTCAGGATTCCACAAATTAAATTAAATGAAAACTTTATTTACGTGTCAATGTGTTTAGCTTTACAGCTAATGAAAGAAACAGACATTCACATTCTATATTCACGAGAGCAAAATGTTCTCGAATCCCAGATTCCAGATTCCCTTACACAGGGTGAATTTTACTGGCTCAAAAGTAGTAACGCCATGCACGCCACAATCACGAGTAACCCTTTAAGTTCCAAGAGTGATCAACATTAATTTTCCCTGACAATATCAACACATAATCAAGTAAAAGGTCAAGAGCGTTAATAAAATGATCACCTACAGGAAAATGACTCGCATCTGTTATCGAACTCTCCCAAGTACCTTATTCTTGAAGATCAGTCTAGAAAATTCGTAGGTGGACAAAGGGCTGTCATTAAAATTTCAAGATGCCGGGCTAATGAGGCAGGTAGGAGGGGAATTCAACAGCTAGGGATTTTGTTTGGTTCTATTTTTCTTCTATTTTCCTACAAAGGTAAGCGGGGTCACGCTCATAATAGCCAGGGAAAATCCCCGGCCCCGGGTCCCCGGCCGTTAATAACAGCCCTGTGGATATCGGGGCGTAAAGGGTCAAATTTCGTTGATTTTTTGGCAACACGTTCAACAATGTTATGAGAGATCTATTAAAGCAATTTCAACAATTAACTCAACAAATACAATCATACAATTTAAATCGCTCGCACAATTTTAATTTTTCCTTTACACTGCATGTTGCAGCAAATCTTCCCAATGCCTCGGCAAAAAGTGCAGAGGGACAAGTAAGGGGAGTTTTGATGCTGTAATATTAGTAACACAAACCTGTGATAAAACAGCCGTGCCATACCCATCCTCTGCTTTTCTCCTCCTGAAAACACATCTTTCCACTCTTTCACAGCATCCCAGCCTTCAACGAGACTCAAAGAACTTCAGAAACTTATTGTTTAAAGATTTGTCACACATGTCACATCTAGACTACCTGCAGTCTCTCTTTTTTCTGGGACCATTGAGCAAAACGCGCGAGACACGCAAGTGTCCACGCGCGTGACTGAAGGCGCTCGCGCGCACTCTCCTCACTAAATCTGAAGAAAAAGAGAGACTGCTCGCGGTCTATGTTATATCCAGAGTTAAAAGAAAAGGGCATAGAATGCGATCACAACAGTTATATAAACATTCCTAAGAACTAATAGTAAGCGCATGAAGGTGTGTTTATTAACGTCCCAAGTAAATTAGAACCCCCCTTACACCAACCCAATCAGTACGTGTTTGGTGACGATTAAAATTATTTTCACTTGCGCTTTGAGTAAATTTGAATAATTTTCAAAACGAGTTTACCAATTGATTACCTATCAATATCACAAGAGACAAATTATGCTCACAACTGTGTGTTTTGTTTTATTTTTTTATCTTATCAAAAACTCCACGCGCTGAAAAGTTTAGAACGTTGTTTAATTATGCCTTAAGTTAACGAGTTTCTGAATTTTTCGAAAAACTGTTAGGGGAAGAGGAGTAAAAGAAAAAAGGAGAAGAATTGGGCCAGAAAAAAAGCCTCCTTTTCCCTTTTTCCAGGCTACAACCAGTTGTAAAAGTACTTGAGACATTGTACCTTATTAATTTTTGGCTTAAATGGCCTGTCCATGATCTTGTGCTTGTGATCCCCCCACCTTCCCTTATCAAAGTTGCTAGCAATAGAAGACCATGCATGCCCAAAACTTGGAGGAACAACTTTAAATGGGGGGTAGGAGGGAGGTGAGAATTATGTAGCACATAATTGTGACTAGCGGTGATTTGAAGAAAAAAAGGCCGGTTTTTCGTTGGAGTGTCTCCACATTTTTGTAACTGGTTGTAGCTAAAAGATGAAAGTCATAGTCAGTGTGGCCGCTATCGTCTATCGTTCCTTTCCATTAAACGGTTTATTTATTCATTATTTATTTATTTATTATAGGCGTACATTCCAGGCTACAGTTGATAAGCGTGTGCTTACCTCCTTCTCGTTTGATGATGTACTGCAGGTGAACAGTGGCCAAAATGGACTCAAGGTCATCGTCTGAGATGCCATGAGATTGCATGTCTTCCACTGTATGTGGATAAATCACTTGATCGCGCAGAGAGCCAATAGGCATGTAAGGCCTGATGGAAAAATAACCGACACAAAGGATGAGGGCGCCAGTTCAAAATTCAGTAGAAGCTCTTTAACAAATAGATTCCATGTTGCCGTGCGCGTGCTCAGTAATAGATCACAGATGACGTCAACAGGTGGTAAAAAACAAAGACGTGGCACACGAGCCGCGGGCGAGTGTGTCACTGATGTTTTAACCACATTTTGACGTCATCGGTGATCCATTACTAAACAGACCCACGGCAACATAGAATTTATTCGTTTTATACAATGAACAGAAAAGAAAAAGTCAAACCTGCTGTGTCGGTTGACTGTTCGAGGATTGTGCCAGTTTAGACACTTTCCAAGTCACAAACGCTACTTTTCGTCTGTGCTTCTTCGTTTTGTCCTAAACTTACTTGTCGACAGTTTCTCCCAAACGCTTTTCAAGGTCTTCACATGCTCCAAGCAAAATAATAGTGCAAACATTTGCAGAACTGCGAGTCCCTCGTGGCGATGACATTTGATGGCAATTGATGTGAAGATGCCTTCACGTTTAAGCATTTTCGCCAAGAACTCTTTTCTCGTTTTATTTAAAAATGCAATGTGGTTTAAATCATTCTGGTACAAGGTTTTTGTCCACTGAAAATTGAAATTACTCAATTTCCTAATGGATTCCGTCTTAACATGTTTAGTGCTCTCTAAAGAAATTTATATCTTTTTCATAACTCTACAAGAGTATTTTGTGTATGGGTAAAGACACTAAATAATGACTTCAGCAAAGAACTGGCCTACAACAGCAATATCCTCGTCACCTAGCTCCTTTTACTGCGCCCTTGCAAGTCGTATCTACTCATTAGACTGTGACAGTATACACACCGTCAGGAGTACCAATGCATACAACTCACCTTTGAGGTATGTAGAACATATGTGTTGGGGGTGGTTTTGCCAAGAAGCCTTTGTAAACGGGCCACAATCCACCAAGGATACGGAACAGTGAGCTTTTACCGCAGCCATTGGGTCCAGTTATCAAAAGATGCATCCCTGGTTCTATCTGTGAATTAAAAAGATCTTAAGTCATTGCAGTACATACAATTCAAATTCAATCCAGAGAACACACGATAGCAAGATAAACAGAAACTACCGATAAACCAGACCATGCGAAAGGGTTAGACGATCAAATACAAGACACCAACATGAATAGAAAGATGCACTTCACCAACTTGTCTAAGGCCTCTATACCTTCTTGGCTCCAATTTGCATTCATCGCCACTGTTGACAACTATGGTAAAAGCGCTGCTAGAGACACTACTTTGTATACAATCGCGCTAAAAATCGCCCGGAAAAAATCGCCGCTCTTGTCACAAGACAAATCGCGCAATGAAATGCCCGCCAGTGTAAACGGCGCTTTACGGAAGCCGGAGGCCAACAGACCATACAGCTCATTAGGGAAGCGGTCAAAACAAGGGGAACCCGATAAAGGCCCACCTTGACTAATGGTGAAGAGACTATAAGACACCACCAGTTAAGTACACATATAGGCGTCATGGACACATACTTGTGCACGCTTGAAGCTTGCATTTTCAGGAAAACTGATTTAAATCTTACGCTCATTTTTCAGAGAACGCTTTTCAAACGAGATGGCATTCTCTCATGGTGGCAGAGCTGCAAATAATTTTTCCTCACTGAAAGGGGACATGTACCGCTAAGTCACAATTTTGGCTGGACAATCGCACAAAATCAAGGACGCATTACGCGTTTTTAACGTTAGTTGCGCACGGTAGGTGCGGCATTCTCAGGTAGACTATTTACTGCCATAGAATGTCTGCAATAATGTTATGGCGTTGGGACAATATGGTAGATTATTCAACTGCATAATTATATTGAGTTTCCTTGGCATCATTTTTTCCAGATATCACGTCCGATCACAGTCAAGATTTCGTCGGACATGAGCCAATTTCAGTCGGACACGGATGAACCACTGTTATTTGCAGGTCAGTGGCACCTGTCTGTGCATGATACGCTCAAACCAATTCCCCTATGCTCTATTCATTCTTTACCTCGAAAGACAAACTTGACACAACCACATCGCCACAAGGTGTGATGATAGCGACATCCTTCAAAGCAATGTTTCCCTCGGTGTCAACTACTTCACCTCCTGACATCTGACTCAGGTCGACAACTTCTCCGTGGCCCGCCAATTCTGCACTAGAAAGCTGCTCAGCTTCGTCAGCGGTGCGTTCGCTTCCCTTTATTTCCAAAGATGTTTGTCGCCGGCAGTGCCCCTTTTGAACATCTTCAAAGATTTCTAACATCTCTGAGACGCGCGCAGTGTACCCGCTGAGTTCTATGATCTTAAGAAAAAAAAGAATAAAATTTCAGCAGTTCAGGAGGCTTTCCTCTCAGCCCTTCAAAGATACGCTGTCTTAACACACGAAAAGGGAGCTTTGCAACTGAACCCCGTGATGTCAAAGGCCTACACCTGAAAGCTCATTCCAGGCTTTCAGATGGTGGGGACAGTGCAAAAACACACACCACTAAAGGAACGCCTGGAACAAGCTATAAACAGATTTCCCTCATCGTGATCATGATCTTGTTTGTTTGTACGCTATCACAATTTTTTACCGAAACCAGTATCTTCTCTAATTATAGCAAGAGACCTTTTAGGCTTGCATGTTTAGTTTTTCCATTTAAGTCCTTGTGATGAGAGAATTATTTTTTCAAATGTCGTCCTATCCACATGCACAAGTACCCATAATTTACGGCAAAAGGCGATGTCCTTGAAAAGATCACGTGATCTGGAATTGGAAGAACCGAAAACATACAAGCTAATAAAGGTTATTGTAGCATAAGGCCCCACGCTTTCAATTAAACATCATTTTGCAGTGTGGGTGTCAAAGGTGACTAATCTTTATAATGTCGTTACTTGACTACCGGATAACTACCTTCTCGCGGTGTACCTGTTTAAAACAAAGGTTATCTCTGGGACTGAATAAAGGTTGATTTCCAATGACGCATTTTTGGCTACGAAACGTTAACGCACGTACATTTTAATCACGTAAATAAAATAATAAAGGCAAGATAAAAAGTGCTGAGATTAAACGAGAAGTTGAGCGAGGTTCAACTTTTACGCTTACGAGCGAACATTTCATGCATTGCCTCTATTTTATTTGCGAAAGTAAATTTTACGCACGTACGCACGTAAAAATTACGCGACAGTGGAAATCAACCCTAAGGGTCAGTATATTGCACTACCAGATATTGGGACAGAAGGCAAACATCTATATTCGCTATTGAAAAGCCTGAAAAGACTTGATTCGCAAAGAACTGAATGACTGACCTCCTTGTACGACGACATAATTCTTTCTATAGCATCCGCAGCAGAAACCATCAGGGAACGTGACGTTGTGACATGTTCTGTTCTTTCACCAACTGCTTGATGGAGTACACCAAGCTGTTCTTTAGTACCTAAATTTACAAAATGGAGATTCAAAGATTATTGAAGGGCCTACACTGTGTGTCTTGCTATTTCCTACGGCTTTTTAATAAGCTGAAGCTTTTCTTTGGATCAATTAAATTCCAAAATTGAGTTCACCTGTTTCCTCTTGTCTGTTGCAAGGGTGGACATGAATTGAACCTTGAAAAAGTTGGGCCAATTCATGGTTAGTGCTCTCTGATGAGACTCTTTTGATATCTTCATCATACATAATATGTAACTGTACACGAACATTTTGTGTATGCGTATAGGATTGAAGTAATAACTTTGGAACGTGATTGACCTTGAACAGCAATATTGTTGTAACATAGACCCTTTGAGCAATTGTCATGAAATTACAAAAATGGGCTTGTGTTCAGTGTACACTGAAGACTTCAATTAATTAAATGACGTAAAACAAAAGATCAAACACTATAAAACAACACCTATACAGAATTGTAAAGCTCTAATTGAGGATAGGCTCTTTAGTTTTGCACCTTGGTGTGGCACTATGTATTTATTTTACCGTTGTACAAGTATGTGACACAGAATAGAGTAATCAAATATGATGTTTGAGGTACATTGTATATGGTCCCTTTTTCTATTGAAAAGAATTGGATGAATTAAATTTCACTTTCATTACTACAGTAAGGGTTTAGGAGGGAGGAGTTTTACTGTATATCATTGGTGTCCAGTGCCTCCCAGGTTGAGGCCTTTTTAGGGGAGTTGTAACTCCTTCCTCCCATACAACTCGTCTCAAACCCACGGAGGCTATGGCATTCAAAAACAAAACCTCTCATCAATAATTTAGACTGAAAATGGTTCCAGTCAAGTCTTTTGTATGTTGTGTACTGCTGCCTCTTTAAGCTTTCTTCTAAATTTGTTTACATTCACAAGATACGAAACTCTGTTTAACAAAACCTCAAGAACCCTGAAAGCCGGGTTACCTTTTCCTAAAAAAATGCTTGATGCCACCATAAGTAAGCCTGCCGCACTCCACACGTACTTCATCAAGAACTGCTCCAACATAATGAACCAGAGCCTTTTGCTAAAGAGAAGCTCCATTTGCTGAGCCAGTGACTTGAAACTATGCTTCAATAAACATAGCTCAACCTGCAGTTTGAATACAGTGTAAATCAAGATATGGTAATTTATGACAATTATTATACTACTACATGAGAAATTTCTGCAATTTGATTGGCTTAGAGCAGTGGTATTTCAGCTTAATTTGAAAAACCTACACGTGAAAATTACAAACCTTTTGCGGGTAGTAGTATAAACAAATAATAGCATGATTTGAACGTGATATTTGGCATAAATACCACTAGTGATATTTCAAAATTGTCTCAACGGCTCGTGAAATTACGTATAACAATTTCGAAATATCACTCGTGGTATTTATGTCAAATATCACGACAAATCATGCTATTACCTATACTAATCCAAAGTTCCCACTTACCATTGTATGGTACGATTAAGTCATTAACAGGATTGCAATGGTTTGTTTATAGTTAGTATTAACCTACAAATTTGCCTTCATATACATGTATGACTTACTTAGTTTCATTTCCCTTCTACTAATATTATTGTTAATCACCTGGCCCAAGTTGTTCAAAAGGTAGATAGCCCTAACCACAACACAAATCTCAATCCAGTGGATAGCGCAATTGGTTTCCCTAATATTTATCCAGTGGATGGTGATTTATCCGATGGATAGCTCTATCCAGCTTTTGAAAAACTGGGGCCTGGAGTTTACATACCCCTTCAGTTTTGATTACGAGGTATATACGGTTAAATCCAAAACTTCTTTTTCCACTGCATTTTACATTGTTAGTATGCAATGCAATTTCAAAAGGTTGGTTAGAGATTGTAGAGTGCCCAGCCACTTATTTTCCATATCACTGAATTTCCCTGCTAGCAGGAACATTGAATAAGAATGGCATCCAAAAAACAGCAGACATTTTGAAATGCCACCACCAATTTCCCTGCTCAACGACCTCTGAGGAATGAGCAGAAATACTCTCTACTGACGACACATCACTACCAAGAACTGGTTAGTGCTTCTGATTGGATGTACCATGGGAGAAATTTGCTTCAGCCATAGAAACACTACCCAGATCTGGGTAGTTAAGATACTGACCAGTCATAAGTGTGGAATTTTGTGCTAACATTTCTCAGACATCATTTTGTGGGAAAACCAGTGGTCTCATCACAAAATTTTGGATATTTTCTCAGGCTACATAAGAATGCATCCTTTTGTTTTTCTATGCTTAGTCCTATAAGGCTTTGAGTGATATGTGGATACGTAGCAAGGTATTCCAAATTGGGACCACCTTTAAGCTGTATCCATGAAACAGCTGGATTAATGAGTCACTCAAAGGTGAGCAATTGCATAAGAAAAGCTCATGCAGATTTGCATCTCATCAAATAACAAATGAAAAACAAGCACATTTATTATATGCCTTGTCCTCTCAAGTCCTGAATTCAAATTTTCAGCAACCATAAACCTCACTCATATGTTGTTACATAGCCCTTCTTTTTGTATCTCTTTATACCCTCAGTGGCGTTGACAATTATTGTATGTGTTTTATATGCTGATCTAAGTGTATGTAAAAGTGAGAAAAGGATCTTAGAGAGGTTAGTTATGAAGTACAGTCAAACCTCTTTAATACGGACACCAAAAGGACAGAATCAAGTGTCCCCTTTGCAGAGGTGTCCGTATTATAAAGGTAGGGAACATATGATTTTTGGCATTTCTGTCCATAAAAGAGAGGTTAGACTGTAGATAGGCCGATCCAGATCAGTACCTTAGTAGTCGAGTGCTGTCTGCATATCCACCTATTTTTAAGGGGTTTGTTGGTTCATAGTGGCTGGGTATCTTTACAATAAATATTTTTACTTACGACTATCGTGTGTGACTAACATATGTCATGACTTTCAAACATACACACGAGCACAATTTTTTACTTACAACATCTACATGTGTCAAACAGATGTCATGGGTTTAATTTACAAGACATGATCTGTCGTGAAGTCATGAAGTATGCTAATTGCACATGGAAATCGTACGCAAAAATCCTGCTGTCTAAATCGACCTTAACAAAGTCTTACTTTATGACCACCATAAAAGGCAATCTCCTCAGCATTTGTGATGACCCTCGAGTGAAGAAATCTAAGATGTCCTCTTCTCTGTGACTCCTCTGCTACAATTTTGCCAAATTTTGGACTTAGTTTCCTTAAAATCTCGGCAGTAAGGTAAACCACCACCGCTGCTATGCTCACTGGAATTTTCCAAGAGGTTCCTCTTTTTCTTGCAAGTCCATCAAGAGTCCAACAAATCACAAAGACATCAAGGCAGGGTTTGGTTAGATGTGAGTACAGATGAGCTACTGAACTACAAAACATGCGAATGTCTTCAGTTAGACACTCATCTGCGTTCGCTATTCTTCCATCCAAGTTCCCCACACGATAGTAAGTTTGGTTTGAGAAGTACTTCTCGTAAGCGTGGTTAGCAAGCTGTGTGCGAAAAGCCAGGGACAGTTTGCTTTCGAGATACCGAATCATACTGTTTATGAACGTTGCTGGAATCGCCACGCCAATCCAATTGACAAGTAACAAAACGAATTTAAAACCATTTTTCTGAACAACCGATTTTATGATACGGCCATCTAGAGTTGCCACGTAAATCGACAAAAATGTCCTCAGGAAAAGACAAAGCGAATGGAGAAACAACAAACCAACCTGCCTTGTCCAAAAACCTGGGAAGAGAACTTTTAAAAGTTTCCACGCTTGACAAAGGAATTCATAGTCAAGTGCTGCACTTCGCCGTTTGACCTTTGACTGTGTGTTCAATGAAGGCTCGATCAGCAACCTCGAGCTTTTTCCACTGCCTAACTTAAGTTTGTTCAAGATCCTTCGTCCGACACCTGGGCCATACTTCTTGATGATATAAAAACTGGCAACCGTCAAGGTAGCTACTCCCGTAATCTTTGCGTGTCTCGCTGTAAAAGGAGCCATTTTTACGCTGAAAATATGAACGTGGAAATATTGGTGCCACCTGTTCCAGCGGCCGCCATGTTTATTTTCATCACTGGAACCCAGGTCCTCATCGAAAAAAACTAAGGGGAAACTTTACGGGAGGGGATGGGAGGGCCAACATTTACAATAATTGTTTACAGTATTCATTGAAACGTCATTAGATACGAACATGACCGGCATTATTCTAACAACACTAATTTTCCGCTTTTCTATAAAGATTAGTCCTCTTAAAGATGAGCTCAATTTATCATCGTTTCAAGTGTATTGTTTTTAGGTGTTTCACTATACCCCTGTTTAATCAATCTCGTATTGTACCCAGATCTCTCATTGACGAAGCCGAGAGATCGAGGTACAAGATCTGTTCAGCCAATGTTCCTCAAACAGAAGAAGGTAAGCTTTGATAGATAGGGCTAGTATATTTTTTGGCATAATTCGTAATGGGGAGCATAATTTTCACCTATTTTCCGAAAAAAAAGCACCGCTAGCATAATTTTCTTTTGTCTAGATTTGCAGCCAAAATTTTCTTTCTTTTTTTTTTTCGTTTTATCATATAACAATTTTTTTGGCCCGAGATAAGTGTTCAAGAAGTGACCCAGGATTCTTTCATTCTCGTCCCCAGATCCCGTCGTTAACCCAAGATGGCGTCCACGTGCAATTATTAATTGTTCGAGATTTTTATACAGTGTCAGACAATGAATATTTATGCAATTCTAAAGTCTCTGAAAATGAAGAAATGATCGTTGCAGTGAACGCAATTTATGCAATTGCGTAAAGAAGCCTGAAAAATTCAGGACTTCAACGGGGTTTGAACCCGTGACCTCGCGATACCGGTGATGCTCTAACAACTGAGCTATGAAGCCACTGACGTTGGGAGCAGGTCAATTGTGGGTTCATATGTTCCCGTGAAAGAAATGAGTGTTAATGATTTATGAAAGAAATCATATATGAACTGCGGAAGTGAAATGAAAATGAAGAAATGATCGTCGCAGTGAAGTCCTGAATTTTTTTTCAGGCTTCTTTACGCAGTTGCATAAATTGCGTTCTCTGCGACGATCATTTCTTCATTTTCATTTCATTTCTGCAGTTCATATATGATTTATTTCATATATCATTAACACTCATTTCTTTCACGGGAACATATGAACCCTATGAACCCATAATTGACCTGCTCCCAACGTCAGTGGCTTCATAGCTCAGTTGGTAGAGCATCGCACCGGTATCGCGAGGTTACGGGTTCAAACCCCATTGAAGTCCTGAATTTTTTGTTTTTCAGGCTTCTTTACGCACTTGCATAAATTGCGTTCACTGCGACGATCATTTCTTCATTTTCAGTTCATTTCCGCAGTTCATATATGATTTATTTCATATATCATCAATACTCTAGATTTTGTAGATGTAAATAGGGATAATGGGTTTGCCATTTACTTGTTTGTTGCCTTGTTATTGAGTTGCTTTTTACCAAATTTAAAGTAAAAAATAAAAGCATAATTTCTGAATTTAGTGCTAAAATGGTCTAAAATGAGCATAATTTACAAAAACTAGCATAATTATCATTGTCACGCCATTCAGAATGGATCAAAATCAAAATCAAAACCGTTCAATAGATAAAGTCCAGAATCTGGGAAATGAAAGGAGGTACGTATAAAAAGACCCTCGCCAAGATTCAGGTCAGAGGAATATTTCGTATACGAGATATCCGAAGAAATGTTTTCCAAACTTATAGAGATTTGTATGGAGACGCCATGCTCACCTGGATGAGCTCCAACATGGCGGACGGAAACCAACAGAAACATCTGTTACCGAGTTTTGCTATAAAAGCGTGAAATTATTCTTGGAGAGACTCATAAGCATGAAAGTAATACTTTTTCTAATACACAAACTGTTTAGATAGCAAAATTTCCTGAAATAAGTCATTTTTTTTAACCTACATGACAGCTCTCTCGCCGCGTCACGCAAAAGCTTAGGAATTCAAGCGTACTCTGTCACAAAACCAAGAACCCTTTTGAAGCGAAAATTTGTATAAAAATTAGTTTTTAGCTGTTCTATTACATCGTGAAAGTAAAATCTCGGTAGGTTTTTAGTTTTTTAGCCTGAATTTTAGTGACGTAATGTGAAAACCAACAATTGGTATACTTTTAGAAATATAAGAGCACTGCCAGTAGCACATTATGCCACTTTTGCGAGCAAAATCTATCAAAGTAGGAGCCACGGTGATGGACCAAGGAGTAAACTTGTCGGTCAATTTCCCTCTTTCGCCGCCATTTTTTTCTTGCTAAGGTAATACGCGGACGTCCTCGAAAACACATTAATTTCGCCGGAAAGCCTGTTCTAAAAAATAATTCTTTACGGGAATAGGTTGACTCAAGGGTACAGCACATATGGAAGCTTATGGAGGCTCCATTTAATCGGCTCCTGATCAAAGCCTGGAGGAAGGTAACTAAAGGTTACTCACCTTGTGGCCTTGTTACGACTGATAAGTCACGAGAATATAGATAAACAGACAAAAAGGGAAGTTATGGGAAAAGTCCAGACGGGTACTTAGCGAGGATTTATTTGGGGAGTCTCCGCCGCGAGGTCCCACTTCTTCCAGTACCCTTTTCATTTTTTGACAGAAATGGTACACCTCACATACTAAGGAATGATCATTTTCAGCTGCAGTAATTCACGCCTTCCTTACGGGGACGGGCAGGGGATATTTTGGAGATTTGAGAGGGGGGTTGTTAAGGCTATTTTCGAATCTCGTGATCCGCGGTACCAAGAGAAGCAAACATAGTTTCAACCTAGCCTTCCTTGACTCTCGTTAATGCTCAAGTTAGGTTTCTGGGGTGCTTATTTAATTTTTGGAGTTCGAAACAGAGCTAGGCGTCAATTTACTGAGGGAAAAAAGGATGCTAGCGGAAGATAGTGGTAGGGGGAAAATCAATTCCCATCCTAGGGCTACTCTCCTTTCATCATCCATGTGAAACACTTGTATATACACCATTGAAAAAAAATAAGAATGTGATTAAAATATAAGATAAAGTTGTCCATGAGATAACAAAAACAAAACAATGAGAAATAAAAAATAAATGAAAAGTAAAATGAAATTAACGAAAACAAAATACATAGAGGGTATGAATTATTAGAAATGGGACGCTTATTTGATACTTTTTAATTTGCAGAAGGGGAAGAGGTGGGTGGTTCTAAGTCGATCAGTATTAGCTGTAGGATTTCAGTGATAGTTGTGACTTCACCCTACGCTCTACACACGGAGACCTTTTCACCTAACAAACATTTTATTTTCAATACCTACGTTTCATGAATAAGAAACAGCACTTCCACAATTTATCTATTTTAACTAATTCAGTTAACTCCATCTCGCCCTAGGTTCGTCAATACTTATTAGGCTAACGTAGGCGGAAACTCAGACTACAAAGATTTCTTATGAAGCAGTGTGGCTTACTAGGTATTTAAGCACAAATATTTGAAAGCTTACATAAAACACTTAGCAGTAGAATAACATCACAAATCCTAGAAGAAAATTTACAGTTTGAAGTTAACAAAAAAAAAAAAATAAATAAGAGCAATTGTTGTAGCCAGCATCGAATTAAAGTTCGTGTTACATTATAACGGTCTATAATAGGAAACCAGGCTGTTGAATATTACGACAATTTAGTTCAATCAATATTTGGTAATCTATAACTAACAAATAAAATCAGCAACAAAACTTAATAGAAATCTTTGTCAGCTAAAGTTTCTTGATTGTATTTCCTTTCAGCGGACGGTGATCTGTCCCATGTGACGTCGGTTGGAGAAGTTGTTATTACGCGTGCTCATGTAACAGTACTCCCCAGGCTTCTTGATGCGGAAGCACGGTGGATTACAGGAGGCCGGCGCGTTGTTCAGTTGAGCTTGCAGATTTTTAGCATCACCGGTGTAACACCCTGTGTTGAAGTGAAGGTTCAACTTATCGGCGTTGAATTCGTTCACATTATCAACAACTTCAAGAGGCAAGCTGGAACAGGCTTTAGGCTTGAGCGAACTGCATCCTTCCTTTACCCAACACACGTTTGTTCTGTCCGACCCTAAAAGATATTGTACAAGGAAAAAATTGGAAATAGACAGTCGAACACGTACAGTGCATCCGTCTGCTAAATATATAAAGCAAGAGACCAATTAAGTCTCCCTACTGGTGTAAAGGAAATTAATACAGTCTTGGATTCTGGTTCCACGCCATGGACTCCGGATTCCGGATTCCGGTAGAGAATTCCGCATTTTGGATTCCTGATTCCAATCGTTAGAGGGATTTCAAATTCCTTGAGCTGCATTTCGGATTTTAAAATCCGGGATTCCAGATTCCACAACTCAAATTTCCCGAATTCCACAAACAAAAATTTCCCGAATTCCCTCACAAGGGATAAAATTAAGAAATATAAAGACGCTAGATGTCGTCCTTACGTGCTTGTCCTTCCCCATCATTGTTTGGATTGTTATTAGATCCTGCAGAGAGAAATTCAAAAACTAAGTCAAGAACAGCGTTGACCAATTTATAATTACGCCCTCTTACCTCCACGTGTCACTCTCCTCTTAGGGGCGATTTTCACACGCGCTCGCTGATTCCACTAAGGAGCTTTACAAATTCAAACGACTACGGCGACGGCAACGAGAACATAAAAAAGCATTGGGTTTGTCAAGCAAAACAACAACTTTGCACGTGCATCACACTTTTTTTGTACATTTCCTTGCCTTCATTGCACGACTACGACGTGAAAATACCTAATTTCACGCTTTATGGAGCTGAGCAATGTAAACAAACGACAACCACTTTTTCTTTCTCTTTCTAAACTTAAGTGGGGTCCCCCCAATAAATCAACTTAAGGGAACTTTGTTTGCCTACATTTGACATTTTCGGCGAATTGGGCAATGTGTGAAAAAAAAGCGAATACCAGTTTTAAAAGTGACGTTTTCGCTGCTGTCACCGTCGCCAAAGCTAAAGCTCCTCAGGTATCAGAGGAAAATGAGGGAAAACTCAGGCATGTAGCAGCTCTCCTAACCCTAAAAGCCAATTGGTTCGATACTCTAACCGTGAAACAATGGGAAATAATGATAATCAATGACGTGCTATTGTTTTCTGTGACCAATGAGGACACACCTTACGAGCAGCTCCTACATTGCGCTGACTACTCGTAGTCTATACGCAGGCCCAATCTACGTCACGTGCATGTTTCAAGGAGACAAACTCACCAGACCAAGCAAAACACAACACATCTCTGGTGGAAACAGTCAAACGCTCAGGGACGAAGCGATACTCCATGGCGGGATAGGTTTGAACAATATTTCCTCTCTTTCCCATCCCTCCGATGTAAACTACCCTCGCATTTTTAATACTCGCGGGTCGTGGCTTCAAGTAAAACACATGTGTTCTGTCCTGGAAAGTACGAGCGAGTTGAGCGGTGTTCAAGGCTAACTGAAGCTTCGTTGTTCCATCCACAGCAAGGGTTGTAGGGTCATTCTTAACTCTAGAAGCAAATTGGAACTATTCTAGCGATATCTATTGAAGAGTCATGGTACTGGAATATAATTTATAAAAAAAGATTTGGCAAAAGGAGGGAATCAGATAAAGCAAACTTGAAGCAAACTGGAAGAAAAGCAAAAGCTGGGGACGGTGTAACCTGCGATCGGGCGGTCCTTCTTCCCTTTTGTTTTAGCCTGCGCCGCTGACCGTCTAAATCCTTATCGAGTTCTTTATAGGTCTTGAGTCCGGCTACAACGCGGGCTATTATGTTTGGGTAAAAAACGCCTGATTGTAGGGACGGTGGAAGTATCACATGCAGCGGGAGCCATTGAAGGGATGAATTCACATTGGACAACGCCCGCTTTCACCCAAACTTTACAAAATCGATTTGAGGTACATGGCCTAACGTCAGAGCAACTAAAAAGCTGAGAAGCATGGGTTTTGTTTGTTTGCTTGCTTATTTTTTTCCATTCTGTCAGCAGCCAAATTTAACCTCTTGCGGGAAACTTTAGTTAAACATTATCCCCAGAATAAGACTAAGTGAAAGCTTTCTAAAGAGTAAACAACAAAAACGGCACATAGTTTATTGATTAGACTGTTCACAGTCTAGCTCAGATGACTACCGTCTCACTTAGTGACTGGACGGGGGACGGCGGTCATGGGAGGAGGAGGGAAAGTTTATAACCGTTTGGAAAAATGGAAGAATTAGTTGGTCTAGGTTGGTTAGCGCTAACATAAAACGAATTTCTTTATTTAATGGATCGTTAATGGATCGACCTCTCGATTAGCGGTACCTCAGATAACAGCCAACTCAAAAAGGATCCAAACAGAAAACCTTTTCGGACTTCAGGTATATAAAAATGGTAGGGATTTTAGGAGGTAATAGTATTATCATAATGAAAGATGTAAAAATACTTGAAACAGATGCACTTTGGATGGGTACTGTTTCACAATATAGTTCATTAACTCCTTTCAATCTTTTGGAACGTGTATGTGGTGTTCGTAAGTAGGTATGTGAAAGGGGTATTTTTGTTCTGTCAAAATTGTAAAATAATACGGTAAGGGGGTAGTAAGGGGTAGTCCTTAGGTTGGACCCTCTCCGTTTGTAAAACTCGATTAAGAAATTAAACACCATCTCCCTTCTCTACCCGGCTCGGGAGGTGCAATGCCACTTACTCAGCGTTATCAGCCGCAGTAAAAGACCTTGGTGCATCATCAGTAGTAATGTTGTACCTGCCAATATACACAGACATGGAATGTAAGAATAAGCTCACATTATATTTCTGATAATCTAAACGGCGGTTTATAGAATTTATAAAATATGGGAAAAAAAACAAAGGAGTGTCGACAGCAAGTTAAGAACTCAAGGAACTGTAGTTCCCTGGTCCATACTCTCATTCACCATGGCTCTCAGCCAATAAACACGCAAGAAATTGCTTAGTTATTGTAAAAAAGCTTAGTCGGTCGACGTCTCACCTTATCCTCAAGACACAACGCTGAATGGTTTGGGACGGAAAGTGCGGAACTTTCCATTTATACGAAGAAAACTCTCCTTCCATATTCAGTCCATTATGGTTGACAACAGTGGAGGGAGCGTAGACTACTTCCGTTTCGTCCGCCCTAACGAGAACTTGCTTTTGATTATCCGAGCCTTGGGTTATTTTGTGGGCTTCGTAAGGTACACCATAAACTCTCTTGACGCTGGCGCATAAATCAGCGTTGTCGGACAGCCTTTCTTTGTAGTTTGTCAGAACTTTGGTCCAGTTTCCTCCTCCGTTCACACACGATTCTCTAGATATGAAGCTGGCGACACAGTATTCGCTGTTTCTGTTGCGAGGTGGGATTCTTGGGCAGGACGATTGCTTTTGGAGACCATTCTTCATGATACACAGCCCTACAAGAAAACCGATTTGAATTAGGTCCAGCATTTCGTGAAAATGAGTTCTAATTGATTATAATTCATTCATTCATTAAACTGAATGATTTGCTTAATAGACCTATTTAGCTTGTATTTTTTGTTTTCCCAAGTCAGACCACGAGATTTTCTCAATGAAATTTTCCTTTTTTCGTGAGTTATGCATACATATGCACGTGGATTCATGTGCATAGGACGACATTTGAAAGAAACGGTTCTCTGAGGTACCATGAGGTGGTCTGAAATGTGAAAACAAAACAAACAAGCTAAAAAGGTCTATTAATTAATTTATTATAACGATTAAAAGAAGAAATAAGCACACTTGAAATAATATATATATAATGGAGCTTTAGATTCTGAGACGAGGACGACTACGAGTACGAGATTTTCTCAATACTGAGTATTGCTCAAGCGTGAACCAGCGTCATTTTGGAAAACGTAATATGGCCGTGGTAATTAGTCTACTCCGAGTTTTAGCCAGAATGTCATAGTGGCGTGAACATGTATAATAGAAAGACTGGATAGGAAACTGGCTGACGTGATCGGTTCCAACATAGTGGAAAAATGTGACGTCACATCCATGGGCGTGAACAAGTTATTAAATGTAAGAGGTTTTATCGTTTTGCTATCGGGAGAGGGCTTAACCTCCTTTAGTATAAACAACCGTATTTACTTTTTTGGTGAAAAAAAGTAAAAAACGAAGCTTTCCAGGGTGTATTTTTTTTAGAACACGCGCAAAAGCTTTAAGTTAAATCTCGTACTAGTACTCGACGTTCTCGTCCTTAAATCTAAAGCTCTCTAATAAGACAGTGCTCGACAATGTTAAGTGTTGTTCCGACAGGTTTTCTCATAGTCAGATACAATTGTACAATTTTTAATTGGTAGTAACTTACACTTCTCGAAAAATTCCTGACTTTTTACGTAGTCTTTCATCAACTTCTCTGTTTCTTTGTTACTAACCATGATGGCAATGTCGTTCCACGGGGTAGGGCCCCAGTAGGGATAGTAATCACGCTCCTCAGGTACCTCCAGGCCCCTTCTGTTTCCATTAGCATTCTGTCGTGTGTACTGTGTGGTAGTGCCTTTAAGTTTTTGGTCAGCGGTGAATAAGCCTGCAAATTAGTGAAAAGTTACTTCGTTTGAAAAAAATGTTTTTTGTCCTGCCATTGTTTGTGGGCTGTAAGCAGCCTTGTTCTCAGGGTTCTGTCCTACTGGTGGGGACGAGTAAGAGAGAACCCTGGGAAAGACATTGGGATGTAAGGGGACTTGCGTTTATCTTACGACTATGAGATTGACTACAAGATAGTTCTTAATCTGGTTTTCAGGTATCATCGTGTTTAAGAACTTGTAAATCCACCAGTCTCTATATAACAAACTGTCAGTACAATGATACAATAAGAGGAGCGAGGGTCCTTGAGACAAAACTGGCTTGAGACCCAAAGTTGCTACTCGATATCTTGGTCTTCCTGAAAATCCTTAATGACAGACAGATGATGACGAAGACTATTAATGATGATGATGATGATGATGATGATGATGATGATGATGACGAACATGACAAAGACTGTGATGACGATGATGACGGTAATGATGCCGATGACAACGATGATGATATAACGATTTTGGGTTTCTGGATAATGATGATGATGATTAATGATAACGAGGAAGATTATGAAGATTAATGATGATGATGATGATGATGATGATGGTGACGACAAATGCACTCGATTCAACTTTTCCCCGCAAGGTACTAAACCGTTTTCGCTTCGACTAATTATCTTAAATTTCTGTTATCCTATCTTGCTTTCTGGCTCCGATTGTTCAAAAGATGGATATTTAACAATTATTCCTCGAGCCCGAATGGGCTCTGAGTAAATAACCCATGAGTCCGAAGGGCGAATGGGCTATTGACTCAGAGGCCATGAGGGCCAGAGGAATAATTGTTTTAGTAAAATCCAACTAGTTCGTCAAAACACTTTCAACTAGTTAAAGCTAGACTTTAATCCTTTTTTTGCCGCCAAAAAGCCCGCGCTTTTCGCTACTAGTGGGCTATAACATATAGCCTAGTAGTAGCTCAACCAATCACAACGCAGCATTGAAAATAGACCACTAGTTGGATTTTACTAAATATTGATAGCGCAATCCACTGAATAAATCTCTATTCACTGGATTGTGCAATAGTCCTTATTCACAATACCTGCCATCTTTGCACGCGCTTTAGGACTGACAAGGGGAAAAAGCGATGTCTCTTGGTTTCTTAAGGGGTAAGTAAGTGAAGAAATTTGCCATCGCAAGAAATCGGGGTCGAGCATGTTTGCATGAAGAACTTTTTATGTTAAAGACGATAATTAATTATGGGTTGAGATTAGTATATTTAATTTTCTTATTGGATACAATAGCAACCGTAGATTTCCTCACAGCGACAAATAATAACATAAAACCTCTCGAAGCTCGAATTTCACATTTGCAGGACACCTCATCATCACGAACTGTTAATGCTTTGTTCCAGGGGAAAGAAGCCCTTACATTTTCTCTAAATGAAACCCACTTAATACAGACACTCTGTTAATACAGACAATTTCTATGGCCCCAACAGTGTCCATGTTAAAGAGACAGGTTCACGGTTAAGCGCATGCTCATAAATAAATTCCTTTTTTTCCATTTTTGATTAATTCTATCGGTTAATAATTCTACTCACATGTATCTCAGCGATCTCAGAGTGTATTTCAGAGTAACCTGAAGTAGGATGGAGGAGTACTAAAATCGCAGAAATTTGGATTAGGCCAACACTACCAACGTTGAATTTATTGTTGACCCGAAGGTTTTATTCCATGGTTGATTAATTTACAGTAATTTGCACATAAGTTGATCAAGTGACTGCCAGGGGAGTGTGCAGATTGGCTCTTTGACATCATGATGACATGATCATATTGCTTGCATAGACGATACAGCATGTCGCGGCAGAAAAACAGCATTTTGATAAATGAGCATGCGCTGAACCGTGAACCTGTCCCTTTAACTGGGTTTGACTTTACTCAGTTAAATATTATATGCCCAGGGGTATATGAATAGCAGATAGATTAATGATTCTGCTTTCTTAGTTGTAGAGAAAAGATGAGAGAGAAAGCGTTCATCTTGTCCTCTGACCGTCAGTAAATTTTAACTCTATGGAAAAAGGCGTTTCCTTTGTCCCAGCCCTTTCTCTCATACATTCTCTCGTCGTTTACAGCCTTGTATGATGTTTACGCTCAATTTGGATTTGATTTTGACAAGAATAGAAATGACGTGAAACAACTTGCGAAATTGTTAAGTTTTTCTTACCCTTGTTCCGCTCCCTGCGAACGTAAGCGTTGTAATACTCCTTGGGTTCATGAAGTCCGCGGTCCTTTCTGATTTGTCGGTCTTCTCTTTGATCCTTTCTAAAAGTCTGTGTGTTACGGTTTCCTCCGTTACGTATAGTATGCAGCTGGAAGTCTTTATTGATGTCTTTAACCTCCATCTTACCAGGGAGGTATGCCTGGCACATGTACTGTAAGATAACCTGTGTCTCTACTCGGTCATCCGTTTTGGGTCCTGTTCCGTGTTGGTTGGTCCACATGATCTCCACCTCAGTCGGAGCATTCTTGTCACAGCCACTCATATAAAATTCCTTCGAAACACAAAAGGAAAAGTTTAAATGTTCATCAGTTTGTATCACTCTCATTCTCATTTTCATTCTCATTCTCATTATTATAGCCAGATTTATTTGGAGGCAGCGTCGCAGTTTGTTGATAGTTCCATTAGAATTAATAAGGGGATAGAATAATCAAGTTTTCACATGCTAGGACATCTGTTACACCACCAGATTTAAACTTGTTGTGTTATTTAATAGTTAGAACCGAATGAATGTCTTACCAGGGGTCGTTGTCGCTTTTCTTGAATATTTTCGCCAGGATTGTTGCTTCCACTATCTCCCACGTTGTAACCGGCTTTACCGTTGTTCTGTGAAATCAGCAGCAGCCAACACATACAAGAATTAAAGAATAGTGACAGTCAAAATTAATCGCGTCATTTTGACTATCTTTTCCTTCACCCTTCCGCGCTTTAATAGCAGAGTGTAATAAGGTTTTCCCCTACAAACTGTTTCTACCGGTGCCCTTCAGTTAGGATAAATACGAAGGTAAAAATTGGAGCAACTCAAGTCGTTAAAGTCTCATTTTTTTCGCGGGGCGGGGGGTGGGGGGTGGAGTCGTCGGATCTTAAGGTCCCTACTGTGCGGGTAAAGTTCCTGTTTGTCCCTCCTTTTAAGCCAGAGTGCCGTGCTTATCATTCAAAAGGTCAAGCGAAGGTTGCATGCTCCTAAGCAATTCAAACGTTGTGGTTCTTGCCATTGTTACTAAGTGTTACCACAATACAATAGGGACTTTACGATCCGACGACGCGATGGCAACGAAAACGTCGCGTAAAAAGTGAATTTTCGTTCTTCCAGTCTTTATCGCTATCATTCCTACCCATGAATTTATCAATAGTTTCATTGTAGGCGATCCTTAGCATACCTATCCAAGTTCAGAAAGAGAAATATAGTTTCATCGTTGTTTGTTTGCGTATCTATAAAATGTGAAACTAGGCAATTTTACGTCATAATCGTGCAATAGGGCCAAAGAAATGTATAAAAAAGTGTGATGCAGATTAGAATTGCCTTCTAATCCTATTATTTTTTGACGTTTTCGTTTCCATTAGGTCGTCGGATCGCCGGATAAGTCCCTAATAGAAAAATTCACGATGAATTTTTTTTTGTCACCTAGTATTGATATTGATGTGCTAACCAGAAGCGCACGTTGGTTCTTGAAACGATATATTCCTTTGTTTCACTCGTTACAACAACAGCAATGTTTGTAAACAGTGATGTCTGCTATATCCCTGATTCTACGCAGGGGAAATCGACTCAATCGAGCATTGTGACCACCGACAGGCCAAGGAGGCTGGTGTACTCTACGTACCTGGGAGTCATAAAGTCTGTTTGCGTTCCTCACGTTGGCTTGGTTACCGTTCAGTCGATTGTTTGATCCTGGTATAAAATGAAGGTAGATGTCGGCCAAGCAGAAGTGAGACAATGCAAACACCAAGAATCCCAGCTTAAGCATTGTCTTTAAAATCACGGCGTTTTCTGTAAAAAAAAAAAAAAAATCAGCAAACAGTATTTAAAAACGTCCCGCTTAAGGGAGCCTGAATCTCACATCCGATTTTTTGTCCTTTTCTTGTTTCAGTAAAGAGAATAATACAACGCTATATCACGATGTATCATCAAGTCTAGTGAAATTTCTGACTAATAATAATAATAATAATAATAATAATAATAATAATGTGGGTTGAGTTTGATCGTCCGGGTGAACGTAGTCCTGAATAGGACTGTTGATGGTGACAGTGACTGACGTTTCGACAACATGTGCGGTAGTCATCTTCAGAGTCAAAGTGAGTTGTATCACGTCAGTTGATGGTATTATACTCGGGACGATCAAACTCAACCTACTTTTGAAATGACTCCTGGGTTCAAACCATTCACAATAATAATAATAATAATAATAATAACATTTATTGACTTGTATTGCGCAAAATATCAATCAAAACTTTTGATTTGCGCTTTGACCTACATTTCTCAAAATCCTACTTACAAATCCTATTTAATAATTAATAATTAATAAAAAACTATTATTAGTTAATAATAACTGATAATAAATAATTAATAATAATGATGTAATGATAGTAATAATGATGAATTATTGCACACATTGTTTCAGGTATCGGAAAGCTCCGCAGGCTACTTTAGCCTTTGTGCACAAACAAAGGCCTAAGAACTTTGTACGGCATTGTCAGCATACTTAGTTTTTGTGGTTTATTCGCCTTTTTCCTTTAATAACCTGTATCATACTGAATTTCTTTGAATAGTTCGCAACAGGTATTGCTGGTGACTTGACCGGGCCTTAACTAAATTGCGTGTTATTTAGCGTTAAGTAAGTTTTCAAAATATATGTGAATCCCTTTCAATCCCCTAGGCTGTTATCATTCTGATCATCATTTCGTTGGCTCTCGTTTACTACTATTCTGCTATGCGCTTGTTAATATTTTGATCTATTTTAACTCGGCGTTGGGAGTGACTGAGAGCCTATAACTGGGCTAAAGGGGGAACAAAGAGCTGAGCCAGAGTCTGGTATTATCAAAGATAAAAAAAGAAGAAGAAGAATCGAAGATGTCTGCATGGCCGAATTGTAATGGAAATTTTAGTTTACATATATTCAACGAGATCAGAACCTGAATTGAAATCTTAGGCTCCGCAATACTTAAAAGTTAAATAAACTTAAAAGACCAGAAACCTTCATGAAATATACTCACTTCTGCGGCTACAAAAAACCTGCCCTCTGGATACTTACCAAATTCGAAAGCCAGCCGGAGGTCCAACAGGGTGGTTGACTGTTTTACCTTTTTACAGTAATCAGTAAAGTTATACCCATACAATGCGCCACGTTTTGTTTAGTTTTAAATGAATAACACTTTGCTTTTTTTAATATTACAAAAAGAAAATTTATTTTACGTTTCTGAGAAAGAAACAGCTGGACAAAGCATCAAAGCATTGCTTGGAAATCTGCAGAACGGCGCCGGTAAGTTTACATAAGCTTAATGGTGAATAACCTTTAAACAAACAATCGTGAGAAGCAAGATTTGTCAATCATGTATTGTTATTTCTTTCTGTTATTCTTTGAAAATAATTGTTAAATTTATCCTTCTAACGAGCTGTTGAAAAACAAACAAATGGGAATGAACTTTTTTATGAGAAACACTACCTTTTCTGTGTTTCATTATTATAAAATCACTGTTCTGAGGAATCTTAAAAGGACTTGAATGTATCTTAACCTACACTTTTTTAATTTTCCACCGGTATTATCCGAGTCAAGCAGGTTTTATCTATTCTTAAAATATCATCAATTTTAAAGCAAGATTTCAGTTGTTACTGATTTGAGATCATACACATACCTTTGCGAGCTCTAGTAGTATTTCGAGTGCGTGAATTTCATTTAAAAATTCTAACTTGCACATTGCAAAACGCTGATTTCAAAGCGTTTTAAATCGTTTCCATGATAAGAGTAAATAGTCGTATCAATTCTAATGATTTCATTTGTTATCTTTCTGAGATCAAAAGCTTTGTGTAAAAAGCTGAATGGCTGTATACACTAGACAGGAAGTAAAACGAAATTTTTTAGCGCTTACAAAATATGACTGAACGCAAATCACGTAGATTTTTATGCGATGAAAATATATAATTTATCCTCCAGTACAGAAACCGGGATGAACTCGCCCCAGTTTGCCCCGTTATGGTATGTTGGTATAGTAAACGAATACGGAACCACAAGAGGTCACCGAGATGAAATCACACAGGCACAAAAATCCCCCGGGTATTTCCACCCCCGAACGCCCGGGAGAGCCTGTTTGCAGGCTACTTGTCAAAAATTAGCAAAGGACGTTAATCAGTCGAAGTGAACGAGAATCGTAAAGAATATTTATTGATTTGAGTGAAGTTCGATAATCCAGGCCCCATTTACAATAAGCTTCAGTATTTCGTGGGCATAGATTTTATCTAAAAATTCTAAATTGATAACTAACGGCGCATTGTGTGAATCGATTCCATCAAAATAAAAATCATGATAGTCTTATCGATTCTAAAAATGTTAGTTGTTAGATTTTTGACAGATCAAACTGCCTTTTTATGTGAACAGCTGAATGTATATACACTCGAAGGTAAATAGAACGAATTTTCTTTTATCTTTCTTTTTTGTTTTTCAGTTCTTTCTTCTTGTCGTGGACAGAACGAAATATAAGAAATCTCTAATTACTAGCCGAGTTTCACCTCTCGAGCCTCTGTATGGGTGTTTACGACGTTGAAATCGAAGTCGCGATGATCGCCATTGATGAAGGAACGATCTAAGAGATTTAAGCGACGATCACGTTTCCATGCATTTTAATCAAATTTGAAAATTAGTGTTAGACAATGGCAATAAGGGCAAAGAAACCTGCCAAAACCTTTTCTGCATGTTACGAAGTTTTCTTTTCTTTTTTTTCTTTGCTTATTTTCTAGACGATCTGATTGAAAAAGCGTATAGTGTTTTTCACTTAAGACTCAATATAAATATGTATGTATGTATGTACGAAATCGTCATCCGCAGGTACTTATACATAGGCTCTCCTCATCTCCAAAAATAAATGTCCTGAAGGGATTTCTAGATTTTTTTAGTCCCAATTGAAACATAGCTTGCCACGTAAAAGAAACCCTGCGATTCAGTACCCTGCGAGCTCCTAGGAGTTAACTTTGTTTACCTCACAAATAAACAACTACTCGAATTGACAGCGACGCGAACGAATCTGCACATGCTAAAAGCCATGTTGGAAAGAAACTTCTTGCTCGCAGGGCTTCAGTCGTTTAAAACGTGAAAACGTTTTAAAACATGGTGGTACATTGTAATAAGGTTCCAACAACCCACTAGTATTTTTATTTTTATTTTTTTTCATCCATATACCTTTTTTACACTGAAATATAATCTTATTTGTCCTAGTCTTTTTTGTCAGCTTTTGTTCGATATATTTGGTACATGTATTTGCTTGGCTTGCATTTGAAATACAAACAATGTAATCAGAAAAGACATGGAAGATAACTAAGGGGAACTACTTTGTGAAGGTCTCGATAGTGTCTTCCTCGTCATTGGTATTGCTGCTTGTTATTGCTTTTTTGGCAAGGCATTTTTTAAATTGTTTCGACGGAGCTTGACATTATTTACTATAAACTGAAAGAAACGCAACAATAGGTACAGCAAATCCCTTACTGAAATTCATGATTTTCTATTGTTTGGATGGCATATTAATACGGCAGGGTGGATTCCAGATTCCTTTGTAGCTGAAAAGTTTCATTAATCAAATCAGATCAAATCATGGCGTCGACCATACGCTCAGCGTGCTGCGAATGTATTTTCTCAAGGCTCGTCATGTATTCTAAATTGATATTTCATTTAATAAATTTGATCAAAAGAGATGTAATTTCCATAAAGAAACAATAAAAGATATTGAACTACAACCAAAGAGCCATAAGAGCTTCCAGAAAAGTAGAAAAGAACAAGTAATTATTTACAGAACCGGACCTAGACGGGGTTATAGAACGAGGGAAACACGCGTGGATGCGTGAAAATTGCCCTCCGCGTGTCACATTCCCCGCGGGTGACGATTTTCACGCACGTGCGAGTATTTCCCTCGAAGCAACTACTCGTAAATTGGGTCCAACTAAGAAAAATTGGGGCGTATTTTTAACCTTGACAGTAAACAAAAATCATGTCAAGTGTTCCTTATAGTTACCCCCATCAAGGAAATAAAAGTAGAAAAGGCTTCTATACTTGGTATTGCTTCCATTCAATCCAGCAATTTATATGTAAATTATTGATCTTTCAGCATGTTCAGGGCTGAAATAAATGTGAAACAGGTAAGCTTTTTAATTGGTCTCGTTTTCTTGCAAGTTTTAGTACCCGACAAAATTCAAGGTTTGTAGCAGAAAGTATCAAATGAAGCTAGAGAACCGAATTTGAGGCCATTTCTAACTGCGAAACTTGAAAAGTATAGACGTGTTCTAGATAGCTAAATGTAATTGTTCCATTCAAGCTTGGCATGCAAGTTGCTTGTAATCACTTTTGTGGGGTAAAACGAAAGAGTAATATTTGGAAAGACCCACACTGCAGTAGGATAAATTTCACTTACCTTCTCTAAACTCAGGACCGTTTGTCTTTGTGAATGAATTCAGGCTAGTGTGACAATGTTTACCCACCCAAAAGGAAAAAAAGCTGATAAAAATTCATATATCAATTAAGCGTTCAGATTCAACACTGTTTTAAAAATTCCTGCGTCTCATTCCGGTGGAAAGTATTTGTGTTGCATCATCAATGACACTTTCCCCCTATGTATTAATCATTATTTGAGACTGAGTCAGTGTTTGTTTAGCTCGTTTTCGGCTTAACATTTTCTCTTGGGAGGCGGATGAAAAACTTGCCGCCTTTTTCCCCGGTGGCCTTTGTAGAACTTGGTCACGTGCTTAGATACCATTAAGAAAGGGCACGCGGGTGGCAGCCCGGCCATCCAAGCGTTTATTCCGATCACAGAGCTTTGAGGGCGATCTCTTAAAAATATATAAACCAAAATGACTGGACTAGAAGACGTAAACTGAGACGTTTGAATTAACCTCAGAACTGACTTCGTCCGATCGCACTTAAAGCTTTGTGATTTGAATCCACGCTTGGGATCCAGCGAGCCGTTGCTAAGTGAAAAAGCACGTAAATCTGTAAAGGGCTGATAAGGCTCACGGGACCCACTTTCGCGCTTGAAACTTTCCACCCAAAACCTCGAGCATGTTTGGACACCTCAGCTCAGCTCCAATGTTGGATCTCGAAACTTTCATAATCTTCATGTTTTTTCCTTTAATTAATAATCAATTGTCAAATACTGGAAGGAGCGTGGACCTCACCTTAAAAATACTGATAAGATAAATGTTATTCATTTAACAATTGTATTTCATCTTACTTTGTACGATAGGACTCATATTAGTCCAGACGTTGATTTTTCTTTCTTGGATCAGGATATTGCATTGATTTTTCGTTATTCTGCTTAAATTATGCTCGAAAGTGCTTGATTATCTCTGCCGTCGGATGCTCGCCTTAAAAGCTTCTTGTCCCTCACAGCGTGGGTTGAATTCTTAGTCTCCTGAATTTATCTCAGGTGAAGAATTCTGTGACTTTAAAATTATCTTTAATAAACCACTTCCGGGTGGTCTGTTATTTCCTTTTCAAACTCGACAACAGGTGTATTTTAATGGAAAGAAAAGGATGAAAATTGATAGCGTTTTTTTCGCTATGGTAGATGCAACGTAACGAGATTGCCCATGGATATAGATACGCATTGTTCACCATGTATTTCAACAGCAGTCAAAGTAAAGTTTAAGGTCAAAAACAATCAATAAGCCATGTCCGAGTTCGAACTGAAAACTCTTAATTTCAAAAGGAAGCTAAGCGCAAAACCTTTCTTGTGAAAATGAGTTCTCTTTGCATGAGAATAAAAAAAATATATTTTATTTATATCAATGGCTTCCCACTTAGTCTCGATTGGAAACAAAGGTTTTTAGGGCAACTGGGAAATCGCCTATTTGAAATTTCATGAGACGGTAATTTTACCCTATTTCAAATCACCTTTAATAGCACCAACACTTTTATCATTATGTAAAATACCACATAATATGTATTTCCAAATACAAAGCACCAAATAAAAATTAACAACGAAAATTTCCAGTACCTTCATTCTACCTTTCGATGTAGTCGACATCAAATTGTAAAGAATGAAGAATCGTTGAATGTCAATGTTGTCAAGACACAGACTAGCTGCGTCCTGGAATTATTGAATATCATTACGTGGCATATTCAGTTATTAAAAATTCAACTCTCTTGACAACTTTTACATTCAACGATTTTTCTTTCTTGATAATGAATTTGGATAAATCTCAAGCATGTTAAGGCATGGCCCGCTGTTTTACCTTAGTTTCCCCGCGAAAACAACTACTTTTGCTAGTAGAAGCGAACTGCGAGCACTCGGTCTAATGACGTCATAATTAAGGAAAAAGGAAATCTGAAACGAGTCAATGACGCTTTATTGTGGCGGCCAAAGTAGCATGTCGTATTTAAGGCCGGAATTGAATCCGTGTCCTGAATGGAGGAAAATCTAATTTCATTAAGGTGTTATTAAACGATCAAGAAGGTCACGCAGTCTGTTTTTTTTTATACTTTTTAACAGTAAATGCAGTTGGCCATTAAGGACAGATTCACAATTTTTTCTGGCAATTTTTTCTCTTTTGTGTATGTGTGTGTGTGTGTTTTGTGTAGCTGTGTGGTACCTGACCCTTAATATAATCATTTATTAATAACCTAAGTAACTGGCTGCTCTATCTTTTAGCCTTCAAGGGTTATTATGGGCAGCCTGTAATCTCTCTATATTTTATAGTATTTTTTTATATCACTATA